GTATAATTTTCTATAGCTTTCTGAAACACTTCTGGGCAAGACGATATTCCAAATAGCATACGCAGAAAACGAAATCTACCAACAGGTGAGTTAAAAGTAGTTTTCAGTGAGGATTCATGATCAAGCTTAATCTGCCAAAAACCAGAAGATGCATCTGATACAGCAAAATATTTAGCATTGGGCATTGTGGCAACAATATCTTCATATTTCTCATTGGATAATGCTCACGTAAAATATATGTATTCAACAAAGTAGGATCTAAGCCAGGGTGGTCCAAACCCAGGCCCGCGGGCAACATATGGCCCGCCGCGTCATAATCTGTGGCCCGCGACGCATTTGCGCGAAGGTAAACAAAAAATCGCATTTGGAGTTGTTTCGTCATGAAAATAACCAAAAAGTAATTTGATGTCACTGAATTGAGTAGTGCTATGGCTAGCTGAAGCAGCTAGCGGAGTTGATTTATTTGCTTGGCTTGTCTAAATTGTTATCTGGCTTTCTCATTTTCTGGTCGGGAATATATGCTAACAAAATACGCTTCATAGAAAACTAAAAATCGAATAAGGAATCTATTGGCCTAGATTGGCTATGCATGTTAACTGAATATAATTTCTGTCGGATCTTTTTTGCAACCAGCTTGAACAGTATTACAAAAATTTGGTAATTATCCTCTTGTATCCTAAATTTGGTAAAATCAAACAGATTTTTTGACTGGATATGGGATACCATACCATAATGCGCGCCTGATTTATATGTCTGCAAGTTGTGCCGGTGACAATCTAAAACGACATTTTCTCCGTTATGAAAAGATTGAAATCTTACACTAAGTGAAGATATAGTAGGATTTTTGCACGTTTTAGTGAGTTTTTTTGGTGGTTTTTGCACGTTTTAGCCTGATAAATGACAAATAATGATCAATGTGTTTGGACAATAGAAGTGTTTGTTTTGTATTACACTGTTTACCCATTCTAGACACTATTGTGGCCCGCGAACAATACAAAAATAATAATGTGGCCCGTGAAGCCAAGAACCTTGGACCACCCTGATCTAAGAAAACCCGAATGGAACCAGGTTTTTTCTTTGTGACCACCATGCTTGACACCCATTCAGTTGGTTCATCAACTGGTAAAATAATCTTATTGGCAACCATTCTATCTAATTCTTGTTTCACGAGTGTCTGCATTGCAACAGTGACTTTTCTGGGACGTCTGATCACAGGCTGTGCATCCGATCGAAGTTTCATGTGATAAGTAATAGGCAATTCACCTAGCTTACCATCAAACAGATCAGAAAACTTATTTTCAACATATTTTTGAACGGACTTGGGCTACAGTACAAAGGAACACTTTGGGGTTTCAACTCATGCACATTCAAAGTAAGAACATTCAAATTTAAACAATCATTAATTCCAAGAATAGGTGTAACATTTCTATCAACAACTTGAAATTTAAGCAAATATGGGACATTACGAAAAATACATTTTATAACAACAGAAATAGACCCATAACCAATCAAAAATGCAGGATTTCACTGGTCAATCTTTTCATAAGATCTGACACAATTGAAAATATGCAATGGCAGGACATTGCATTTAGCACCAGTATCAATTTTGAGTTTGACATGGTTGTTATTCACATATAAACTAGCAAAAGCTTCATCAAGACCAGAAGTCACAACTGAATTGACACAATCAAATGAACTAACATAAAAATGAGATAGCGATCAGAGACCGCCGACTTATCGATCTAGCGGGGTGTATCTATAGCGACACCGCGTGTCCCATCACTAATTAAATATTAACTCGCTAATTATACGACATAATTCATCCAAAATCAATAGGCTTCTGATCCGATTTGATGATTGGACATGCAAAATTTGGAGCGAATTCAACCTCGCTCTCGGGAGATATGGCGTGTATTCGACCGTAGTAGTATATATTTACGATTCAACAGACAAATACCTATCAACATACTTACCGATCAAGATCGATAAGTAATGATCAGCATTATACATGTCATTAACTGGGGTCTGGTTTTGATTGTCATGAACACCATATGAAGATCTATGACATTCTTTTGATTGACCACGCTCAATAAAGCACATTCTTTGAAAATGGTTCATTTTGTGACAAAAAAAACATTTCTTGTCAAATGCTAGACAAGAATCACGTGATTTAGCATGATATGAACAACAATACTGGCAAGCAGAATCAAATTTAGACACACTCTGAAAATGACTATCAGGCTTGCGAAATTTGTCTTTTTTTGCACGAAATGTTCTATTGTTCATTGCGAACTTGTTAGGTCTAAATTTCGGACTATAGCGTGTGTTTTTTTCAAGATGAGATACAGAATCAAGTTCTTTCGTTGCACTCATAGATAGAGATTTCATTCTCTCATTTGTAAGTTCATATATTACACATATATCGATAGCTTTTTTCAATGTAAGATTAGCTTCTTTTAGCAATTGCCTTCGCAAGTTATAATCATAAATGCCCGTCAAAATTCTGTCTTTAATTAACTCATCTTAGAGATCACCAAATTCACAAGACTTGGCTCTGTTTTCAAGTCTACAACAAATGATTGGATAGATTCACCTGACATCTGCGCTCTTGTGTTAAAGTGATGTCTTGTTAGTGCTATCTTTAACTTGGGTAGGCATATTTCAGCAAATTTTCTCCTCAGGCATTCTGGATTATCACGAGACTCAGCAGGAACGTCACTTTCTGCTGCCTGCCTGCCTCATATGTAAAAGATTCTTCTTTTTCTCTGCCCTCTTTCCCAATCAAATTAGGTAATATGCAATCTTTACCTTTGTCAGTTTCATCACTGTGCAGTGCTCCGATCAAAATATCATATTCACGAACAAATATTCTCCGGTTTTCAGCAACATTTTCATCAAAAATTAGAGGATCTGGTCTGTTCAATGACGAATCCTTGAATTGATTGCTCATTGATGCAATTTTTAGAATTCTTCAAGCAACTTTAAATCAATCCCGACTGTGACACTGTGTTTATTTAGGATGCTTGAGTATAATATGGTTATAACGTAGACATTATAGATCACAGCACTTAGCAGCATGCAGTACAAGCAAGGTCAAAGGTAACAAGTATAGCCTTAATAATGACGTTATAATTACACTTGTAATACTGACACGACTTTATCGCAATGCTTTTAATGGTTCCATTACATTTGAACCCATGACAATTGCACCTGTATGCTATTGTTCCTATGGAATTTTTTTTGTTTCACGGATAGTTAAACCCATACTAACCCTAACCCATGGGTTTTAGCACCCGCATATAGATTGAACCCGTGGATATACGCATGGGTTCAAATGTACGGTCACCATATACACCAATCAAACTTTTTTGAACATCACATCAACTTGCGCGCTCTATGGGTTCCTCATAGATAACACTCTAGTAACTACCTTTGCGGCGTCTGCAAAATTTCTGGACATCATTTTGACGACGCCTATTTCTTCCGCCGACGCAGAGCGAACATTCAGCACGCTGAAGCGTATTAAAACGTATCTCAGAAACACAATGAAGCAAGATAGATTAAATTCCTTGGCTGTTTTATCCATTCACAGAGACGTTATTTCTGGGATGCATGACTTTAATCAGCGCGTTATTGAGCATTTTGCTTCCAAGAAACCGCGGCGTGTTGCATATATGTTCAAGCAGTAGAAGTCTAGCAGCATATATATCTAGGAGTGAGCGACGCATGTCCTTATCTTTGCATTAACTTTCCTTTCTTCATAGTAACGTTTTAAACCTTATTACTTATCGATCTTAAGATCGGTAAGTATATTGATAGGTATTTGTCTGTATGTATGTCTGTCTGTGTGTCTGTTAGATGCACGCGATATCTCACGAAAGCGAGATTGAATCTGCTCCAGATTTTGCATGTGCATTCATCTTATCTCGGACCAGAAGCCTATTGATTTTGGGCGAATTATGTCGTATAATTAGCGAGTTATCAATCAATTATTGATATAGTGATCTAGATTTTTGTAAAGCGAGAGAATTTTGAAACCCGCCGAGTGTGTGTGTGCGATGCGCAGTGCGCAAGTTACAAGAGCGGATGAATCGAAACTGCAGTTTCTGTTTTGGGGGATCCCCTAACTATCGATCGATAAGTCTTCGGTTTCCAACCGATATTCTCGTTTTAGGTTTTGTCTGCTTTCCCGAAGTTTCTGTTAATATGTCATTGTATTTATCTGAGTAAATATTGCCTTTCCTTTTGAAAGAGGTTTCAAAATAAACTATGGCTATATTTATTAATCCCTTGACTTGGACCGGTTTTAAAGACACTTTCTTATCGTTAAAAATTGTCGCTTTTGCCGATTGGTTGTTACCGATGGAATGGTTTTTATACTCATAAAATGATGGGAGAACTTACAGCGCTCATCCTGTCCCCGTAGATGGGGGTGACTTGGTCCCGCAGTAGCTTGCCCCGGTTATCAAAAAGACCACGCGCCGCCACTGCATACAGGTATGGGTTGCAGCAAATGTCAATTGGTGGCTATCCAGTCAATACTCCCATACCCAGTTTCATGTTCTTGCTGAAGAGGCGTTGGCCAATAACACAAGTCAGTGGTGCCGCTGTTCGATAACCAACTTTGGTTCCCTTCACCAGTAAAATTATGTTCTTTACTTTTCCACATCGTATCTGTTTATTATTTTACTGGTTGTAAAGAATTAACTTACTATTAACCACCGTCCACTGACACGCAAGAGCAAACAACTGTAGAATTGCAAGAGGGGTTCCTAAGAAATTTTGATTTCTACGGCCCCCATTAACAGCGATATTTTTGTGCTTTGGACCCGTTAAACTAGAGAGAGAGGGTAACCGTGGTTATTTCTGTTAAACTTGCATCAGGTCCATGGAACTCCGGCCATAGTTTCCAGAAATACATCCAGACTTCAGTCTCACGTCAAGTCGATAACGCTACGATTACTACGTCCGCCGATAATCTGGAGACATGATAACAAATGAAATGCATTTCGAGTCGTTTATTTCCCAGTGATGCCACAGGTTCGAGAGATCAAATAGAAGAAATTACGAACTTACCAGTGCAGTATATCTTTATTTTTTTAAGTGCATACGCTTTCAATTGTACTTTTCAAAAATTGCATCTAATCATGCTTGAAATCAGAAACTGCCCGTAACAGCAGGGCCATCCAAATCAAGCACAATGAGGTGCAAAGTATCAAAAAAAAAAATGTTAACTGAATTAATGGGAACAAACACGAAAATAATTTTCAATAAAAATATTATCTTCAAAAAACGGGTACTGTATCGAAATACACCTGTAAACTAGAAGGCTAAAGAGACCACTGTGCCAACAAAGTATTATTTTGTTTGATTACCACTCGAAATTGGGACCATTATGTAGAATTAACGAACATGTAGTTATTTGAAGGCAACAACATTGGGAGGCTATGGCTTGGGGGATGTACAATAATTGGGCAAACACAATGAATTTTGCGTCGATCTCCGTCACAGTAGCAATAAAGGTGACTGCCGAAAAAAATCAGAGGACAGCCATTTGAAATTCGTGTGAAGCAACCTTGTCTAAAGATTAATTTTGAATTTTGTTACATTTAGCTTTAAAACTATCTTCATTTTCGAAGCATATCATGAGCCGTTCTCTGCTGATGAATGGCACAAATTTATTGAATAAACTTTTGTTGCACCGATGGAATTGTGGCAAAGTTTCAAAGCATGTGATAGGAAAAATCTAGATTAAATATTGTAGATGTATGTGGTTGGCAATAAAACGTACAGACCGCTGAAGAACTTCAAGCCACCCAGTGACACTGCATTGAAGTGTTCCCGTAGCAGAATACAACAAGAGCAAAACAGAGTATATGACCAAGATCACACTTATGACTTGAAAATTAATTTTGAGGTCAAATAGATAAAAGCACAAAAAGCCAAAAAAAAAAAAAAAACTGCCGAATTAACTTACATACGTATTCACAAAACCATTATCCTTTGCGAAAATTTCAAAAGCATGCTTGGTCAGATGAAAATCAGACATGACTCATTGTTAAAAAGCAAAAACACCTTGGTGGACAGTGACCTTGGCTTTCATGTGGTTTGCTCAAGTTGCTATACTGCAACAACTTCAAGTCCTATTCAAACATAGTTTCGTCTTCAACTGAAACATATGAATCCGGCACCACTTGGTCCGTGTATTGGCACGCAAAGGATGACAACATGTTTCGACTGGAAGGCAATGTCCGATAAGAACATGTCTCATGTTCCCGTGGCATTCTGGCATCCCCACCTGATCCAAGAGGCATGATAAAGCGAGGTTGGTCCCAACAATGGCCCTGTTTCCGAATCCAGGGATGTATGAGAACATCTGATGCACGAAACCTTTGTGACGGATCTCTGCACAGCAGATTGTGTATTAGATCACGTGCTTCAGATGACAAGGTGTCTGGGACAATGAATTTGCCACGACTAATTTTAGAAAAAAGCGCAGACGGCTGAGATTCTTCAAAAGGGTATCTGCCAACAAGCCTGAAAAAAAATGAGTTAAATTAAATTAACTGTTAAAATCCATGTACATGCATAAAATACTGATCAGCCTTCCTGGGAGACACTTATGGACAGGTTCTCGTACATTTGAACTCACAGCAATTGCACCTGTATATATTGCACCCATGGGAGTGGAGTGTTTTTTGTTTTGCGGATATTTGAACCCATACTAACCCCAACCCATGGGTTTTAGCACCCACATATAAATTGAACCCACAGATATACACATGGGTTCAAATACGGTCACCTTATGGACACACTTACATTGTGTATAGCATGACTCCCATGCTCCATACATCAGATGCCTTTGCACATAACCCATTGACAGTTTTATTACTCTGTCCTCCAGAAGATAGCGCAGCCGCAGTGCAGGCCAATATTTCAGGACTTATGTATGCCAAGCAGCCATGTCTGCAAGGAAGAAATGGTACAGTTCAATGTAGTGCAGAAACAGGAAAAGAAGGTCATACATGCAATTCTAATGCCATTTTTCATGTTGATTAATTGTCAAAGACAAATAGTGAAATATGGAAAAATACATTCAATACAGTTTACTATTTTTTACATCAATTCTTTAACAATTTCTTAAGACTTCGATTATAACTTATATTGTGTTTCTAAACATAATTCTGAAATCAATACTCAGGTAGAAATTTCGTGTGATTAATTATTCTGCGTAATACATACTTGACAACAAGACCTTCCTCATCTTCAGAATCAAGCACAAAAACATCTTCAAGGCTTTCCAGCATTACTTGTGTTCTAAAAACAAAAAATGAAAATTTTATACTAATTGTGAAAAGAAATATCTAGTATATTAAAACACACAAGAGCACACAAAGCTAGGTATATTATCAAATTTATTCGGTAAAAGTATAAAATAATTAATTTTTTTAATAATTAAAAACAAGCGTGTAATTTTGAAATGGGAAATCTTTAAAATGTAATGAAAAACTTAGGAACCATTCTACATAATAAACTTTCATTTCAAATAAAGCACCTAACAAGATATTGCATCATCAAACCACAGACAAAAACACTTGATGACACATACAACATATTATGCAATACAATGTCACATAAACCAGGTCAAACTAATACAGAATTACAAGATAGATGACACAACAGAAACTACAAGTACATATACAGTACTTTAGTAGAAATAAAGTGCTTTGAACGAGATGAGGCAAAGATTCTAAACACTTCAATTGCAACGCAATTCAGAAGCAATAGTCTAACGTTTACACATGTTTCATTTTTTCATAATAACGTGAAGTAAAACTCATGAAAGAAATATTCTAAGATGAAAGAGAAATTTGATCAATCAATGTATGTTGTTTTTCAAACATCAGTATACGCTCCATGTCAATTGGGCAGTAAATCATAATCATGTCACGAATAAGAGCATTCAAAAATGTCAGGTAATCAGAGGGTTAATATTGGTTAATAACCTCCTATTTGTGGCAAATTAAACATTTCATAAAGAGGGAAAATAAACTCCTATTTTCATTCTTTCTATGATCATTAAGTGGGTCACATGCAACTCTAGACAAACTAAAACTCATTCAACCTTTATTGAAATAACACACAGATATTTACAGACTCCATCCCATGACAAAGAATTGTTTACAGAGACAAGTTAGATGAGTAGGCAAGTATGGTGCTTTTCTACTTCATTAAATGAACAAAATGTAACATGTTAATAAAGCATCCTAAAGATATTTCCCATATATATCAAATCAAACATTTTTTATTACTAGCAGTGGTCTCTGTATTTTATGGCAATAAAGTATATTCAGGCTTATTAAATATAAAAATCTCACTTGTCAGGGTCTCTGAATATAAATTTTCGTAACTTGAGGTCTCGTAGAACGATGTTATTTTTGTGGCAGTGTGCTACTGCTTTAGCAACCTGAGTGAAGAAGGGGGCCGCAACTTCTTCTGATAGACGTTTTTGAGTTCGTGTCATATTGTGAAGATTGTCAGCCTTGAAACCTGAAATGTTCAAAATCATAATTGAAAATATTACGCATGGACACGAAAATATACTAAAGTACTTGAGAAAAGAAAAGAGTAGTTACCGTATTCTTTTTCATTCTTATCATCTTTCGTTCGCTCGACCTGAGGCATTCCAGGTTGAAAAAAGAAATAAGTACTGGTTGGACCATTCACAATGTCAACGATATGGTTGATGTTTGGATGAGGTTCTAATATAGAATACGCCCGCATTGCTTGTCTGTAATCGGTTCCTTTATAAACCTGAAAGTAATAAGAAATACATTTGGTTTGCTGCATATCTCATGCATAAATGTAGTGTGATAAAGAGTACAGTACGCACTAGCATCACTGAAGCATACAACAATGCCACTACTATTACAGTTCAATAAAGTTCTTGAGGAACGCAGACGATAAAACTTACTGTAGTTGGTTCAAGTTATTTAATAGTTTATATGATTTTGGCACAAAATTCAAGTATTAGGAGTCGCAATTTCGGTACTTGTCAAGTATCAGGGTATGGAAAAAGTTGGTCATAATCCATTTTGTATAGTGGTGTAATGTAACAGAATCACATTAAAAAAATAATTTATGCGCCCATCTCACCTTGCAAATAAACTCCAACTCCGTGTTGGTGTTTACAGCTCTGTAAACATTCCCAGAATTATGCCCTTCGACTTGTTCAACAAGGAGATAATCACCGATTCTAGATGCTTGGTGGGAGCCATCTGGTACAAAAGTTGGTGGTGTAGGTGATGAAAGATGTGGTGAGGCATTCACTCCATTTTTCAAAGACCCGTCAAAAGCATCTTTGATTCTTGTTATTGTATCATGTCTTTGCCGTGGCGTACTACTATCAGCTGATCCCAAATTTAAAGCAAAATTTCTACGCTGAGGACGCTGTATAGCAATCGGTTCCGAACGTGATATCTCCGTCATATGGTTAGTATAGTGTAAGGTGGAAGCCTTGTCTATATATAGATATATAGGTATCCTTCACAGTGTAATATTTGCTTGAACTTTGAGCCTGGTCATAGATGTTTTAAATTTATTTTGTCCGTTCAATATTTGGGTAATTGCAACCGGCTATATAGCCTAGTTTAGTTTGAAAGTATTTTCGCTATCTTTATGTTGTATTTCTTTTCCGATAAAGGCTCAGATAACTTATCTGGAGACCAGAGACTTGATTGAAGACGCTCCTCGAACACAAGTTCTATGTTCTCGCTGCCTTTCGACACGTCCTGTTGCGGTCAACCCCTACCGGGTCCACCAGCTTGCCATATTTTTTCTCTAAAATGAAAATATATAAGTTAAAATAAACCAAACTAACTACTGAAATCCTAGTCTATAGTTTGCGTGGCAAATGCGCTAGACAACCCGAATGCCCCAAACAACGCGAAATTACTGAAGGTCTCGAGTACTACAAATACTATTACTCAATATTTTGCTTTGGGTTTGTTGTATTCATCCGACATTTGGTCATTCACAATATATACCTCTCTTGTGAAATCCGTATGTATAATCAAGTTAAATTAAAACTTCGCATTTGAAAATTTTCTATATCGTGTCTTATAAACTATCTGGAGCTCATACTTTGTAAAATAACACAATTTATTTTGGAATTCTGCACTACATACCCACGTCTGAATATAGAACTGCGGTTGATTTCGCAACATAGAGAGAAAAAGAGAACGGAGGATTGCGTCATACATGACGTTTAATAAACAGAAAGAAGTTCTTACGCAATACGGAAAGATACAGACGATGCTCTTTCTCTATTTATGTTAACGTTCTCTTCCTCTTTCGCAACACAACCGAGGTTACTTCGGTACGGTGGCTTGCGCAACCACGACGGCGGCTGCTGAAGTCTGATTGGTGATCGTGTCGAAATCGAATAACTAAACTTCAAGAACGAGTTGCGGAAGAAAGCGAAAATAAAAACTTACTCTGCGAAAATAAAATTCACAATTGAAACGATAGTGTAAAGTTTCGTGTTTGGAAAATATGTCTTTTGCCCGGAATACCACCCCGACTGGCCGACGCACCTTCCACACGCCCACAAAAATGAGCAATCGACGCCCAGCACCGATGGCAACCGTCGATGAAAGAACGGCAAATACCGAGACAAAAATAGCTTGGTCGTTGTGATACATAGGTAAGTATAATAAGTACGGTTAAGAAGATTTCGACATTTGTATGCGTAGGCTCGACAATTAAAATGGGTCATGTGGCAATGAAATTTTTTTTATTTTGCGCATTATTACGAAAGTAGGATGAAACTTCTTTATAAAAATATAGAATACCAAATTGATCAGCCTATGTTAAAAAAAGATTACGATGACACGTATCAGCACTTAAATTTTTTTTATGTCAGGGTTCTTTTTTTTCGACCAATGAGTGTGTTCAGTGGTTTCCTAACGAATAAGAGAGTAATGCTCAAATGCATCGACACGAAGATCCGCTTACTGGTACCGGCACGACTAAAAATAACAAGCTTTAGTTAGATTCAACCTAAAGTTAAGGCTAATTGCCAATAACAAAAAAAATAATAATGAAACGATCCCTAGGTCCGCGTCGTATCCAATAACAAGAATTTATCAGAATTTTCCATATTTATATTTCATGTCCAATAAATTTTTAGTATCAATCAACATTATGAAATGGATTCGAATACCAGTGCCGATGTAAGGTGGGCAATTGTACTGAACCACCTCAGGTTTGGTAGTATTTCGAATAAATAATTGCGTACTCATAAATGTGAAGTAGCCTACATACAATATGACGACGTGACAGCTTACCTCGCAGCATCGAGTATTTTAAAAATTATTAAGCGAACGCTCTGTGACGTAAATGTCGCGTATATCACGTTCTCTAGCGCGAAAAATACTTCGCTTCGTAGTTCCCACCCTTTATGCTCAATTATGGTGCACAGCGGCTACGATATATATATGGATTAGTGATAAAAATGGCGCTTGTGAAGTCATTAGTCGTAAGCAACAATGAACATATTCGCGCAACTTAACCTATATATATTAGCAAATACTGGTACTTCTTATTAAAAAAGTGGTTTTGCACCGCCTCAAAGACGGACCGTGCATCGAGGGCCTAGCCATATTGCGCAAGATTCTTCCAGAACACGTATTAAGACTAACACCCTTTAAATCAGGGCTTCCCAAACTAGGGGCCGCGGTCCTGGAAGGGGCCGCAAAGAGAACACCAATTTCACACAAAGTACCAAATCAATTGTACTTTTCCAGACTCTTGATGCGAAATACAATTATCAAAAATAGTGTAAAATAAAAATTTCACGATTCCGAGTGAATACATCATCAAAATACCGTGTTTCCCCGAAAATAAGACAGTGTCCTCAATTTTCTTTCGAAAATAGGACTAGGGTTTATTTTTGGGACAGAGAACACAGAAATTTTTTTTTTATACAAAATATGAATACCGATTTCCATTTGCTTATAAATAGCACGTTTTTATTTAAAGTAACTAGATTATTAACCATTTAAAAAAAATTGAAAAGATTTCCTGCTATCGACTGGGACTTAGTGGTTCTCGAACTTTATTGTATTGTGAAGCCCTCCAAAAATTTACGGCTCCCCGTGAAAATACGTATTGATCATATAAACAAACAAAAAACTTAACGACAGGCAGTGAAATCGCATTAATGGGCCTTGGTAGAAAGACTGCTTTATATAAATACGAAACGCAATTGTCTGTAAAAGTAGAATTTATGGTTTGGTTGAAACGTTCACGAATCGCGAAATTTTGCGACGCCGTAGTAAAATTGAAAAGACGCACTTCCACGGGATTAAGTAAATTCAGGCTTGGTCTTTTCCTCGGAGAAACATGGTAGAATCATCGCGCTTGCATAACAATATGCCTATTTTGATATTTAAGACCCTATTGCGGGTGCTTGCATAACAATGACGGCTTTTTAAATCGTTATTTAAGCTAGCGATTTCCGAAGGCGATTTGCTGAGTGCGCCTCGAAACAAATTACATATTATATGTATTCTAAATGTTTTATTGTTTCTCATTGTTGCAAATGATGTGCATAAGAATATAATCATTTTACCATTTTATGTTGTTTACTTTCTGTTACGCAAGGTCTATTGTTACGTAGGATAAGAGGTAAACCCTACATGCTGCAATTTCATAGGCTGCAGTTTATTCATTTGCTGAACCGACATTTTAAAGAAAAACCTAGCAGAGATAAGTAATAAACGTTAACCTTTTGCCTTTATTCCTTAGGCCTACATGTTTAAAAACATCAAAAGACATTCAGTAAATAATAACGATGACAAAATTGTGTTTTGTTTTGGGCAGCATATTTTTCGTGTAGGTGCGCCATGAGTTTTTCCCTGATAATTTGGCGTCGCACAAACCGCTGCCTTTTGCTAAGTTGATCTATAAGAGTGAACAATTTGAGATCGGCCTAAAGTTCAACCAAATACTATCATGAATAAATATGATCTAGACACCGATTGGTTTTATTAGATTTCGACATTTCTGCTCAAAATAAGCCCTTTATCGTTTAACGTAAACACCGGGTAATCTACGCACAATCTAAGTAACCCGCCTTATTCCTCCATGGTATCATGGGGCGTGGGTCAGTATGTCCCGAATAAGACGTTACAACCTTTGAGGTTGAATTCAAAGATAGATGATACATCAAAATAAAATGGATTGATTGAATCCAGATGAGAGGCCAGGTACGTCTCAGTATTAATAACCGCTAAGCACTGAACAAATTAATTCCATTAATGGATATGTACAGTTATTAGCATCGTTTGGTGTTTCTATGATAATGGCTATAGCACACGAACACTGGGCAGGTAATGTTTTCATCATATATATATAAATCATAACGCAGGCTGAATAAACGCTTTTCTTTTACAATTGCGCAATATGTCGACAGCGTACGATCAAAAACTATTGGAAGTCGCGTCGAAAACCGTTTGACGAAGTTTCGCAAGAGCGTGACATTCTCATGTAGTGGGGAAATGTCTTACTGGGCAGGTTTTTTATGTAAATAAGCAAAGTCTGCTCCCTTAACCGAAATGTGGATACATGGCGATAGACGGAAAACGCTGAGAGTTGCTTAGATTGCTACTGCTGAGTTACCTGATACAGGTAACACAATTGGTTATATTCAAAAATCGGAAGTTCTTGTATAGAATATCACGAGGGCAAAGCGACAAAACGCCTTGACAAGTCAAAGAATTTCCAATATCCGAATACGGATATATTTTTCGGTAGGAACAAGTATGACAAGTCATCTGTAGACTTACTGTGGTAGACAAAGAAAAAGAGTAACGGCATTTAGATTTAGTGACACACTGCTGCTGTCGTTGGCCGCTCAACCGTGGCAATGCATCATCACGCTACAAATCCGTGGAATATTTCGCAATAACGATCATGGATGGAAATTATTTATCTTTATTTCGTCCTTGCGCAAGACATAGCTAAGATATAATATGCTCGACAGATTTGTTTAGCGGGTGGTTCGGGTAGTCGCTCGTCTGGTAAGCAAGTTCTTTCACCGCAAAGCATTTATTTATACGTACGGGATCTTTTGTACAAAGCCCCCGCCAAAAAACACCCTGCGAACGCTCAAAATAAGAAAATCAGTAGTTATCCAGATAAGGTTAGGAATGCATATAACGCTGGAAATTCAAATTTTAAACCATTCCTAACCCCAACCGAATAATTACTAATTTGTTGGCGGGGGTGTTTTCGTCAAGTCTCACATTTTTTGGCGGGTCTTTGTATATACAAAAGATCCACGTAACGTAACACCAATTCTTCCCATCACTATCGCTTTTATCAGGTATCCGTCTACTCTGGATCGGGCATCGTACCTTAGGCTACATATATATGGTGAACTGATATAACACCAAGTTTGATTCTCGCGGGTAATTTTGTAAAAGACCGTGGTGGTAATACATCCGATATTTCCATCTTCTATGCTGCATTGTCGAGTGACTGACTTTCATAAACGAATTGTGCTTCGACATGATGCGATTATTTGTCCCAACTTCAATATTTCCGCTTGCACCAACCTTTAAATACTCCAAAATGTGCTTGATTTGCATGCACTATGCAATGGTACTTTGCATGGTCTACTAGCGACCTTTATAATGTATTATTCTTTTTTCACATCACATTTATACATCGGCAGTACATTCGGGAAAACGCGAATGCGTTAGGTAAAAATGAAGTCAGAAACGCACAATTTTGACTCACATTACGCTATTTCATACAAAGATAATATATATCACTGATTTAGTCATTTCACTTTTGTGTCCATATATTCAAGCATTGCATCGTGTTGTTCAAGAATGGTAACTATTTATGTCGCATGTCAACTCTCACTCATGTCTTACCCAGGGTGGGGATGCCCAAAGCAAATTCCGATCAATCGAAAATAGCAGTTTCTTGCGTATCGACAGCTGCTTGTCTGCTGTTCGGAGTGAAAGCGCCATGAAATATATGGTGAATTCGAAATTGAATATGCTACTTTCTTTATTGCAAAATTGCCAGACGTACTAAAATAGTGAACGGAATTTTCATTTATTGTTTGTCCTGTCGTGCTTTGAATCCCAATTATCAAAAGACAAGTGGAGGCAAATCTCTCGATAAACATAGCCAGATAAAATTCACAAACCAGGCACTAACCAGTAATTTATGTTTTCATCATACTGAAAATACACACTGAACATATATAACATAAGAAATGAAATCAAGAATAGCATTAAAGAGCGGAAGGGAGAAAACGCTGATGACTGCACATGGCAAAAAGTACGTATTCTGATCGAAAAAATATTTTCCAGATAAACGACTAAACGCTGTACGATGCAAAATCACACATCCCACGATAGATGAAACAGGAAGCCACATATGATTGGCTGATGGTCGAACACCTTAACAAATTATTGAATAACTATTAACAATTTCATGATGTCGCTGCTGAATTCGTTCTTCGAGTGATTTATGCACCTACCCCACAGGTATCTTGCCATATTTGCACATCGTTGCTATGGCCTAATGGTGTCTCACGAGAGTTCCATTAACGTCCAGATGTCTTAGGATTAGGCCTTCTACAAATTAATTCAAACAGAACACTTTTCCTGCATATGTCCGTCTAATCCGATGAGGAACATAACATGACAATTTATTTTAATAAATCGATAATTTATCAATGCCAAACAAACTTCCGTGTCTTCTTTGTGCTAATTCCCCTCCAAGAGTATTTCTTTTGTAATTTCTTGGCATACCCTTTTTAAATATGTCAAACGTCCGTGGAACAAATAGTTGAATGGGGTAGGATGAAATTCCACACCGGACCTAACTGCTAGAGACCTAGTATAAATATGGCGATGACAGTGCTTCTCATTGTAGTAAAAGGGTACATAATACGACGAAATAATTATACGCAAGTCTCGATGACGACGGCCCATTAATATTCTCACCGGAATTTATTGAATAAAATTCGCCATCATCAAAACCAACCCTACCTCCTGAAGTGGCCCGGCCTACCCCCAAAATGAGCAGTGGCAGTTTATTAAAGGATGTATTTAATCTAGTGTATCTACCTCCAGCAAATAAAGAAATAAATCAGAGTGCACATACTTTAATCAGCAAAATTTCGTCCTGGTAACGTTGGGACTCTATTATACGTCGTTTTTTGCCTCGGGTAAAACACCTCTTACCCCAAAACACCAGCCTCGTAAGTTGATGTGCGTAGAATGTAAAATCTTGGTTCTAACGTTGTTCACAAGATGTCGCTCTATCACGCGATACGTTTCAAGCATTGAGGTATTTATTGAAAACTGACTTTCTCTGGATTGCTATCAATAATAATCCTTTCACCAAATGATCCAGCCGATATAGATGAAAATGCGCGCTTGGATAACCTCAACAACGAGAGTCTGTAGAGAGATTCTTTAATTAGGATATTGTAAGATATCAGTGACTGATTTTATTTAGCCTTGTTCGAAGCAAAAGACACAAGTAAGCGTCATATTAAGATTTAAGTCATTATACAAAACAGATTTGCCGCTCTTGGCTCAAGGTTTTCCTAACTGCATCAACAATTGTAATGAATTTTCGCTGCTTAATATTTGCACTTTTTGGCGGCTATTCCGTGAATATGGTTGCCAACCCCTGCTGTAATCAATTGTGGAAATGGACAGTGGCTGGGTAGAAGTCAATCACTGGTCCATGTCTCGGTTATGTCTGCGGTAAGTTGAGTACGAGTTATTTCACTTGGATGACTCGAGTCACTTTGAGATAAATTGCAAATATTAATATTATATGAATTTCACCAATGACAATAAATCTGTATAGACATGCCAGTTGCGACGCCACGAGGCTCTTGAAGAGCTAGGGCGCGCGCCTTTAATAGCGAAACACCGTTGAATAAATTTCAGAATTCCATTAACTTTGCTCCCGGACATTTGCACCTATATAGATTTGGACCGACGAAAGTTTTAACTTTCGAGTATCAGTAGCTACATCTGTACCCATGAACATCCGCAGCCACGTATATTTGAGCTCACAGACATTAAAGTAAACTAGGTTTTATTGCAAATTCCCCCCGCTTGCGATTAATCCGTATTTTCATCATCAAATTCGTCCAAGCAAAATCCAGAATCAAGTGAAAAACAGCGGTAACAGTAGATGTAGGACACACATCCTTCATTTTAATATTACTCCTTACTGAAGCACGTCTTCCCTTAGTAATTCGTGAACTCTGACGCGTGTGATTGGCAGCGTGAAACAACCAAACACCGCGGTAAATTCGACGTCTATGGGTGAAGGTGTCCGTGGGTATAAATGCCCATTGGTGCAAATATTTAAGGGTGCTGTCTATATGCGTGTGCTGCCACTAACAAATATACATCCATTTCCTTCGCTGATTCAAAAATTGCTAGTTTTCGCCAGTTGAAGAGAAACATTCTGTAAACTATATTTTGTCCCCATTCTTTCGGCGCTATCAAAGCGGAATATTTCAATATCTATTTTGTTTATTTGATTTCTGAACTTCGTGCCATCGCTTGCTTATCGGCATCGATAACATCATCCTAAACACGAGGGCCAGACGGTATTAAATTACGTTTAGGTGATAATGCACCGCATGGATTAGTTTTGAAAGCGTCATTCGCCGACGTAATAGATGTTTGGTTCCAAGCAGAACCCATCGACTTATCACGGCTCAATTCAAAATGCTTCTCGGATTGGTAAATCCTCGCTTTGCATTATATATATATATAACATACCGGACTCCCCCTCTTTGGGAGAGCGCTCATTTATATATTTGCTCCTCCCGCCACATTTGAGCAATTGCGACGAATGATCTCACCACAAAGCTACGTTTCTGCCTATAACGACTCTGAATTAAATTTAAAAGCCCCATTTTGCGATCACTTCAGATAATAAGCGGTGGGTAATGAAGTAACTCACGAATGAGCGCATAACAAACGCCAGATGCCCTCGAAATTCGCTTGGATGTCTTCTTCTACACGGCCATGACACTTGCACACCAGCAGGGAAATGTAAATCATGACACTGTCTCCACCATTTTGTTCCATGGTATAGAACAGCTAAAGCTCAACTGCGACAAAACTTATCATAAAAAGACTCAACTCGAACCAAATTCATTTTCTGTTTTGCTTTTGATTGGAGAAATCACCGATCATTGTGTTATCATTCATCGCATTACGCCTATAAAGTGGTTTTATATGGAGAAACAACAGAATAATATCAAAATCGATAATAATGAAGTTTGATTAAATAAACAAAAATAATATCAAATTAAATCCACAAAGAGTAAAAAAGAAAACGAGGAAAATGAAATCAAAGCTTTAACATGCGATTTGTGCTGTGTATAGTATCATATAAACGACTCAGTAAAATAAGAATCATTTCAGTGGTAGAAAGAGAATAATATATCAACCGACCCAATAACAACGTTATATTAAAGGTTAAATTGGCTAGCCAAGCACCCTGAAAGAACTCATCAAATACTTGGGAGTAAGTTAATATGGTGGCGAGTAAAATCGGCTCAATTTCAATACATTTTGCTAGTATAACAAATCAGTTATTGGAGGCATAACTTTAGTTCACTTTGATATGATACAATGCAGAGTATCACCCATCTTCCAACTAGCCACTAGCCGAACAAGAATGAATGAGAAGTGCAAAAATGCACGAAATAGTACTGCAAATCATTAAATCTAAAACCGAAACAAATCAGTTTAATTAAAGTAAAAATATATAGAAGTAAGATTAATTTGTAGACTCTATAGAATCCTATGGTTTCAATAAATTGAACACTTATATATTTGAAAGTTATATAATAACACATTTTCCATACTAAAACCAACTTCATTAAGATTGAACCCGGTTTATAAGTTCAACATATTTAAATGATTGTCATGAAAGTGCGGAGCACCCATTCGTAATTATCTATTAAAGTAAGGTGCAAAAGGTTTGAAACAAAATTGACACGGGCTGGCCTCTGGGCTGAACCAAAATAAGCAGAATATATCACAGAACTAGAGAGAGGATGGTGTTAATGTAATGGTAATCTTAAATTTTTTATTCAAGGCACATATGCTAAACGGTGTTATTATGTCATCAGCTAAGATGATTCTCTCAAAATCAGTGTAAAGTGCTATATGCAAGGTTGTGTTTGTGTACTGTGATAATGTATTCCGGATAGCCAGCCTGTTCAAACTTGTTTAAAATCTGCAAAACGAAATGCTTACAATATAGCAATATTTAACAAGAACAGTAATATTTGACTTGAACATGTATATTTGAGGCACTGAAGCATGGTGTCATTTACACTATCAGGTATTTGTAACCATATCAGTAATCAATCGTAAATCTAATATTCAGCAATTTGAGCAATTCAAAATACTGTGAGGATGCTTTTGTGCAGTAGGGCCATGTTTGGCTATACATAAGAAGCAGACAGGATTAGCTTCAATATGTTATTGGACTGTATTGCTGGGTGGGCTATAATTCAAGTGTGATAACCGCACTTCAGACAAGTTAACCACGAAATAATCAACCAATATCGCCTATTATTTGGAAATATCTATTTTTTTCTAATGTAATGCCACGTCACAGAGAATGTACTGTATACATAAATATAATATCACCACCATTTTGATATTGATAATTTTAAATGACTGCGAATGCCAGCTGATTGATTCATATAGGAGTAGTCATTACTGATATCCTCAACATGTGCAAAACGAAGTGTGGCATAAAAATGACACCTTATTCAAATAAACAAACGTGGCTAAGAACATCTGAGTTTCATTCAAAAGTTCAATAGCAGATCCAGTGAGGCAAGAAGATATATGATCATGGGTTGATCAGTGAAATCCACTTTTCACTCATGCAACATACTGAAGATGATGATGTTCTCTCAATTCGTCATTTTGACAGTTTGCTGATGACACGTATAAGAGCGCCGTTCTCATCTTTGAGTCTTTGATTGGCCGCTTTTAAATCTGCAAGTACCTGTGAACAATGAAAAAATGAATTTAAATTGTATCTTCGTTACAGATATCAGAAAAATAATCAGGTTCCCATGATTAAAATAACTCCACTCACTGATGTTCAAAATCAAAATGACCTGTCCAAACCATACAATATCATCCAGTGCAAAATAAAACCAAAACAAAATACTCATATTCACATTAAATTAGGAAAATAAAAAAATCAATGGAGAATCTTCAGAAATCATTTGTCCTACTACAAGCAGATGTTTTGTTAAGCAGAATCAGAATTCATAACAAAATATAATTCAAGACAGGCTTGATATCAGATTAGCTGTGCGGATTACAGCAAATATTAAGCTACATACATATTGAATGAGAAAAATAGAATTTATATTCCCATAATACCATTTAGTTTTCAAATTTCGTTAACCACTGCAAGCTATTCAAGTAATGTTATTGTGTTTAAAAAGCGCCAAAAAAGCTAAGCTCTCTCATAGGACATGCATCATAAACTACATTCCAAATACAGTTGATCACATTATGTTTTTTAATAGTTTAAAGTTATTATCATTCCTCAGTAACAAAATACTTCACACGGCATACAACAGAACTTCTATTATAATTCAAATTGATGAACTCTGACAAAATATTGAAAAATTGCATAAAGAAATATGGCAACGAATTTACTGATAATGAAATCAATATCAATTGACAAACAAATCAAAACATGTATGATTCGTATTGATAAATTGAAAGATGGGACTAAATTATCCTGAATAATTAAAAAAAAAACTTATTAAAGTTGAATATTATGTTGCAATAGAAGTCATAGAATTTCAAACAGGAAGTTAGTGAGTAAGATTATATTATTTTGATTCCCTTTCTGATTAAATATAGAGACTTAATTAAAAGAGCATTATGTTTGTGCACAGAGACACTAAAAACAGCGCTTCAAAAGTGTGTGTACCAATATGGAGGTAACTAATTTTGTTTGCCTACTTGTGTAATGTAATGTACCTAGTTGTGTAAAGAGACTGAAGCCTATGGGCAGGGGTATATTGGCTAACACAGAGAGTATATAATATATTGCCTAACCCTAACCTGGTACACACACTACTGGAGTACCCTAAAAATAATATTTGTAGTACTTTCAAACACAATTGACGTTGTGTAAGGAGACATAAAACTGATCAAATTCAGTAAATTGTTTTCAAACAATTGTTGGGTAATGGGGGTTTTACAAAGAGACCAGCATCCCAAATAATACTAGAATATGATATTTCAAAATTAAAATACTAGGATACATATTTATAATTGGTCACATGATAATTTGAATGTAAGCAACTCTGCATGCACTATCTATAAACTAGAATTTGCTAGAATTATAAAAAAAATCATTTAAAAATCACTGTCACAGTTGGATTACAATCAGTTGCAAATTAGACAGTTCCAAAATTATTTTAAAATCATTAGTTTTCCTTGATTGTTTTTTATGATTTCAGTAAATCTATTGACAGAATGCAGGCATGCAACATTGGAAAATCAAATCATATAAAAATAAGTCTTCGATCCGGATGCCAAAAGCGTGAAGAATGAAATCATACGCAAACTTGCGGTTGCGGAGTAAATTGCAGGCAGGGGTTAGGCTGTTTGAGATGCCGGTGGGGGTGAGTGTGTTTGGTGCGACAGTTTCACAACCCAGAAGCAGAACGTGCAGTGCGGAAGTTTCATTGTAACTTATTCACCTGAGAGAGTCGATGATAGAAGATGTTGGCAGTTAGATCCTTTATATGGCACTTGGTTGTTGAGAAGAATTGAATCAGTGTATCGATGGTACGAAAGGAAGCATTCGGTATGTACAGTGGAAAAACGATTTATTGAAAGGATCTAGTGCCAATATTCTTCACGCTCAGTACTTGCGACGCCTCGACGAACTCATACTTGAATATTTAGGGGTGTAACTTGACAAAGGAGTCGTTTTTGATGTACCAGTTCGCCCAGTGCTGCTGCTCAAGGTTGATGAGTATCCGTGTCTTGGCCTTGAACTTGCAGAAGAACCGTAAGTTGATTTAGGAGAGTAAGATGTACTACTACTGCTGTAAGGAGTTGGAGCTGTTCGAAAAGATGATGCTGAAGTTGATGATTTTGTTGACGGAGGAAGTGTTTTTAAAAATTCTCTCCTCGATGATGATATTGGTATAGTGTACGATCCAGCAGAGGAAAGGGCGGAAGAAGGAGTGTCCCTTCTACTTGTGTAACGTGAATGAGTTGTAGATGATGAACGACCATAATCAGACAGTCCGCTGCTGTAACTCGAAGCAGGCGATCGTCTCGGTGAATGGGTTCGCGAAAGAAGAGAAGGTGACGATGAAGATGCTTCCAATCTTGCTTTTCTTCTCAGCGAATATGTTGTATCAGAGTGTATTGACGATGCTGGTGAATCAGATCGATCTTTGAGACTACGAGACCTTACGGATGTATCCGATCCTTGAATTGATGCCGATGAAGCTCGTCGTGTCTCAACTACTTTATCATCTTCAGAAAGTGAAGAAGATGAGGATGATCGAGAAATGATAGATTTGGCACGAGATTCTTCCTTTTTCCTATCAGTATTATCTGCTATTTCATCTAATTTTCTTAAATCTGGTGCTGACTCTGATTTCATTTTTGTATTTTTTGGCAAATGTAAACTGTCTCGTTCTCTCGATAATGGTGCAGGAGATTCGTTGATAACGCGACTTATGACGTCCGGAACACTCCCGCCAAGCTTCTCCACAATACGCTGTAGAGCTGTATTCTCAGCTTTCAACTGTCCATTTGCAGTACGAATTTTTTCGGCACTTTCAGAATTCTGATCAGATGTGAAAATAGAACCGTTTGGCCACATGGATCGATCAATGAGTGCATGAGTGTTAGAATCAGCGACGTGAGCATTCAGCCATCCATGTGTGTGTGCGTTTGCAAGTGGAACAGTAGTGCAGCAACGTGCGGTGAGCAACGTGCAAAAGAGAATTTTTCAGTTATCGATTTTAAGCAAATTTCAAGAATATTTATTAATCAGTAAATAGGTCAAGTACAATAAGTGCACATTTTTGTGCAACCATAGTTGGACGCTACTTCAGTGATACATTTTATCAGTAGCACATGCTTGGCATTTTTTGATTACAAATAATTGCTAGTTTTTTAGTCTCTACACTGATACATTCCACACAATTAACTAGTACTACACAGTATTTACTCCAGACACATCCATACTCCATGTTAAGATCAAATCAATCCGTAGGCAGGACTTACAGTCAAACGTAAGTTGGTATTTAGCAACTATCAAACAACATCACTTTTACAAGAATGAATGTTTTCTCCATATTAGTATCAAGGCATTAAAAGGTTTTGGAATTCAAAAACCTTAAATTAATGGTCACCACATACCAAGTTATTTTACAATAATACCAATTGGTATTCAGAGTATTGCATTATGCAGCCAAAACAATTGTAACTTGACCAACTACAATTGGAGAAAAACAATGACTATATAAATGATATAACAGATAACACGTTAGTAGTATTACTTCAAAAAAACAATTGCTTTTACTAGCATTGTTAATCATGAAAAACTCATGCCGTATTACAGATGTTGTTAGCTTGCTGCCTAGTTATGAACCAAATTAGAAAATGTCAATGTTTCGTATTTTTTAAAAAAAAGCAAACGGTTTTCTTGCTGTAGTTAATTAAAATATTAAAAAAGCATGGAAATTTTTGCTGATAATTACAATTAGTTGCACAATGATGCTCAACACCCATTTTTTGAATTATTTCTTATTATACTCATTCATTGCTTACTATCCATTCATCTTTTATTCTAAAATTAAATTTATCATTGCAAGCGTGAAGTAAACACAAACCTGTAATTCTTGTTCCACATCTGCTAGTTTTCGTTCCAAAGCTCTTCGCTCTCTTTTTTCGTTTTCAAGAGCTTGTTTCCTGGCTGAGTTCTCCTCAGCTTTTTCTAGTCTTGCTTCCAACTCGCCAACTTTCCTTTGTGCTTCCGCGAGATCATTCTTTAATCGATCGTTTTCAACTTGATTGTCTTCGTATAACTAGAAAAGTATGAGAATGATATTGAGATTTATATTATTGCTCCATACAACGAACTATACCAAGGACAAGGAGTCATATAGATATTAAGTCATATACAAATAAGTGATCAGACTGGAAGCAAGACTAACATTTGCAAATATAGTTAGCTGCGAAGATGGCAGCTTATGCCGATTTTGGGGTTCGAGCAAAGTCCAAGATGGTGTCACATTTCCAATTTTCACAAAGTGAACAAGAGGCTAAATTTTAATCTTTTAACCCCGCTAAATTTCAACGAGGGCAGGAATACAGTTTTTGATTTCCACAAACCAAGTAGTTAAGACTTAGGCCAGGTTCTATACAATATTTAAATAAAAACAAAGTAAGCACTCTGTGACCGCTCAAACAAATACCAATTTGTACGGTTCCTGAATGTAAAACCATAATTTTGGTACGATTTGCAATTTATAGGATTTTATCACAGTTTACAGTGATTTACTGGTACAATATTTATGAACGAGATAACCTAGTAAAAATACCTTTTTATAATTCTTTGTGTCAGTTGTTCTGTTCCTAGATGACGAATAAGAAATTTCATCTGAAGCTGTTTGTGACTGAGTTAACCTGGACGGAATATCTGAATCACTGGCTCGTACACCAGATCTATTGTGTCGTTCATGGCGGTTAGGAAGAGATGACGAATCATATTTCATTCGTAGCCTCTCCGCCTGAAAAGGAAAGCATATCATTGTAAAAAAAAAATTTAAAATGAAAATAATTTCATAAATGAGATTCCTTACTTAAAACGATAAGCTGCAATGTCAGAAATCGATTATGTATTGCATGGTAATTTGAAAAAAAATTTGACAGTAATAGAGTGTTAAAAGAACAAGATTATTTTTAGTGAAGAGATAATGTCAAGTTGTCAACGAATTACTCAGTTGCTTGTGGACCAGAAACTTCCAGCCCTAGTCTATGACGATCATTTCATAGCTTTACATAATGTAACCTTATCTCTATGACAATATCTAACTGTATAACAAAAGTTTTTTAACAACCGACTCCTGAATGATAGTTTAATTGAAGTTCATTGATGTTATTTTTCTAGACATATCAACAAACAGCGATAAATTATTTTCGTTATTGTAATTTGTAAACCTAAATGCTACTTTATAAAAAGTATGTACAAAAGGGTATTTTTGCATCCGAATATCTTATAAAAATCACACAACACTTTAATAGCTTAAAATCTACACTGATTATTTATGTACATCAGTTCAATTGTGTTTTTCTTTTGGTTGAGAGAGTTACAACAACAAATAAAAATTTTGTAAATTCTTTTATCAATAGCAAGATGTGTTACACCCATTATCCAAGGGAGAAAATATACGATCATTCTACTAGTTCTGTTATGTATATATAATTATTCTAGACAATCTTTTCTATATTGGAAATCATCACAAATAGTAAATAGTGAGTGAGTGAGTTTCTCACTTTCAGTCATCTCAATATCTTTTCATTATTTATTGCTAGGAAAGGTTAAATACTCGGCAGGGAAATAGAAGATTTTAAGTTGAAGCATGATATCCTACATCAAATATAGATGACTTACTAAGGACATTCGACTTGGAGATGGACTTCTACGATATGAATCTTCATCATCATTAGGAGTGCTTAATAGCCTCCTAGATGAATACTTGTAAGCCATAATTATCCTATAACCTATGTAGCTAGAAAACATGGTGGATGTATTGAAAGGTGAAATATACATACCGGTATGTCATTTTGAGGGCAGGAGATAATGATCATGTCTGCATCTGAATTATTCAGTAATCCAGATGTTTTGTGCCAAACTTAGTGGAAATCTCATATTTCTAACATATAAAATGAATTTTTACAGAAAATGATCGTAAAAATGTACATTTTTCATAAAGCCTAATTTCCCAAATATTTACTCTTGAGATGCAAACACTCTTTGATTCTAAATTCTTTAAATTAATTAGTTTGAAACCTTTTATTTAAAACTGACTTTCTCAGGTTGAGTGCTTTTTTGTGGAAGTCTTATGAAATATTATTAAACTGATAAATAGGTAATTGAAAAATTCCATAAAAATACTCCTGTACAACTACAAAACGCCAAAAAAAAAAATCCTGAAGCACAAAACGCATTGGAATTGATACTATTGAATTGCTGGGCCAATTCTACATATCCAACTAATAAATACCACACTAGCAAGTAGCAATACACATACTGAACAACTTCCTTAACTAATGCTATACTACATTATATTCACAACTTCTACCTGGCTATAATTTAAGCAGCGGTACAGATACCCTATGTAAATCCTAAATCCTGTGCAGAATTTTGGCAAAATTTGAATGGAGTAGAAACGTTTTTAAAACTGTAAAATTGTATCATTAATGCCCACTTCTACTTCTATTCTGAATTGTCCTATTACTAACATACCACAAATAAAAGAAGGTTGCAGTTAATACCAAAACAGGTGCTGATTGAACTTTTTGAAGCGTCTAGATCCCAAGAGATTGGATTGTGCAACTTATACAGGCTTCACATATATATAACTGTGCAATGTATATACTGTATATACATATATATGGAAGTGTTCAAAGTGGATATGTCTCATCTCTAACAAGCTATTCAATACACTATGAAGAATGGTGTGGTACCAAGTTTCAATCCTGCCTTTCATTTGTAGCAATAATGCGAACAAACAATGATCTCAGCTATTCATGTGCAGTTGTGTACTATTGAGCATTTTGCAGTTGAAAAATTCTATGTACAACGACTTACAAGGTATAATTCTACATAAATCAGCATATTGTACAGTGAAATAGAAGACGATATCGCCCGCGAGGTATTTGCGTCATAGTAAATGAATACGGTCTAACAAAATTGCATTTATCGATAGGTCGAAACGACAGTGTACGATATATTATTTTGTTCGCACAAAGGTGGTTATTAATTCACAATAGGCCGAAAATTATTTTCATCTCTATGCTAAAGGAGAGACACGGCTTTCGTAATATCGCAATAAAGATAACAAGACCAAAGCACAAATAATAACAATTAAATAGGAGAATCGCGATGAAACGAAAATACTGTGCAACAGACTTTTTTCTCTGTAATTTGTAAATTTTAGTAGATTGAGAGTTTCTTCCATCAATCTCTAGTATTATCGTATATTATATACAAAGGGTTGGTCAAATACGTTATCAGTACGGGATATCGCAAAATAAACATACTTGAGCACTCACAGCGAAATATATAACATGACGAAAACAACTCGCGATGATTACATTGAATACTATAGTAAAGTTGCTTTTTATGATTCGCGACAGACAAAAACGAAAACTATTCAATCGAACACGAACAACATGTCTGTCAGACGAAGTAGAATAAACGTTCTAATTATTAGCTGGGAATGGATAGATAGCATGAATAACAATTCCAATAGCCTCACACAACGACGCATAGTTTATGTACTTTAAAATTAAAATTATACCACTTCGGCAACGTATTAATCAAGTTATATTTGGGTGATTTAACATAAGCAAATAATAACATTGTTAATGTGGTCAAAGCGTTAGGAATGAAACAACGAAAATTTCTTCATTAGAAAATAACACTAACTGACAATCCTGGTACAAAATGTTTTTTATCTATTTAAAATATAATAATTTACATTAGGATAGTATTTTTACCCTGTATTTGCATGGCTTGCAATATTTCTTCCTTATTTAGACAACTAATATGAATCACCTAACAACGACATACGAAAAATACGAAAGGCGGCTACCTATTTATGACTTCGTTTGTCAGTTACACAGATTAGTAGCGACAACAATTATAAATTGTACTTATACTTTCATAATATTGCGCTATCAATTCTATTTAGTCAACTTCTAAGGACATGTAATCCCCTTTCAAGACAAAGTATCACGTAAATACGACTACATAAGTCTACATGATAAATCGCATGTTTAGTAAACCTCGTTAGCAGACTAACGCATCCATACCTTTATATACACCGTCCATCTTCAGTTTATACTCAGAAAACAAACTCCAATTTATGTCCAACAAATTGAAAAGTAAAAATTAAAAAACTTCAAAAAAAATCGCTGCAAATTTCTTCCAAAAGCTCAAAAAATTGATTTAATCTTTGCTGGATATGGTTGGTACACTGTCCTACTACACTTTTGCCAGTTACAAACCGCTACCAATCACAATATACCTCAAGATAAAAACTGGAGTATAATATAGAAAAATTGTCGATTATGGTGTAATTATATCGAGGAAGTTACGGTGATTTCATTCAATTTAGTAGAATCAAACGATTTGAAAGACAATTATTGTATTAAATTTCCCGACTACAAAGTTTTTCCCCTCGTACACGGACGGTCACAAAACGGGACTTAAAGTTAGCATAATATACTCCAAGATGATTCGACGCTGGAACATTCAAGAATAGTTCTCTTTTTAAAATTCAACTCGTTTTTCTTTTTTGAATCGACAAATTCGTCAGTTGGAAATTTCATCGATACATAAATCAACGAAAAACTATAAATTAACGATTACTCCGGTAATAGCCTCATAAATATTGAACGATATTCCGTTCCAAAGCGCTGGAGTTTTTTTTTTAATGTATTTTGACTATATTATTATTTTGCGAAATTAATTTCCGAACACCACAAATTTTGTCTTTGAACGCCATTGTTTCTTATCTGACCTTAATATTCGATTTAAAAAACTTGCTCCTATTAGCTGCAATCACCAGAAATGAATAAACCTTAGCGGCAACAATTTTATGCTCTGCGTAGCACGCTGTCTAAATTGTTGAAATACTGATATTGTTTATTGCAAAATATCGCCGATGCCTGACAAAACAAAGGTAACGTATTCGAGAGAAAGTGAAATTTGAGCAGACTGAAGAACTTTACTCCACTATTGGATTCGTAAATTAAAAAGTAATCAAAATTCTTTTCATCGTAACAAAGATTATTGTTTTCATGAAACAGACACTTGAATGACAATAACCACATTTTACAGTTAATTTTACCATACCGTAAATAAATTAAACCTAGTTGAAATTATCTATCGCATTGTGTTTGGTCAAATGTGGCACGGTATGAAAGCTTTATTTTAACTGCAAATTACACCCTACAGGCGTGGGCGAGAAAGGACGAAATTATCTCTTTATAAGGTGATGTACGATCTGAGAATGTATTTTTTTCACTATGCGAATCGAGAGTAAAATTTTACAAGCGCTCATCCGTGACAAAATAGCGTCGAAAATGTCGTTTCCGCAGCCTCCGCTGCAAATTGTGTGAAGCATGGAATCCGACGGTGCGGTAGCGAATGACATACGTCGACTGGAATACTGTACTTTCATGTGCGTACGGATAATACGCCATGTCATCTATATTCGCACAAAACGGTGTTCAGTCACTGTTATTATTACTGTTGAAATAAATTTTTATTGGGTTATATTTATAACAGCGTTGACTTTGTTTCTGTGATAATAAATCTCTCTCCATTCTATAGCTTAAATTGCTTGTACACATATAGCCATACTGCAATCGGTGTGGGTCTTTATCTAGTTCTCAGTTTATAACCAGTTAATTTATATGATGCCATCTACCACTGTAGGACTGCAAAAATATTGTAATTTCACTGGTATATTATATCTTTTTTGCATTCTGGAGTAAAACACAACTGAATAATTGAAGAAAAAAAAAAACCGAGTAAATATGAATACTCTAATACGTACATAACCCCTAAGCCAACCATACAAACTGACATAATTCCGTTCTAGCTTCAGATAGAAGAGAAAGGTGAAGAAGAAAAATTTTTGAACAACGAAGGCCACTGGCTTGTAATTCACCATTTTCCACTAAATTCCTTTACCCTCCTGTCCAACGAGTGGCAACGACACTGCATAAACAGTACTGTGTGACGTGTTAATCTGCTACATACGTTAATTCCAATTCACATTCCTATCATCTCAAACAAGCACCATTGGTATGCATATTACAACGGTAATACGGACGCCAATGAGTAAAAATAAAGTCTAACGAACCTTCATTGAAGAGTCCTCAACATATAACAAGATACTTATGGAAACAATGTGGGCAATTCTTCATTATTTAAGGGGGAGTGATGTCATCATAATAGTTCAATGAGAAATGCCATATTACGACTAATGGCAAGAGATAGATGTTCCACATATGTTCCGCAAATAAAATTGAACGCTTCAAAATGCCCAGGTTGGTGATAACGGTTTTACAGTGTGGTGAACATATATAAAACATACACAGAAGTTCAATACAATTCCAATCCAGAAATAGAGCAAAAGCTGTGATTCCCCAGAAGGTCTCTGTATTATTATCATTAACCTCTGTTTAATTAAAATAAAAGAGCAAGAAATACTTCCTTATTTGAATGGTTTACAAATCGCTAAACTTGGATTTTTTAACTGGTGGAGTATTTTCAGATTGTGATAACAACTTGGGAGATAGAGATTTAAGTAGTGTAGGTATATCTGGAGAGTGAAAACTCCCAAGCGATGTTATCGCTTGACATATACTTTGATTGAAATATCCTGGAACAAACCGTGATTATTCAGAATTTTTTTTTTCCATTTGATTTTTTTTCGGTTTTCTCGCATCGGTAATTACATTAAAGAGAGTAAACATAAAAATATAAAAAATACAAATAATTTGAGATCCTCTTCACAGATCGCTGATCTATGTCAACACCATTACCTCAATGAAAACCTCACCTAATAAAAATATATGTGAAAACCACTGAGGCATAAAAACCCTTGGTGCACGAGCACATGATAAACGCTAAATCATGAAACACTGTCTGAAGCGTATGTTACTCTACTAAGCTAATTGAAGGTCATGTGTAGCAGCTGCAAACTAAAGATAAAACCAAATGCATTAATAATTCAGAGTGTGTTGAATTGAGCATTTTCAAATGGCACTTAAAATGCCCGATTCACGATGCTTGCAAATACTGAAAGTTCAACAAAAAACAAAACGTTAACTAAGTATAGCATACTCTATTTGGATTCTTCTTATTCCACAGATTATACATCTGTACACTTCAGCTAGCTTTGACTTAGCTCATTGTAGTATTGACCAAATTGTCTTTAGAAAATGTGTTTTATGAAGTGAAGTGAGCATAAATAATAATAAGCTTTAGTGAGTTTGACATTGACTAAATAGAACAAAGCATAATAAAAAGATAGTAATTAAACGCCAATAATAATAACAAGCTTAGTGTAATAGACCATCTTTATACCCTCATAATGGATGATATTATTGGAAAGTGGAAACAAGAATTATTTGAAGACAATGAGAATCAGTGATAACCTAAAAATATTAAAGTAACAGCTTTCCCGGAGACAAATCATCTTCAACTACTGAAAATTTGAAAGCGAATGGTCCAATATTTAAAAAAAATGCCTTACAATAGCAACAATAGGCTATATGACCACTTTGTGCCTGAAAATTGTAATATCCTTACTGTAGATCTAATCCACAACAACAATATTCTTCTACTACTTTCTACCTCATCAAGTATGACCTTGCAAGCTTTACTATGCTTATATAATTCTTCAGAAGATAGATAAGTCATTACTAAGTCCCATTGGAAGAAAGTTGGAATGTGAGCCGACACCCATGGGATTGAAATAATATAGTGTCTGATGTCATGTCGACAAATGTATATTACGTCATGTCTATAGCAAAATACTTCTATCAGTAGAAATGCAGATGAAAAGCTTTTATGTTTCAAAAAATATTTCTGCATAAGGTTCAATCAACTGAGTAGCGGAATGTTTTTCAATATCTTCAGCAATTTCAGAAGATATAGGATTGGCATTCAAGCTCTTATCAGACATTCAATCAACCCTATAGATTATCCTGCTGATTTTACTTTATATTTAGTCTTTATAAAGACTTTACATTGGTCTTTTCTCCTCAGCTATCAGGCTAGGTGCGAATTTTCAGCCATTAAATGAAAATGTTTTAAAAAAATATAGTAGCATTTCTGGGATTATTTCTGAAACAACAAAGCAGCATACAAATATATAGACATAATATACCATTACCCTGTTGCGTTTTTTAAAAAAACGTTTGTTAAGCATATGCTAAACAAAATCGAATCACTGAAAAATTTATGTGTTGAGGCATTTCATTTTAAAAAGCAAAATTTGGCACCGAACGACAGACCCCACGAGAGGGATGATATAAAAATTATATTTTCAAAAAAAGTCAAAAATCAGAAAAGCAATTTTTGTCTCCATAACACTTTTGTACATGACCCAGAAGTCTATGCCATTTCTATTAAATAAAACAAAAACTATAAATTTCAATAGATTCTCACCTTTCCAGAATCTAAGTTATCTTCTTTTGATGAAACTTCATCCTCCTCTCCATCGTTGTTCTGAAAACGAATGACGATGTGAACATGCAGTAGCGACAAATATGACAACATAATATTAATGGCAGAGTGAAGCAAAAATTAACAAAATAAAAACAAACTGATTATCAATTGATAATAAGATTAGAAATAAAAGAGTTTGAATTAGTTATCAGATCACAAAGCTGTTACTTTCTAATTAAAAAAAAATTAATTGATTATTTCTCACTATAATTGATTCAAATAATCAAAATGAAAAGTTAGATTACAAATAAAAGGTTCGCAAGCACAGATATAAAATCAAAAAAAAATTATGAAGCTTGTATCTGAATAAGCCGAAAGAAAGCAAGAAAAGTGGGTTTTTTAATCTTGGAGATTTAGAAAAGTGCGACAAGAACAAGGTTACCAGTAATTGGTATCTAAACCAGAAATAGGAAACACCACTTATATCAAGATCTATGGCCTCTTGTCACTAAATTGTTCTATTGTGTCGTGTGAAGACTGTCTGAAATAATAATATACTATGGCGGGTGACGACCCATTTCTGCTACCCTTTTACACACTATTGACAGTTCCTTCTTTCAATGTATAAACTGGGGATAAGTTCACATTTGGGTAGTAATTGTTAAATTCTGATGATTGTATATCTCAGAAAAATTGTAGGCATAGAAGTAAAAGTATAGTTCAAAAAAACACCACATGCAGATTTTAAGCATATTATGCCTTAAAACCAACAACAAAAAATAGTAAGTAAAAGCCTTTTTACCATGTCTCCTTTACTTTCATATTCTACGCTCTCATCTTTCTCTGCTGTTTGAAAGGAAAGTTTTCTCTTCACTAAATCAACCTTTGTATGGTAAATAGAACTATCCTGTGGTGGCCATAGTATATCTCTCACTTTTTTTAGTTTAGCTGAAAGGCGGCTTTTGTCACTTTTATGCACTGATGGCGACTTAGTTTTTGAGATAACACCACCCTCTCCACCTCCTTTGAATTGAAAAGGTATCGGAAGCTCATTTTCCTTTTCAGTGATTTGTTGCGCAAAATTGATGACAGGGTCGTCAACCTTAAAACAAGCGGACAACTCTTTCACAGATTTTCCTAATTTTTTTACACTCAATGGTTTCTCTGAAGTAGGTGGTGTTGAACCAGCCTGGACAGGTTTGAAAATTTGGGAATTTTTATCAAACATCCTGAGACGTTTAGTTGATTTTATAATTTCAGGAATGTGATTAATAAGAGGTGATCCCGCATCAAAACTTATTCTTCTTTGAGGATTGAGTTTAGGGACGCAGAAATCTCTCAATTCTAAAAATGATGAGCTATACCGAGGGCTGTAATTTTTAAGTGGAGTAAGTGAGTCTCTAGTAAAATATCCTCCATATGGTCTCTTTGAAGACGCTGCTCTCACTGGGCTCAATTCTCTCAAATCTTCAATTCCGTTTTTTCTTGCTAACGCTGTTGGATGTAAGTCACATTCTATTGATCTACGCTTGAAGCTTTCCTTATGGCTGAATCTACCAGAACTTTTGCCTGAAAATTGCACTGCCCTCCTTCTTAAAGTGACTTTGCCAAGATTTCTTAACCATTCCAAATCAGTTTCTGGAGTGGAGTTATTCAATGAAGCAGGTGATGACACTTGGTTACTGTTCTCACTGCTATAATCTTGTTCCTCAACTTCTGGTATACTTTCCTGACAATTTGTAAATGGGCTTCTTAGAAAATCCTTCAAAATATAAAAGATAAATTACAGTCAATTAGTGATTCATGCAAGTGTTGCTCAAACATGATCGTGATATTGCAAATTAGTTCCAAGTATAATGAGGGATTTCAGAGAACTTCAGGAAAATATTTTGCTTCTCTTATTTGAAGCAAAAATTTTCATAATGCAATTGGATATACAAATTACATAAAGAATAGCTAAAATTATATTCAACCACAGAAATTCAAAAAAAAAAATTACACAAGCTAGTGTTCATGCAATTATATCAACAACACATCAGATGTCGTTTAAATAGATTCTAACTCTAAGTCAACTTTGTTCTTTATAATAATCAATTATAAAAATTGAATATTTTACATCAACTTCCCCTTCACATAAAATCCTGTTGGCCATATTCATTTATCTAACAATAATCAAAACACTGATATGCACATATCATTCCATGTTACTAAATGGTCATTTGCACAAAAATTTTTAAATCAAGCATCAAAAAATTGTACAGCAAAAGCATGCTCAGTTCATATAGTACTATGTATAGACTAATAATGCAATTAAATTGGCAATGAACATCTGAATAAAATTACTTTCAAGACTGAATAGTTCAGGAATTCACAATGATAAAACACAATGGTCGTTTGATTATAGTTGGCTTCAACTAGAGATGTCCAAAGAAGATGTTCGATTCAAAGAAATAATATTTTAGGTCAATTTGATCTGAAAATTAATTCTGACTATATCATGATTTTTAGTGAATTACCTTTCATTAGAGGTTTGAAATTAACCGCCAATTCTAGAATATCAAACTATTTCATATGGACATCCCCATTCAAGATAATAGATGATATTTATTGCAAGTGTTGTGAAACACAGTATAGGAATAAATGCATCATAAAGCATAAATTTGAAAAAAAAGCAAGAAAATCAGTTTTCTGTGAAAATTTTAAACAACTGAAATTAGTGAAGAAAATTTAAATTTAATTTTAATATTTCTTAAATTCAAATTTTAATGAGAAATTTGAAACTGCTAAATTTGGTAAATAATTCTATTTTTAAAAATTCAAATTGAAAACTAGCTATTATCTCCCTAACATTAAACATGTCTATTTCGTATTTAAGTAATTCAAATAAATCTTCAATTTTAATACATTGCTAAGAATAACCAAAAATACATATTAAGAGAACATAAGGCATTACTCGAAATTTGCATTGCTATGTACAATAAAAGAAAACATGGATGTAAATTAGGCCTATAGCTGGGATATTTTATAACAAGAATAATTGGCGATATATATCTATCTAAACAGTGTACACTGCTGCAATGCTTTGAAGCTTACTAAAAATATTTGCAATAAACGGAGAGTTTAGTACAGACGGCCTAGTTGTCTTTCAGTTCAATTTGACAGCAATCAAAATATATCAAATTATCGTGTTTTAAAAAGTGGGGAGGAGAAAAATTTTTGTGACAATTTCTAAAAATGATGGTGACATTTTTATTAAAAACAACTGAAATAATATTAAAACACGCCAGATATATCTTACATTTAATTCGTACAAAATGTCGGTTTTATGCTGGTTATAAAAAATTAAATTCACAACTCAAGGATCAGAAATAGTCATCCAACTGTGATAAAATTAGGTATACAATATTATAATGTTTGGTAATTGGTTTTAGCCATATTTTCTGTTATCTAGTGAATTGCAAATATAAATTAGAACTAACACATATATTGACAGAAATGGAATACACTCAGTACAGAGAAACGATGTTAATGACATACAGAGTATAGAAAAACTTAAATGGTGACTATGGTTTGCATGCCAGTGAATCATACAAGATACAGAATGGATAACTGAACCTAGCGCATATTGTCTTGAATAGCTTCAATTGGCAATTTGGAGATGACCATAGTAGGTTACCTCCTATTAGCAAAACAGCATAACATACTATTCGAATACATAAGAATATATTCTCAATTGGGCTATGTTAAAAGAAATTTTCGTATAGCAAAGTTAATGACCGTTTCAATTGCCAATTGTCATACTATTTTCTGAAATTCGTTGAAATTTACTGAAGCTGCTTTGGCCTGGCTACCATATTGCTGAATGCTCAAAATGACAATTTTTTAAATGAAAATTACGATCAGGAACTCCACTATTGATTTTTTTAATAGTAAATATTCTCTGATATTTAATTTGTTTCTGGACATTGCTTATGAAAGGTAATAAAATTATTTGCAATCACAATAACCATCAATTAATAAGTACCGGTATTCCTTTACATTTTGGGGTTCAATGAAATGAATTTTGAATGCCCAAAAAAGTTTGTATAAAGTATCTACAGCTTGTTGTAATCCATACGAATCTGAATAATAATTTTGAACGTGAGAAATGTGACATCTACATAAAAAGAGAAGCAAACACAAAATACACAACACACAAGACAATACAGGCAGCAATGATTTTGATTAACATGCTGGATGTCGTGGAAACTTTTTCCACTTCATCGTTGTTGATGCTTTCTGTCATTGACAAATCCGGGTTGTCGTCCTTTTTAGAAGAAAACTCATTAGAATCTGTCACATCTTTATGAACAACAGTGGGCTGCGTTTTAGTAGAGATATCTGCAGAAGAATCCCCCCTGCCTGATTTATCTACAAATGCTGGAATAACTGGCTCATCTGGGCGACGTCTTCTCATTGTCGGAATGGGCGGGTCATCCAACTCTAAAGCAAATCTTGGTTCTTCTTCGGCGGGTGGCAATTTTGACTGCTTCTCAGTTGAAACATTAGCTTCAACCTTTTCAGATTGCAGTGGAGAAATTTTTTCTTCAATAACAGGTGATTGTATCTCACTAGATTGATTTTTCAGAACAGTATTACTTTTTCGGATTCGACTTTTTAATCTTTCAACTAATCGTTGATGGCGCTCATCATCATTCAAGTCTTCTTCGTCGCGTTCAACCATTTTTTTCACTCGTTCCGGAATCGAGGGTTTGTTAGATTTTTCGACAGACCGTTTGTAGATGGAATTTGCTTGGAACTCCGTGGGTAATTTTGGCCGGGCTCTAGTTTCACTGCGACGTCGTCTACGACGAAATCTCGGCGAATCACTGATAATCGTAGAAGCTTCGATACCTCCTTCAATGTTTTCCTCTCTTTCCGAGGGTCCCGTGCTTTTTGGTATCGTCTGTTACGGGAGCAAGCATTTCAGGTGATGGCGGGATGTGACAGCGCCATGTTATGATATGAAATGGGAAGAGAATAGCGAAACACAACCACATCGCAAATTGAAATCTCGGCATTCACATGCATAGAGTGGGATGATGGTGCATTATATGTAGATATATATATTATATTATAGTGAGTTAGTGACATGCATCTAACTTAATTCCTAAATTGAGATTCTACTCAATTCTAGGAAAATTCATCAAATACACCTTCACACAAAATGGTCAAATCAAGAACCAATAAAATACTTATCCTTAGAAATACTAAACTAATCACGCAAAAGGCTGTCAGATCAATTAGCAACTGCTACAATTGCTTGGAATGTAATGGCATGAATATTACCATGGAAAGAATAATATGATTGAAAAAGTAGTGTGAACTTTGAAAAGGTAAATCAGACTTCTGAGATGATAAAATAAATTTGTATGATTAAAGAAAACAAAATAATGTTTAGCGAAGAGAAAATTTGAATATTTTGAAACCAAGGTATTTTGCATCAAATTTGTTTGAAATTAACAAAATTTCATTTGCAAAGTTTAAATTCTTGTAACATTTGTACATTTGTATTTAAACCAACTTAGTCCTCTATGACTCTGTAACCTGCTCGACGACGACCAACGCAAGGACAAAACACACTAAACATTGAGAACATAGATTCAAAGGCTGGACGAACCTCTGTAGCTGTCGATGATGGCTTTGCATCAGGAATACCAGTAGACCGCCGTTCTTTTCGATTCCGCCTTCGTTTTTGAGCAGCACTCAATCCGTTTTCACCACTTGATTTGTCACCTAAAAGATGAGGGTGTAAAAAGCTTAATTTTGTTTTTCTATATGGCCTAGTGCAACGGTGCACAACCTGCGGCCGTCGTAGAAAAATAATGCGGCCGTCCACATACAAAATCCTATAAACAAACAAACAAAAAGTTCAAAATATAGGATTTGGCGGTTATGCTTTGCAAACTTTTATAGGATAAATTCATCAGAATATTTGACATTTTATTATACTTTTGGGGACAAGAAAATGGGGGTGACCACCCCTCCCAGACTTTCGATTTTTTTTTCAAAATTGTGCAACCCTTATGCAACTTGCTGCAATATATCTGCTCAAGAATAGGTGCACCGAAAAGAAAAATCTGTTTAAAATGCGAATATTATACTTCCAAGTAGTCCTACATACTTCATAATTTGGCAGACTGCACCTCGCATGGGTTAAATACGCGGCTAGGACGTCATAGAGGCCAAAAAATTTTTACGCGCTCATCAACCTCCTGGTGGCCACATTGAATACAAATAAATGTAGTGTGCCCGCCAATAGCAAGAAGGCTGTGCACCCCTGGCCTAGTGGTTAAGGGGATAGACTTAACTGTGTTGGCATCACAGATTAAACATCTCAGGTTCAAATCCTCCCATGACCCCCACCTCACCCAGGATGTAGTAGACTGGGTGGACCGTGAAGCTCCCGGTCTGTCCAAATAATAATCTCTTTACATAGTGGGTGATTGTAATTGAGTTCCACTTACATATTCATAAGGAAGAATGGAATCAGCTTCCAAATTGGGTTATTTAACTTAAAAAACCTTGTTTTTGAATAGGAAATCAAATATATGAATGTATAGCCAAAGAACAGTAACTATAGGCCAAAAATAGGTCAGATGAGTCCCTCTCTATCCATGCTTGCAAAAATTTAGACTCCCAACCCTGGGATTTCAAAATATTTAAATTCGATATTTCTGAACTCTTGAATTTTGGAAATGCTTAATTCTGATTAATAAGAAGAGTAATAAATTCAAGCTCTGCTCAGCGTTTATCAACAACAAAATCTACAACCAACCTTTGTCATTTTCGCCTTCTGATACAGTAGGGTCCACGGAAATACTTGGTACACTGAGAGCAGCAGATTTTGAGTTGGAAGAAGTAGATGCTGATTCTGCACCGCCTTTCACTCTTTGATCTGAGGGTATGTAACCAGACGGTAGTGAGGTAACTGGAGTGCTTGAACTAGTCGCCGTATTTGTAAAATAACTGGATTGAGAAGAAGATGAAGCTGGTTGTTGTGTATCATCACTACCCCTGAGATAAGTTGATGATGTATCCTAGAATTATAACAGGAAACATAATAGGACTTTTTTGTGCAATTGAACGACTATAACTAGATTTGATTAGAATAGAAACAAAATTTTAAGTTTAATTTCAGGATACTTGTATGTTGAATGAACAACACCTTAGCAAACAAGCATATGATAGGATTTTCATATTTATCTGGGGGGAGAAGAAAGTCGATAATATGGCTTAATTACCATGAACCACGGCATACCAAGGCCCCCCATTCGGTTCCCAGTCCATATCCTGTATTTTATAACACTCTTAGATGGCGAGTTTCATTCACCCAATTAATTTGAATTATTCTGACTCAACAAAAAAATGCTTTGCTTCTTGAAGCGGTATTTTCCCAACACAAAATTGGATTTCGCAAGAAGAAAATAAGCTTATGAATAAGTAAGATTAATACAAAAATAGCCTGAAAATCTGATCTTGAGATCACATTGAAAGTTTCATGAGCGATAATATATGTAAAACAGCAGAATGTTTGATTGAGGAAGGCTATTTACATATATGCGATGGTAATAAGAAAAATTCATACAGTTCTAGAATCTGGTGTATCTGTACTCGTCTTATCAGTAGCAGGTTTCTGCTTTCTAAATTGTCCTATAGTTCGCATCGCTTCTTCAACTACATCTGTAAAAAAGACACATACCAAATTATAAATGTTATTAAGTTCATGCGTGACCAACTACTTATCCTTCAAGTGATTCAAGAGTCTTGCTGCACACTAAGAAGGAATTACATCTAGTAGATTTCAAAGAATATTTGCAACAATAACACTGCTTTCAGTCATCGAAAATGAGCAAACTTCCACATATACGTAGTCTTAACAAATTAGCAAGTTGAGGGCTTCAACTTGAAGAGCAAATTTTGAAAAAGCTGTTTCGATAAAATGAACAAAAAATATATTTTTGAAATACTCTGATGAATATTCTTTCAAACCATGATTGGACACAAGTTTGAAAAGCACTTATTTCTTTGAAGATTTTCAAATGAATGTTTCATCGAAATTTCAACACTTGTCTTTTTATTTAAAAATCTTGAAGCGCTGAGTATTCATATTTGTGTAGTCTATATTCTGCTTGATTTCTGTTCCCGTTAGATTCCAGTTTTTGTATTTATTTAGATAGTTTCACAGAAAAAAAAACATACCGAGTGTAACTCCTTGTGTTGACCTTCTCGTCTGTCTTTCCCTCCTCGATCTTATTCTTCTTTGTGCTTCTGCTTCTTCGTCTCTTACTGGTTGCAAATGAGAACGTCGAGAATCCACAGATTTACTGAAATGTATAACAATCCAGATAATTTTTTGTGGGCATGATGGCCTAGCAGTTAAAGAGTTTGATTTAATTGTGTTAAATTCGCCGGTGAAACATCTTGGGTACCAATCCCATGTCCATCACCTCACCTAGAGTGTAATAAATTGGGCAGGCAATGCTGAACCAGAAAGCCTTTTAAAAATTATATATTGTTAGATACCAGTTGATGGTTGTAAAGGGCCTTGGAACGAAAAATGTGAAAAAGGTTGTAAAACATTACAATTAATGGTAAAAGTTCAAGTCCATGTTTGTTAAATATGTGTGACAATAATCCTAATTTTTTTTAAATCCAACAGCTACTAAATAACTGCTAACAAAGTATAGCACCAGGAATTTTACAATGTACTCTTTTTTTACTACAATCGAGCATAACTGCTTTATAGTAATATCGATACAAACAAAAGAAATCGGCAATGAAATATTACTGGCAATTAGGAATTAGAAATCGGATACCTAGATGTCTTTGCTAACTCAATAATAATTAATATTAATCAATAATTATTCAATAATATTACACGTCCATACTATACATATGAGTAATGACTATAAATAACATATAATTATTTTTACCTAGCAGCAGCTGCGGCATCATTAGAAGCTGTTGTTGTTGTGGTTGGACTTTCTTTTTCACTGTCATCTTCTGATATTTTACTGCAAAAATTATTTCAAATAGACCGTTAAAAATAATTTTGTTGAATATGATTTAGATTATAAGGACCATACACACATACTGGTTGAAAATTTGTCAAATACATATTGATGAAAGTTAAACCAATTGTACAGTGGGTGAATACTATGTTATTTTTTAATTATATATCTATTACAACACATACGATAATATACAAACAAGCAATATATATATATATATATATATATATATATACATTTTACTAAATTTAATACGATCTAGAAAGGCATGCTATCTAATAAGTATTATGCTACTTATTTATTGAACAATATTGAACAGACTGCAAATGCAACTCACATAGAAACTAAACTATTTTAAGAATAAGAATTTCAATTTACCAATAAATACTAACAAACACTAATATATGAGTGAGAACTGAAAAAGCTCACTCATTTTCTCAATGAAACATCATCATCAGTGTAGCACATATTTATACCATTGGGAGCTAAACTATAATTTTCGGCTTTTGATGCGAATTCAGACAAAAGCCTGCTTCAATGTGTATTAGGCAAGTTAGAAATAGTGATGGATATACAATCCTAGTTGCCATTTGAATGTCCTGTTTAGGGCTAATGGGCTGGCTAAAACATGCTTACGTATATACATTACAATGGTTAATAACAATCGCCATTTGAATGTCTCGTTAGGGCAATTGGGCTGCTAATGCTATTATAGACACAGGTTGAAACAATGAAAAGAACTGATGCAGCAACAAATTGTATATCAAACCATGGTTATGATAGGTTTGTTTTTTTATCAGCTAATTTTCGATCTATCACGCTAATTGAAATTACCATTGATTCACAGATAGCCACCAAGTTATAGTAGTCAATCTAAGACCTATGTAAAATGTTAATAATATAAAGTAAATCGAACACCTTAATAATGAAATTGATGGAATCTGTATACTGTATTAGTATTACAAGCTGATTTCCACATATGACAGCACAAAGGGCCATATATATATATATATATAATTAACTGTTCACATCTTAATGAACCAAATTTTCCAGATACACAATAGCTTATGGTTTCTTATACTTAGGTTAGGTTGAATAATAGACTGTTCACTTTTTTGGCAAGACCAGAATCTTGCCGGTTGAGCATTGCCAACCAACGTTATTGTAGCGTGAGTGTGGAGACTGTGAGTATGTGGGTCAAACTACGAGTCTTCAATCTGGTATATCAACGCAGTTTAATCCTACACTCTAGCGAATAGGATATGTATGATTCCAGTGTTAAAATTCTATCATGTGATGTTATAATGACAAACTGTACAATATACAGTACTGATATAACACCACACACAAAATTGAAGTGAAAAATGCCAGTGAAAATTTCATGAAGTTTATAAGTCAGTTTAAATGAACAGATGCATGGCAATACTGAAAACTATATATTTCATGAGGGTACTCCCGTAGTATGTGTAACAGGTTAGGGTTAGGCCATAATCTTATAACACACAAAATTCTATTACCATATATTAATGTTTGTGAAACAAATTGGCAGGTGGTATAATACAAAGCAATGTCTACAACAAATAATATTAAATAAACAACACTGAAACAAAGAGTGTTAAAATACATAGTGAAGCTCCTAGTGAACAACCCTGTATCTATCTTTCTACACAATCAGTAACTTCATTGTCACAAGATGATGACACCACAAAACGAAATTGTAATGCATGATCAATTCACTTATCCGCAATAATGACATAATATAACCAAATAGGTGGTCAAAAATCTTATATTGGATGAGTGCGTAAAAATCTTCATTTATTATTCAACAATTTACTAAGGATGTACTCATTATTGACTGAAATAATTCACTTGACATCATGGTGAACACTGAACAGTTATGGAAATACATGATTGACTGCACTGTACTTTGATGAAGCTGTCTGTCTGTAGTTAGTGATGTAAGTGTTGTTACAACAAACATTTTCATGTAATTTCATTTCATAAGTGATTAATTTTTCGAAACAAAAAATGTTGATTCAAATAATTTTTGAGTGATTGAAATTTTTACTACATTATGCAACATATTTTACTACTGTCTAACCGTGACTACTTGTGAATGTTTTCAAACCAAAAGTTTGAAACCCTCATCACAATCTCCCATGTATATGAAACATTGATCGGAAATTTATACAACACATTTACACGACTTATGTCCGAGTATTGCCACATGTAGTATTCAAAGTTCCCGTACATTTGAACCCACGACAATAGCACCTGCATACTGTTGTACCTATGGAAGTTTTTTTGTTTTACGGATATTTGAACCCATACTAACCCTAACCCATGGGTTTTAGCACCCGCATATAGATTGAACCAGCGGATATACACATGGGTTCAAATGTACGGTCACCAGGATTCAAGGGTTTGCTATATCACCTTTATTTTTATTCCAATATTCAAGAAAGTATAGCTACCATTAGATAAAATAATAATTATCATGTTTTCATTTGAAGAATAGGAATATTTTTTTATTTTAAACGAAGCATGCAGCAGAATATTGTGTCTCAACAAAACAAGTAACATTCTACTACTAGTAGTATCATTCCAATTATTCAATCATGATCGGATCATAACAGAAGCTCACAACAAAACTAACATCTTGTGCATTTTAAATCTGTTACAATTCAAGCTACTCACATTTTAGCAAATAATAAACATAATCTTTCATTATGGTTATTCAATTCAGAACAAGCAACATAATGCAAGCACTAAACATAACTAGTATTAAAGTACACAGTGTCATATTATTTATCAATAACATACAAACTAAAATGGTTATTTTTCACTTCAAATTAATCTAAATGGTAATTTCTACTAACTTGCAAACAACTCAAGCTAAAACTCAGTGCTATGCACTATTCTTTCAAGCTCAAACTTCTCTAGATTGCAAGTACCTGTCTTCTTGCCTTGATCTGAAAATACAATCTGAGGAAGCACTTCGTAACCTCGTTCGTCCAGACCTTGTTCTTCCTTCTCTAGTTACTTTCAATTTAGCATTGTTTGGAGGAATTTTTGAGCAGGATGATGTTTTTTCCGCCAATATATCGGACTGGAATTTTTTGATTCTACCAGACTCAGCAAAGAATGAAGTTTTACCGGTGACTGGCTTCAAGTTAAGTAGTTCTTTATCAAGAGACCAGCGACGAAATTCTGTTTTGCTTTGTTCTTGAGATTTGGGAATAATTCTGTTTTTTATTTCATTATTTGCCGTTGTTTTATTACGTCTTGACATTCTGGGTGACAGTGAAGTTGATCTGTCATTTTTACTGTGGTTCGTAGATTTCTTCAGTGGATAATTTTCTTTCTCAATATCGCTTAGTACACGAGCGACAATTTTCGATGAATCGACTGAGGACCTGAAACCGCTATATAGTAAATATTGTATTTTCAGATAACGTAATAATACAAAAATTTCTGACTGCAGAAAACAGCTAACTCTACTAATGTAACCAAATAAATCTATGTAATGTATGCTACTCTAACTTCAAAATTAGTAAAAACTAAAATCAAAACTCTGCAAATTCCAAAAACAAAACGGTTTCAGATATTTATAAACATAATTCATTGTGATAAATAAAAATATATATAATTATATTTTGGTATTGGTAAGTAAAAATTATTACTTTTTCACAGTATGAGTTACCAATGAATTCTTTTGGGATAGTATGCATTTGTATAAATTTAATTTTCTGACACTGGGAACAAGGTACAAGGTACAAAAGACATATCTTTTGCAACACATGGAAGTCGTTCACAAAATCTGAATTAAGTTATATCAAAGGTAACTGTTTGGTTTCAACCACTAATAAAGAAACTATCATACAGACAAATTCTAAGAATAGATATTATCTCCATAGCATGAAATCAGTGGTTTTGTTCATTTTTGTGGTTGCATTACATTGTAGTTAGTTAACCTTAAAATCACACATAAAACTATCCTCTTATCAGATTCAATATTATGTTTGGGTGGTCTGTAAATTAACCACAATGGAAAATTTATCAAACTATTATGATAACTCATCTAATCATACATTGCCAATATCAATACAGCAAATTTGAGTAGAAATTATGATTATGCCATTATAACTTATCTCAGAAAAAAATAGCAGATAATATAACCAAGCTTATTGAGGACACAAGAGTAGAAAGATATGCTATAATGGGAATGTCAAAAACATCCATCTGCTCTGTCTGTTATTCTCGTTCGGTGACCATTAGTATGCTTACCATTAAGCATAGGGGTAAACTATTCCTTTCTATGTGACCAAATATGAAAATCCAATCTTAATTTAGAGTGATCAAAACTAAAATTTAGATACAAAAATAACAGTGATCCTATGTTAAACACAGTATCGTAACTCAGTAATGGACAGTTTATGATAAAATCAAAATTACAGCTATTACTAGAACAAACATCATATTTATACCTTAATTATCTGCATAAGAAATAACAACCTATATTTCCATATGAGACTAGGGACCTAATAAAAAGAAACAAACAGTCTATCAGCCTATTTGTAATTTTTCAATTTATAATATACAGAATGATCCCCCAAAAAACATAACCCAGGTTGATCGGAACTTAATCTGAGGAGAAAATAACTTTTGTGACATCCTAGATTACTGAATCTTTTAGGTACAATCATACATAAGTGGAAGTTGAAGTGTTATTAAGTAATCGCCTGGTAGTATAACAAGCTACAGAAAACTATCACTCAATCTAGTAAACAAGCGGCATGCATATTTATGACCTAATCTATTTGAAATAATGATATGATGACATTCAATGGATGCAGATGACATGACACCCACCAAGAAGATTCAGGATAGTGTCAATAAAAAACCTGAGTGAAATATAAGAGCCAGTCACAGATAATCTCTGACAACAGAATTGACAATGATAAAATTGAGTCTTTTCTTGTGAAGATATAAAGTACTATTCCGCAAGAATACAAATCATTACAAAATTAAAAATGATTATTTCAAAATGTATTTCTTATCCTTCTTACTGTAAAGCACATTACTTATTGGACAGAGGTGGATTTCTATGGTATTATTTAATACTAACTACTTAACTAGCATTGCGTAACAATTATCTTGAAAGTACACTGTACTTTCAACATAATTTTAAGCTTTTCCATTTTTCAGGAACAAGCACTGTATTATACATAGTTATTGTCAAAACCGCAATATTTTCACTTATATAGCATGTTCGAATATTAATTTTTTGTTTGATAAAGTCTAATGCTTTGAAATGGCTGATATTTTGAGTATTCGGAATGGAATCTTATATTTCACACAGGTTAATAAGCTACAATAAACAAGAAACAGGGTCAAAATGCATGTAGGTATGATATTTAGTTTCACAACACTCCACGTTCGAGTGATACCTGAATGTTTTAGGCCTCTTGGTGAGAGCCTCAATATTTGCGTCATCATGATTTTCGAGGCTTTCTGTTCGGCCAACAGCCTTCTTATAAGATATGCTAGAAATAATAAAATCACAATACAAAATAGCAGCAAGCAAGCATGAATGAAGATGATTATAATGTAAAAATAAAAAATATGATTCTGAATCTGGTTGCAAAAATATTACAAACAATACAAACTTCAAAGCAATTTATGCATTTCTGAGTGGTTCCAGAACTGTATGCAATCCCACACTTGTGAGCCGCAAATCAACTAAATCTATATGATAGTTTATATACACAAAATAAGCTCATATACCCTATTGCAAAATTGATTAAATATGCATCTATATCATGAAAAAGCATTGAAATAATTGCCTTGAAAAGCTTATGAACACCTCTGCTAAGCAAACCTATTTTCTTTGCCATTTTCTCCACACAAAACAATCTATTGAAATCCTATCATGACATCAAATTGATAAGTCATGATATTGACGACATAGATGCTGAAATAACTAAGTACACTGTAAATTGCTATATCTTGTGATTGGTATCCTTGAAACAAATAAAAAAAGATTATACCTCCTCTTAAATGAAGCAGATGTATCTGGAGTAGGATCAGTTGTTGCACTTTGATTTGTGTCGTATTTCCTTCTACCAAACCTATAATCATAAATAGAATTTGTATGAATTGAGAATTGAAAATAAAATGATATTTTAATTCCGTATGATTTTGCTTTAAAAACAAGCTTTCAATATTTCCGAATAGATACATCTGCAAACAATTGGTGATAATATGCATATAACTTTCAGCTATGGTATTCTCCAAATTGAGTAAAACCTTTATCTGAAATGGTAGATTAATTATTTCGAAAGCAATTATCCTGATCATGACTGTTTGCATAATCCTACAAGTGTAATCATTCCAAAGATAATTTTTAGATGTCTTTTTTCAAAAAAATATTATAACACTTTTATCAGAAATGTGTTTCTGGATGCGAATAATAAAGTCATAAGACAAATGTGGTGCGTACCTGGAAAGTAAATCATTAGATTCATCTGTTTCTGCATCTGTTTTCGATTTGCTGGCATCAAGGATCGGTGCAACCCTTGCTGTTTTTGTCTCGTTCTGTAAAATAATATTTAGAATAATAAACTCAATATCTATTTTTCTCTGCAAATTCTATTTTTTTACACATACTCGTATGCTAAGTTTATTAATATTTTGTCTAGGTAAAACCGTAAAACACGATCATATTTTTTTAGGCCTTGTGTAATCTAAATGTAATTCCATATAATGGCTAATTGTATTTTTACTTTTCTTGCCCTTGCCATATTGCAGGAGGAACATCTCCTAGATGAGAAAAAATCGGAAAAACATGACAAAACTTATAATATCATAGAGCATTTTTCCTCAGACACCAGCCGTAAATAACTTAGTTCATCTTTAAACTTTATGCCGAAGATGTTTATTGTTTTACAGATCATATTTGCAAACTTCTATCCTTCTAATTAAATTGATTTTCCTTGTTTTATTATGAAAAAGAGGAAAATTTCTTCCAGCTCAATAACAGTGCCGCAATTCAAACCTTTGCTAGCTAAGTATTTGGTAACATCAATGACAATCACAAAAAAGAAATAAGATATATTTCAAAAATTAAAAATATCATACTTTTGTCTCCTCACTGAATCTTGTGGAATAAGATGAGGATCTTTCAATTTCTTTATTTTGTAAATTCTGCATACTAATTTTTGATTTTTCATCAAAGCTACCAGTTTTTCGTAAACCTGTAATAAGGCAATATCAAGGTAGAAGAGATTGCCATGTTTCAAAAATTTGAGTGAATATACCCCCTGCCCATAGGCTTCAGTCTCTTTACAGAACTTGATGTAAAGAAGCCGAACAAAATTAGTTATCTCCATATTGGTACACACACTTCTGGAGCGCCAATTACTGTATTTATATCATTTTTTTATAACATGTTTCAGTTGATACATGGCGAAATGCATAGAATCCGACATAGACACAACATATTAAAGTTTGGAATTCCCATAAAACTGATATATAGATTTAACTATGCAGCACACAAGCAGTTGGTACGATGTTTAAACTTACAGTGTATGCAAATAATATGTACTCCAAGTTGAAATTTTTGTAAAGTTGAATGTAGGTGCCCACAGATTTTATTTTTGAGTACAAATAATGTTAGATCCATCCATTATATAGAATCAAAATAAAATATTATGATACCTGTCCGCCAAGCTGAAGGTGTATCATCTTTGTCTCTTGAAAGTAAAGTTGTTCTACTACCATTTTCTCTACTGGTTCGGCCCTGAATGAGAACAGCATTAGGACAATAAGGACAGAGTAAGGAAATGAGTAACACTGCACGATTGATGGAAGTGAAAAATTGCCAGAATAACTTACCACTGCTTGTACTGGTTGTGTTGCTGCTATTGGTTTTGAACCACCTTCACTGTTTGTCATTTGAAGTGGTCTATGATGAGGTGGTTCTGACGATGATATGTGCAAAGAAGCTGGACGATTGCGTCTACTGTTATAACTTGAAATAATAATTATGTAATTAGTTACAATGAAGAATTTTATAATACAAACAACAAACTAGAATGAGCATAATAATTTTACTCGCTAATGACCAAAATAGCTGTTTCAGTCATATATTTGAGAAATAAATTAGTTTGATTATTATAAAGGTAAATCATTTATTTCTGCCCATATACTGATACAATGGTATGTGCTATGCATACATACATACATAGGCTTCTACCCCCTGTTAATTGGGATAATAACTATTCCTATATATTACAAAATTTCAAGGTTTAAACTGTTGTCAGGCGTCATACAATAAATGGGACTAAAAAATTGCTTCACAAGATAGAAATGGTATGATGAAAAGAGCTTTGGTTCGGCAGACATAGGAATATAGGTTTACAAAGTTCAGGTTATTGTTAACTCCATATAATAAAGCCTGGTTAAAATTAATTTATTAAAATTCTAATAGAACCTCAGTAAATTATATTTATCCACCTTTCTGGTTATTGTAGTGATTTCACAACATCGATAAGAGAATAATGATTATGGTCGTGTTTTTTTTGGTATTTTCTCAAATTGGGAGTTTATTAATGTTTGACATACAGACAGGATAATGTTATTGCACAGCATATGTGAACTTCACAAAAAAAAAGCAAAAATGACGAATTGAAATCTAACGTTTGCCAACTGGGGGGAATTTATTATCATGGAGGAAATAGGTACTTGGGGAGGAAATATTAAGTTGCGATTAGGTGTAATTTCACAAATATTGTTTCGTTTAATTATTTATTGTAATGTGTATTTATGGATCTATTATAAACTACTTAAATTTTGCAAAAGTCGGACTTGGGGTTGTGAGTAGCAGTAGCTAGGGTTAAACAATGTACTGGGATATTGTATAGGCCTATTAAAATGCAGGTTCTTTCTCCTTGTTTATTTTGGATATAAATGTGGATGCTGCCAAAATGATACTTGTTCCAGATATTTTTTATGTGTGGTGAGGGTTTTATGCATGGTGAGGCAGGTTTGAAAAAATCCAGGATAGGCAAAGGAGAGAATTTATCAAAAAAGGTTGGGGACCACTTCTATAATCTGTCTTACCTGCTGATGAAATCATCCGATTGGTCGTTTGAAAGTGACGAAGTTCGTGAAGAACTTTTCGTTTCATGTGATTTAATAGGAGGAGGTGAAGATATTCTGGTAGCCGATGTTATACTGTCTTCTTCTTCTTCTGATGACGACGAATCAGGTGATTCTTCTTCCAACATTTTACGAGATCTTTTTTCGCCATTTTGCATTTCGTTTATTCTTAATATATCTGATGATTCTTTGGTAGATGGAGATGATCTGAAAACATATGTATTCAATAGCTCATGGCATATAAGTATGAATAAATACAAAAAAAATATTTATATATAAAGCAAGGACAATCCTAAGCAGAATGAAAAAAAAAAAATTAACAAAACATAAATAGGCCTGTAATTTGAATGCTCGAATTTTAAATATCCTGGCAATATTTAACCAGAAAGAATAAGACAATAGCGAAACTGATAACATAGATATTAATGTTTAATGAACTAAGATTAATATTCCAAATAAGTAAGTGGGTGTAATAATGATATTGATTTTGCTCAAAGGTTCACAAATAGTGAAAACAATTTTATGGGTGATTAGTATAATATACTGATCTTTAGAGAAGCATTCCTTAACACAAGGTTTTCCAAAACTAATTATATATCCAAATCGATTCGAATATCAATTATAACATAATAAATTTCCAATTCTTGATTTTAGGAATTGTTATTTGTCAAAAGGTATCATTTAAGCAACTATAGACTTGAAGTGTGACAAAAAAGTGTGAACCGTAAAAAGTGTATAAATTTGTAGAATCATTCAAATCATTTTCACATAGATTTCTCTAAAATTCCAAATTTAAACTCATTGAATTCTATAACTTTTCCCAATTTACAATATTCAATACGTGAAAAATATTCGGATTTGGGCATCTCTACTTGACACTTGAAGAAATCACAATGAGTACAAGCCATTAGCACTTTGGTAATAGAAAAATACTTATGGAATAAATATATATCGCATGACAATGTGACCTATTTTAAGTAAGTGATGAGGTTGATAGTTCAATCACATAACTGGACAATTCTGAGGCATTGTTGACAGCTGAGGCTGGTTACACGCTTTAATAATATGAAAGGGTACAGAAAGCAGTCTCATGTGGCGTGAAAATGACGTCTGCTGGATTAAAAGACTTACTGATCCGAAGAGTGAAAATTTAAATTAGGGTGTAGATTGCAGTTGAACACTAATTACAATAATGATACTCTATATTCCTAACGACATTAATAACCACCTAGTTGCCACATAATGAATTCAACAGATAGAAAAAATTTGAATATTCAAAAACACAATCCCATGTATTAAATACTTCAAAATTCTCAATATTTTCTTACTGCGAACACCTGCCACTCAACAAATGATTTCCATACATAAATAAGTTGAATAAATAATAAATACTCATTATTTCGACAAATTTCCAAAATCCTAATTTGACAAGTTAGTTTGGCTGCAACAAAAACTAAGGGGGAACATAAGAACATTGATGTAGATGTGTTATGTGCAAGCTTAAAAGTCTGAACAGCTGTTGCTTTTAAGCTGCATTTCTCAAAAGCAGTGTTCCCAATGAGGGGTAGTACAACACAGTATAATCAACATTCATCTATCATTATTATATCACTTTGCTGGCCCAAACTGTGAAAGGAAGATTGTGAAACAGGGTGAAAACTACATAAAAGATTCAAATGCTTCAAGCAATGCATATCATACCGGTACGTTTGTTTCCACTATTTCAAAACAATTCAAGTGAAGTGAACCATGGACTATTGTTATTGAGAAAATTATTATAGAGGTACCGGTAATGAAATACAGCTATGTAAGGAAATGAATGCATGTGATGAAATGGATAAAACTTGTGAATCCAGGAGATTGACGAAAATCCAATTTAGCGCAAAATAATTAGGATTTGGAATTGAAAATGTCCAGATTGACAATTGACCGGAATTTCAATAAAAGTGTTTATCAATAATTCGAAAAATCTCATTATTCTTATCATTCTACCTAAACTTTTTTTAAAGAATATTTGTACATAAGGAAACAGGTGAGATCATGAATGTGTATTTAGAAAAACTGCGCACTTAATACAAGCCCAATAATACTAAATATATATTGATTAACTCATAAAACCTGTCAGAAGTAACAATCAGCAATCCATCACAGGGATTTGCGTGCCAGCAAAACGAATACTACCTAACAAGACATGGCCTGATGACATAAGATTGCAGTAACAACAGACTATATAGGTGGGTTAGTACAGTAATTAATAAAAATTTAGGAAGCATCTACACACAATATATATATTTAGAGAAGTCTAATCAAATTGTTTTTTACATTATAATTCTACTACTAATCAGAAGCCATCTTGATTTCAAGAATATACTGTTTATTTTTTGTAGCGAGATGAAAGTAAATTATATTTGGAAAAAATCATTTTCCACTGATTGCCAACTTCTCTTATGTAACTTCAAACAATTCATAATTCTTAAAAACTGCTTCATATCATACTTCAATTTACTGTTGATATTTAATTATTATGCATCGTTATAATTAGAGCTAAGGCTAGAGGGGACATTTTCAAGCACAATATGCTCAAGGCGAGATCACGAGATCTAACTTAATTAAGAATCAGAAATATTTCTTAATCAATATCAAATGAACAAGCATATTCCTACATTCTCTGTATCATGAATTATTTTTCAAACGAAGAATCTATAAATACGAAAGGTTCCATGAGCTAACATAATACACCTAAAAGTATAATAACGAAGAATAGCACTCACTTTTTGTCAGATTTTAAAGGTGGAGGCTCTATGACAGGAGTCGTTTTGATATTTGGTTTCTGTATAGGGAAAAAAATGATAATTGTAAATACGTATTCTTTGCACCAGCATTTTTAGAAAATGAGCCATAATGTTTAACTCACATTTTCACTTTGTTCTGTTTCTAAATCCCGTAAATATTCCAACATATCTTCATCTGCGACATCAAAAGGTGTTTGACCCTGAAATTGAAAAATGAACAAAACGATCATACAGAAATTCTTTTTAAAGCAAGGTTCCATGCACTCACTCAGAAATAAAAGACATACCGGTACATAAACATAATGTTATATTTAAAAAAATGATGCTTGTAAATTTAAAGGAAGAAAATTTAACAACCAAATATCCTTCTGAATGGTTGTATATACTACTCCTGACTTTCAATAAAAAGTAACTGTCTGTGCAGAGAAAATATACTTGAATTCTAGATTAATAAACCTACCAGATTACTCCTGGATTTGAAATCAGCATTTCTATCAGCTAAAATTTTAGAGGATTCTTCTTGTGACCAGTGAGAAGCAGCATGAAGTGGGGTCCATCCATCATGATCTCTTGAATTAACGTCGATACCAGCTTTGATTAAAATTCTGCACGAAATTTTAAAAAATTTTCACAGGAAATAAAGCAAAGAATTTTTTTATGATGTGTACTCAATTGAATCTTTACAAGGCTCGGAAAAATTGAAATTGTAGAGTTATACCATACTTTGCTAAATACGATGAAACAGTCTATTAAATTTTTAATCACATAAAGGCAATATAACTATTAAATAATAGTAATGGTTTTCACATAACTAGGCAGGCATTAATACAATACAGTACTCCTGAAAGAAACAAATCCTTTTTCAGCAAAATCAATGCCTGTGAGTAAAGTAAGCAAAAACAAAAAATTTGAATATAATATAATGCTTACTTCAAAACATCATTGTATCCTTTAGCTGCACAAATATGCAATGCAGTTGCGCCTGATTTTGAATGCCTATATATTTCCACCTTTTCCCCATTTTGATATTTATCCAATAAAATATTTGCATCTTCTAACATAAATAAACGTTCAATGTCTCTGGCTTCATCGACATCAATTCCTGCAACAAATAAGATTATGAATTGAAATATTCTGACTAGATTATTTCGCATCTCATCAAGCAATTTCCATTTTCCATATCGCATAATGTTCAATTGCTTATGGTGAATAACAATATATCATATTATAATCCGTAACATTGAACATTATTGCTAGCTTTTAAAAGAACAAATTGTAGCAATGAAAATCATTAAAAAATATTCAAATCAAAAATTTCTTCATTAATAAATAATGCAGAACAATGGATTATTCCACTAATTATCAAACAATCCATTTCAAATCCAAAAGTGATTGATTATCAAATAAATAAGTTTTCAAACTCACTCAGCATTGCTATTGGGATGGCATGATATTGGCTTTGCTTATGCAAGTCACAATCATTTGTAGGTAAAAGAAATATTTTTCATATATCAAAAGCCAATATTAAGTTTGTATGATATGACAACATTACCTTATCAAAATATTCCAAGGTTTACATTTTAGTCAGCCTAATCACCACACCAAATAAATATTATTTTGATGAAAAATGTCAAAACAAAATCAATCATTTGAATTAATTGACAATCAAAATGATTTGGACATATCTCATAACAATAAAAAATATTTTGATTATATTCTCAACGACGAAAAGGCTATTAAAGAATTTTCATGCATCTGTATCAATACCCTGTTAATGCCGTTTTAGGCCCTGTCCCAAGATAGATAAACCATGGTTTCAATTCTCTAATTGTTAAAATTGTTAAATGTGTCTAGATGTCAGATGCCAAATATTCAAAATGATAATAAGATATTACAAATAATTTTAACTAGGATTTACAACTTAAATAAATATAACTAGTTTCAAATATATTGCAATCGTTTATATGACTCCAGAAGTATCAGTTTCTATAACAATGGAAATGTTTTTAAAAAAATAGATTTGTTGTAATCATTGTAATGATTGTCGTAACGTTTTCATATGAAAAACATGCCGTTTGTAAAGATTTGGCCTTATTCTCAGGCCTTATATTTTTTGTTTTAAACAACTTTACTAAACAAAAATATGAAAATATAAATTTATTATTCAGCAGCACCTTTATTATCGATTTCAGATTGAAGATATTCAACCATTTCATCTTCTTCTGCAATATCGATTGGTAATTCTGCCTCGCTGTTGACAGCAGCAACATTTGCACCCTTTTTGACCAGATATCTGTTATGGTAAAAAAATTATAATGGTATTAATTCTATTCAGCATTATAAAAAAATGTAGGAGAAAAATATGTAAAGGCAATATGTTAGAAAATATTTTATTAAAATGTTCAAATAATTTGAAATAAGCTATTGAAATTGAATCAAAAATAGTTATAGCCAATATGAGTACCAAATAAGAATACCAAAAATTGCTCGACAATCAAACATATTGATATAATATCCATCCAGAAAATTAATAGAGATAAGGTCAAACATTGTAGATTATAGGATTACAAAAAAAATAAAGGTACAATAACCTGCTAAACCATGAAAGATGTTATTACCACAGAAAGCACTTAATTTATTGTATAATTCTCCAAATCTTATAAGAAATAATATGCTATAGCTGAATTAAATTTGTGTGAGAAAGTTACACTCTGGTAAAAGTAAAATAGAAACTGCAGCAAGATTCTTGAATTTCCCACAAGAAATATTTTACTACAATAATGCGTCATATTTAGGTTTAAGTATTTATATCTAAGTAGTCTAAAATTCTGTTTTTCAATCAATTCTAATTTAAAATATCCCACATATTAAAATTTGACATAAAAAGTGAATTTCAATGTGAAAGTCACAAATTTGCTTTATGCTTTATGCAAATTTTTGACATTCACATTGAAATTCACTTTTAGGTCGAATTAAATATGTGGGATATTTTAAATTAAAATTGATTGAAAAGCATAATTTTAGACTATTTAGATATAAATTAACATGATTACATCCAATGATGTATGAATGTACATTTTCGAATTCTAATTACTATTCCGATACTATTGCAATATCTCTAATCAGACCACACCACAATATTCAATTTCGAATTCCAAATGAAGTCATCGCTATTCCAGTAACAATGATAACACAAGGGCCAGGAAGGTCAGAAGTGATATAGCCAATGAGTAAATAATTTCCTTTTGTATTATCAGTGTATGATATACAATACATGACTAAGTCAGTTTCAATGTTAAATGATAATAATTAAAGTCAAATTTTCAAATGACGGTTGGTATAGAATAGCCATGTCTTGAAACAAAGAACACATTTAAATTCTTTCATATTTTTACCGACAAAAATCTCATTGAATTGCCCAATATAAGGCAAAAAAATCAGAACAAATTTTAGAGAGAAAAATGATGCTACTGTCGGTTAAATATTATTTATCACATAACCATATTTTTATTATCTGAATTCCTGAGAAACAATATTTTCTAAGTTTAAGAAAAATTCTTTCGATAAACCTAGTTGATTAAGCTTATTATGTGTTCTTTATTCAAATGAAAAAACAATATAATTATTTATAATTTTCAACCCAACATTATTTTGACTATTAATATTAGTAGCCTAATAAACCAATGTAGTAAATTATGGTATGGTATGATCTAATGGTATACACCGGCATATACAATAAAGAGTCAATTGGTCATCAAAATAACCAATATTAAAGAATGTTGAACAATTTAAAAAGTGATCAAGCAACATCTTGCATTTATCAGGCAGAGCATTTTAAGATTGACAAATATCTACATAGGTACATAGGTAGTTGTATCAAGCAGATTCGCTTGTTCTTGTTAATGACAACAACCATGATCACACAAGAACAAGAGTACGTAAAGTAGATTGTGATCAATAGGCTTCATACCAAACAAAAATAATGTTGGATAAAAGTTTGTTTTGCAACAAAGGTTTGCTATTCAATTCAGTATAGCAATTGTGAGCAATGTCTCAGCTATTTGTAAAAACTATTGAAATACTTTATAAAGCATTTCTCCATACTAAAAAAAGATTACAGAATCAAACCAACTCAACAATGAATGGGGTCTGAAGTATCAATACATATTCTCTGTTGTCCATGCATCCCAGGACGTGTAAGATTATGATATAAAATTTGTTTAATCTAATTAATTAATAAATGTTGCTCAGTACAGTTTGAATAGTTTACTGAATTCATATATTAAATCTTCAAATTTGAACACATTATCAAATTTAGCATCAAATATGAATCGAGTTAAAGAATTTAATTTAAAGTTATGTGAGGAATTTATGTTGCATTAGGAAAGAACACATTATTCCATTACAGACCAAACATATGAATACTACCGTATATTAATACTTTTCAGTTTTCAAACATATACCCGTATATGAAATAGATAAGCCTGACATTGTATGAAGGATGCTGATTACATGTATTCTGTTGGGGCAGCGGGGTGAAGAAAATTTTGATGAAATGCCAAAGTTTTAACGATACCACCCCGTATCGGGTGAGAAAGTAATCCTAGGTAAACATTTGTCGTCAAGGTTGACCAGTTTCAGATCACAGAATAAAAGAGATGATAATCATTGAATATTATAGATCATTCTGTTATTGACCACTAAAACAATAGACTACTCTTGAAACATAGTATGAATGAACAAGGGCAGATATTCTCCCAAATGAATGTAAATAAAAACGAATATTTAACCAGCTCAATTTTCTGGTCAAGATATCACTTTAACTGATGAATTGGAATATTGCAACCTAATGAAATATTAGTACATACTTTCAATATTTTATTTGGTTTTAGGGACGTTCATAGCAATGGTAAAACAAAAAATTAAACCTATTATAAAATGATAGATTAGTGTCACTATAGATATGGGTTATGTGAATTCAAAATAAATTGAACAAAATGAATTTGAGAATACAAAAAATACAAAAAAATTTATGGATAAAATTTGATCAGTTGAAGTCAAAATTTTGCGTAAAATTTATATTTGCTCAAATAATCCAAACAAAAGAATGTTGTATATCATTTCGAAACTGGTGACAATTGCCCTTACTTCCTACATAAATATTGTATCTATTCATACATAAAACTCGTTTCGACCATGGCGTTCTATTGTTCATCTACAATACACCAAGCAATTCATTGTAGCCTATTGAAATTGAAAGCATGATAAATTGCACTTTCACAATATAAGAATAACATGCCGAGAACCCAGATTTTAATAAAACTCGAATTTATGAGAAGAATGCACTGATATTGGAATCTAAGGATTGAAGAGGTCAAATTCAGTTAACTATAAAAATCTTCACAATACAATATACATTTGGAAATATTATAATAGGTTTCCCTACCATTGCTTTTAATAAGGCACGTATTGCTATATGAGGCATTGAACAATGTAATAAAATATAAATAATACCAAATTTCAAATGATAGGATACACTGGAAGTAAAAAACTTATAATTACTAGGTCATGTGTATGGTGGTAGATTTGCAGTCTATATTATTTCGATATATAAATTATAATGAATGATATTGGAAAGTTTTCTGAAGGTGATAACAAAAGAAAAGTCTCTCTGAGAAAAAATAACTAGCATAGTAACCAGCTGAAAAATTATACATTTGTTTTATATAATATAAATGAATTTTAGTTGCCTTATAGGATTTGTCTTATTAAAATCTGATACTCATACAACCCATTTAACTTTTACTAATCCAATCATACACTGTAATCTGCTTCAAATGAGCGAAAGGAATCAATCAACAACAATTCAAACAGATCCAATCTGAGAGACAATTATGCCTCATTCCATTATTTATATTGAACAAAAAAGTAGCGCACTGTTGCAAATTATGTTTAAACAAAAATGTGAACCAAGATGGCGGACACCGGAATGTAGTATGTGTACCTGGTTAATGTTAAACCATAATTTAATTCCAATTTTCCTTATTTTAGTTCTATTACGAGTTTGGGGAATAGCCAAGTGACTCCCATAGGATTTGTACCTGAAATTATGGCCTAACCCCAACCTGGTACACAGGGACGCAGCCAGGGGGGAGGTTACACGGGTCGTAACCCCCCCCCCCCTTTGGAATCGTTTTTATTTTTAATAGTGTTACGTTTACTTACAATAATTTTATTTTTTGCATACCACTTTCGCTCAGCGTCCCACTTTATTAATCATGTTTACGATTCGTTATCGCTGTTACGCGGCAGTGGAGCTAGCTGCCAGCGGGGGGTCACGGAAGTCACAATCTTCACTAAACATTTTTAAATACAATTGTACAACCTTTCACTTGACACAAATAGCAACGGACATATCACACTATTGTCGTCAAGACTATTCCACAAGCGCGCTCTTGCCTCGCCACATTCAACGATTTCACAAGCGCGCTCTCGCCTCGCCACATTCAACGCATCTATACTTTTAATCACATACGTTATCGTTGGTTATCGCTAATTACAAATTTTAGTTATGTAGTGCATCTTTAACAAGCACAATTATTGGAAATGTATGGTTCATTAACAAATGATTGCCAAATGCGGCAGCATCGAAAAAAAAGTGTCATAAAATAATATTCAATCTTCGAAAACAAAGCATTGCAAAATAATGTTCAATCTTCGAGTAAAAAGTATCGCAAAATATATTCAATCTTCGAGAAAAAAAATATTACAGAATAATGTTCAATCTTCAAGTAAAAAGTATCGCAAAATAATGTTCAATCTTCGGGAAAAAAAATATTACAGAATAATGTTCAATCTTCGAGATTTTTGGGTAGCAAACTCGCCCAAGACTCGTTTGGAATCGTCTGTCTGCGAAAAGCAGTTACCGTATTTATTCAATTATAACGCGCACTCGTGTATAACGCGCACCTTTAAATTTTGAATGAAAATTGGTATAAAATTCTTTTTTTTATTTTTTCTCTACTAACTACTGGTAAGCACATAAGGTAACAACTCACAGCATGAACAAAAATTTATTAAAAGCACACAGTAATTCAAAACTCTTCAAAATCGGATTCAGTCTCTGATTCACCAAACAACTGTTCGATTTCTGTTTGGGTTATGTTTAAATCAGTGCAGAGCGTTTTTGTCTTGCCATAATAGATAATGGGTAATATATAATGGGTATCTACAGTACAGTACGATAATGGCAAATAAATATTCTCAACGCAGCGGGAATGTCAAACGCATGCTGAGCTGTCGCATGTGCGTGTGCTTGCACGAAATCGAACGCTTGCACGAATGTCAGACGCACGCTGAGCTGTCGCATGTGCGTGTGCTTGCACGAAATCGTCCTGCATTGGAATGTGCATGCGCGAGCGCACGCACGTTTCAGATGTTTAAAACCACATTTTCAATACCGCATTTCTCAGACCTCGTGTATAACGCGCAGCATTGATTTTTGCCTAAAATTCAGTTCAAAATTTTGCGCGTTATAATCGAATAAATACGGTACATGCGTTTTCTTTCAGTTCTTTTTAATAAACTGTCGCTGAAAGTGAAGAAGCGCTCAAATTCGCGACGATTTCACTTTCAGTAATATAGGGGTAGACTCGACGCATTGCAATAAAAATTAGAATTTATTAACAGTTAATTGCAACAAGCAAGAGTTTTACATTGAAAGACGTTCTCAATCAGTACGATACATGAGCTTGTTTTTAAATGATTGTAATCGTTATATGAAGTTATAAATGCGGGAACATCGAATATATTATTTTGGAAATGGATTGATATTTCGTGACGCACTGAAAAACAGTTTATGAACCATTGGCATTTGGCAAATATCATTAATTTATGCTATTTCTTAATGTTTCATGATTGCTAATATTTCATTCTAATCTTATTTTACATTTTTTGCGTTATTCCAATTAAAATCATGTGTGGCATTTTATTTAACTGTTGACAATGGGGTAATAATCGGTGATTACTAAAAGGTTAAAATAGGACATGCCAAAACAAAATAAACGAATTGATGCCTGTCAAAGGGGGCAGGGTCTGGCGACAAAGAGCCACATGTGTCGGTGTTTCTCTATCATAGGCATTTTCGGCATCACTTTGAAACTCTAAAACGAAAGGACACCCCGTGGAGTGAAGACTTTCGCATAGGGAAATATTTGAATTACGATTGCTGAATGAGCGGAAAAAACAAATGCTTATTTTCTTGCTTGAAACAACGATAAACCAATTCAACCCTGTTGCCAAAAATAATAGCATGCATTATTAACAAACTGGTAATAATATGTTGATAAATCGCCGCTAAAAGTAGAGAAGCGTTATGTGCAAATATCACAGGAATTTTAATTCGCGACGAATTCACTTTCAGTAATATAGTTAACGGCGCATTGAAATGAAAAGTTGATTATGCTTGATCCTAGAGAATGGCCGGCGATTGCTGAAAGTAGGACATGCAAAGAAAGGCTAATGAGACACAGCGCCGCATATGTTGTTTTGCCATCATCGGAATATCTTTTTAAAGACCTCTAAACGCGTTTTTATTTCACCAACTCCCCCCTTGAAAAAATCCTGGCTGCGCCCCTGCCGGTACACATACTACGTTCCGATGTCTGCCATCTTGATTCACATACTTCGGAGTACCTATTTATTAATAATACTGTACTCTTGAATGTCATATACTTTATTGCAATAGCCATCGTCTAGTAGAAATAAACCACATTCACAAAATTTCTCAAAAATAATGATTATAACAAACTACCACAAAGTTGTGTATTACCAATATTAATTAAAACCTAAATATCCCTTACTTAGCAATATCCATGAATCCACATGAAGCAGTGGCATGAAGTGGTGTCCAACCTTCATTATCTTCTTGATCAATTTCTGATCCATGTTCAACAAGAAATTCGACAACTTCGACATTTCCATCAATACATGCCTGAAGAAATAAATATTTGTTATAACTATAAGGTAAATCATATATAAAACACATAATTAAAAAATGATCCTGATGTCTGTAAACTTGTACTTTGTGAAATCTCACATTGCTTTTTAGTACAAAAGTTAATTTAGAATATAATTAATATTAATATTTTTTATCACTTTTTGTTATTTTTGTTTTGACTGAATTATATCAATAAGCTCATTAAACCAGATATAAACACAATAAAATTAACATTGAATTCATTCATAAAAAATATTCAAATATCAATTTCAAAATTAAAAATACACATCTATAATTATTTGACATCAACATTTTGAACTATTTCCATGTTTAGGCAACATGTTATGAAGCTCATGAAAGCTTATTTAAAAAATCATTTCAGAATTATAAACTATACCAGGGGTGGGCACACCGCGGCTCGCCAGACTTTTTGTGCGGCTCTTCTCGCTAACATAAATTATTATCCAAATTTTACCTAAGAGAAAAACTTTAATGTAAACTCTTTTAATTTATTAAAAGTCGTAAAGAAGTTTTCGTCAATAACTAGGACAAATTATGTTTTAGTATGAAAATCGCTGTAGCGATTTGAAGTCAGTCGAGTCAGCAAATCTTTCGTCACAATGGTCAATGTTTATTGATGCGTCGGCGGTATTGCAGCTTGATTGCGGTTAGTTAGTCTAAGTCAGTGTTCTTCAACCTTTTTTATCGAAGTATACCTTTTACAGTTTTTTAAGAACTTTGTATACCTTACAAATACCAATGTTTATTTAAGGCTCAGATAAACAATAAATTTTAAGCACATATTGTACTGCAATATCATCATGCAATCTAATAGGCTAGTGACCGCAAGTTATAAATTTGACTGACTGCCTTAGCGTCGACGGGAATAATGTTCGACGTAAATCAAACAAAGTGCATGGCATACGAAATCACCAACCCAGACACATGCCCGTATTATCTATATAATTAGTGATGTAACAACGTGCTTACGTCGGTTATTAGCGTTAATAACATTTTACATTTCATGTGCGCCGCGTTTGCATTGTTGTATCCAATTGAATATTTTATAGGCTGTACACCTTTCGTATACCCTTTATCAGTTGTATACCCAACTTATGGTCTGGTGTACACTTAGGTATACCGTATACCCGGTTAAAGAGCATTGGTCTAAGTTACTGTGCGATGTGTCCAGAATTAAAAAACGAAAGTACGAAGATGAAAACAGAGTTGTCAGAGTTGCCTTGTTTATCTATTTATTGTTATTGGACTCTTGTGTGAATTTCTTTTCTGTTCATAGTATTTCGATAATATTAATAAATTCACAAATTCTGCGGCTCTTTTAAAGTTCTGACTTGCAGCTTGCGGCTCTTATACTAAAAAATTGTGCCCACCCCTGAACTATACAAATATGAACATCTCTAAATTTAACCCAATAATTTGATCCAGTGGTTGGTTTTTCATGATATTCATGTACCCCCATATCAATATTGATTAATGATGTATCAGAGAAATAGCATCTGAGTCAGTGACATACTAGTGATATATTAATCCTGCTCATACAATTCCAGTAATCAATGAGACACCGTATGTTGGTGAGCAATATGGCATAGAAAATACAACAATTTTTTATTTACTTATCTGAGAAATAGTCCATTGATGAACAATTTTAAGTAGACTGACAAGAAGAAAAAGGGTAATCAAAACTTTTTTAAAACATGCCTACACTCTTAATAGTTCAGTTTAATTATTTTGTTCAATTTATTCATGATTTGGTAATTCTATAATTAGAACTGATCATTGTGTATCAATAGCTATTTGTTAGCTCGGCAATGCTCGTGTTACTGTACTGTTGGAAATGAAAAATTGCTTCTCTTGTACCAATTTACTTCTATTTTTGCTAGTTCATTCTGAAAAAAATCTCTCAGCTAATAACCACTGTATCACTGTACAAGACCATGGAATATTTATTCGAAGCATTGAAGAATTTTTATAATCTATTCGATTGTTTTAAATTCATGTAATGATAAATATTGCATGAACATCACAGCATCTTGAAAACCAAAATTAGAATTTATTGCCTTTCCAGGCTCGGAGAATATTGTCAGATAGAGTTTCTGTACCTCGATTTTCAAAATATCCTGCGACACGCCTTGAGTTTCAAACAAAGCAATATGAATCATTTGATAACAAAAGTTAATTGCTACATTCATGAATGGTCAGTAACAGAACATTTATGTTATACCGTTGACCAGCCTACTGGATATGTTAACCCGGGTTTGAATAGGTGTTCCAATTTGAAGGATTTCTACAAACTTCCTATTTCAATACAGTCGGGCACAGTTTCTAAATTCCAAGAATGTCCAGTCATTTGTTCAATAAAACAAACACTCCATGTTTCTCACAAACGAGGGGCAGTTGGCACGATGACAACGTCATATCGTGCCAAGCTTGTCTCAATAATAATCTAAATTAATCACAGCCGTCACATGACCAAAATTGCAGTTGTTTTGCAAACTCTCGAATGCCACGGCAAATTTTATTTCCTTCAGTAAACCGGATTTTTTTCGAGAGGAAGTCAATGATGACATTTTTTAGATTGTGCTTCTTATTAGATAAACAAGATTATTAAACACAACAATTTCCAGACGTCCTCGAAATAAAGGGGTGTTTAGTCAAAATGGGATTCTCTGAAACGGGACAATGTTGCTCGATCTGTTAGGTGCCGTACTACAATATGAGAAAACTGGCAAAAAATTTATTGTTTTCAAAATGTTAGAGCTCAACGTCGAGATTACTAACAGTCATCATATTTTTAATGCCAGCATATTTTTTGCCATGTTATTTATAATTATAACATTACTTTAATTAGGTAAATTGCTAATAGCAAAATAATCATGATAGTTTATTCACTGATTCATGTGGTTAATAGTCAATTTGCTTTTTCAGATATCTGGATATAATGAAAACTGTATCAAAACTTCGAAGATTGTGATTATTGTTGTTTCGTCAAAAAAAAAATTAGGAGAGTGTGGTTAAGTATAAGAATTTGATAAACAACAAGTACAGAAGTATTGAAATCTAAGCATACCGTATTTTCTATAAAAAAGAGATCAAGTATCATGCCCAGATACTTGTTTGGAAAAGTTTTAGAAAAATTAGTTTGCCCATGCCCAGATACTTGTTTTGAAAAAGAATTGGAAAAATTATATACTTGTCACTACTGTTAATTGAATTGATAAAAAAAGGAGGATGAGAGTTTCGATTTATTTTTGTTTGATACAGAATTCTGGTATTATGCATTTTCTTTGACTGAGGGAATATCTTAAATAGCGTTCAGTTAACCTATTACATGACCATACCTGATGCAAAGCAGTTAATCCATCCACATTCGCAAAATTTATATCCGCCCCATTTTTGAGCAATATTCTGACTTCGTCTAAATCTCCACTAGAACATGCAGCTAAGAATACTGCACCGTCATCGAACTTGACTCTCACTTTTGGATTTGCATATGTTGGACATTCTAAATCAGTAGCTGAATTTTTCCATCTAGTTATCTGTTCTTGCCTCTTTTCTTTTGCAGTTAAGGACCGATCGTCCTCCATTTTGACCCAACCTACAATTGCTCGTAACTACGTCATCAGCGCTCGCATACCTTCGCAAATTTCCATCACAAATGACCAGAAGAGGGCGCGACAAAATTAATCTTCCGTTTGCCTTTTTTTCTTCACAGCTCAAGGCGATAGTGCATTTGCTCCACGAGGTGGCCGCGTTAAAAAAAGTATTGCGCGATATATCGCCTTTCCATTAAACATTTGAGCCTAATATAGCAGGAGTGTCACGCGCTCATTAATACACTAGAATAAATTTATATTGACGCGGACGATTAACAAAGGGCAAAATATAAAAAAAATCTATTGTATTGTTAATGTTTTCCTCTACAGTCCACTTTCGTATTTCGCATGATGGAAGAATAATAACAACGAACAAAGCACCTGCGACGGGCACTGCAATCTTGACGTATTGTCTTCTGGTGTACATATTACAAATTGTAATGTTTTCAACGCCAATTCCCAAAAACAAGAGGAATTGGCCCAATATTCTTTATAGAAATTGCCCTCCGTGGTCTAAAATTCCTGTCATAGACATTCATCTTTGAAACTATTACCATTAAGAACTTTATTTGTAAATATTCAAGAAGATCGTAATATTTTGACAGCATCAAGCTATAATAAAAGCATACCAATCAAATAGCATTTAATTCTGTACAAATAAACGGCCCAAAAATACATAGGCTCCAAGACAGGAAAAGAACCAGAAAACACTCAAATTTATTGTTAGTGATGGCAACAGACATTGTAAAAGAATATTCACATAAGCTGTCTGTTTGTTGGCAGTGATCGCACGACTTTGTTTTCACACAGCCTATCTTTAAGAAAAACCAGAGATGGTATGTATCAAAATACTGGCAGTAGACACCATTCTCAACCATATATTTTATGAATTCTGTTACACCAGCAATGAATTTTCACATATTGAAGAAATTACGAACAGCATCTCTATCTGTTCTTCCCATCATTTCCAATTCCGATATAAGTTGAGGTAGGGGTGAATCAGAAAGTGTGATCGGCCGCTCCTTTGTCGGAGTTGGGAAATTTAGTAGAGTGGAAAAGAAATTCGCCCAGAAACTTTTGTGAAACCATCTGAGAATGAAAACGTATAGACTTTGAAAATGATATTCTGACGCAGTATTTTGATTGAAAATTGATTATTCGAACTGCGTACCTCTTAATTTTGTTCTGTATTTCCCATTTTCCGTCTTGGTTTTTTCTTATTTTCATGTAGGAACCAAACAGTACAACATGCAGTGACCCGGCAATTCCATATAGATCAATCTGAAAATAAAAATAAAAAAAATAATAAACAAAAAAGGGAAATGTATACAGACACAAACTATTGTTACTTGAATACTTGTTTTAACACAGAAACTCTGCTAATGCAAACTTTATGAAAATAAAATGTGTTCTCAAATACCATGCTATAATATTTTTTGAAAGCGGATGAAACACCCTAAAAAATGCTAATTTAGTAGAAGATCCATCAGTTCAATTCATGCCCAATAATATCATCATAATTGGAAAAAATAAAATTGAAAATTTGTAGCAAGTATACCAGAATTCTTGTTCACAGATTTGTGCATATTGTGTGAATATAAGCATGTGTCAATAATATTTCGGTATTAATATCATGTAAAAAATATAGAAGACAGTAATTTAAAATAGTTACAAATTCACTCTTACATGGTAATTCCAAGGTTCTTTGTTTTGCATTTGAACACAAATAAATGCACTCGTACAACAGTTCTTTATAAATGAAGATCCATACGGCATTTCATTCATATCGATAGATCGACCAAAATCAATTAATTTGATCCCACCAATCTCAGTGAGGGAGTCAGAACAATCAGATGATCTGCAAACAATTTGAAAATTATAGTTGCATAGTTTATTTCGAATGAGGGAAATCCCAGACAAATAGAACATACTAAATCAGGGGTGTGCAAAGTGGTCCGTAAGCCAAAACCCGGCCCGCCAAGCCATTTAGTGGGGGTCTTGTCAACATTCATATTTTTCCCCATCAAGCATAAAATCCTAATCGGACAGTTCATGTTTAAAAAGGCGCTCACGTGGGCCGAACTACATGTTTTTCTGCTCTTGTCGGCACTCTGGTTATAGGTAGCTAACGTGTTACGCTGTACAACAATATATTGTGACATAATAATCCGTAAAAACCCAAGTGTTAGTGTGGACCAGCTAGCTGTCCGAAGTTAGTTTTAAGTTGCACACCCCTGTACTAAAAAAAGCCATACTCACTCCATTTCGATTTTATTTAGCCCAGAAGCAAGCTTTGAATTCAGACCAGAAAGTTCGGAAAAGTGATAGTAGCATCAGGAAGAAACCAGACTTTCCTTGAGTTATTAGCAACAGACAAAATCATTCAACTTATATGAAGACTTCACTACAAACGTTCCATGGTACATAAACTATTAATGAACTCACAATGGAACCACCATAAAGTTATCAGGTTTGATATCGCCATGAATAATTCCGACAGTATGAAGACTATGAACTATTCTCATCAGTTGATTTGCAATCCACCTTGCAGTTGCATCTTTCATCATTACATTTTTATTTGCATTAATTTTATCCTAAAAATAAATGAGAATTTATTTACATTTCAAAGTCAAAGAGTATAGCTGAATGGTGTTAAACTATCTTGCAATTTCATAGCTGATAATCAATTTCAGATTCGCAAGGTTAACTTCAGGGGATGAATAGTAAAACTATTAGTATTCATAATTACAATTAAAATATACAGCCATTTTAAAAACAACCAAAGTATTCATTTTGGCTATGGTTTGAATCTCTATGTTCGAAATTTGTTCTTACCAGTAAAGTTCCCTTTCCATAATGCGGCAGTGTCAACAAAGACCCATCTTTATATAAATAAGCTGAATTAATATTAACAATTGCATCAGCAACATCAGACATTCCTTGTAATCTTAGTCTCGTCTTTGCTTGATTTATTATATAAACTTCCCATGGACATGAAGGTGTTTCAACCTGAATTGAGAACTATTAACATCCCAAAAATAGTCAGAACAACTTTTTGTTTTAGTGGAGAATGGGGAAATAATTGTGATTTATGTAATATTTTTCTGTTCAAGTTGAAGGAACAGTTGTTAGAGTTTAAGCTAAATTAGTAAAATTCACAATATCGCAAAATGCAGATCAGTACTTGCCACTTCCACACTCCCTAAAGTTGCAAAAACTAAATACTACATGGAATCGAAAATTTAAAAGCTAAAATTCGGAAAAGCCAAAATTGAAAGTGTCAACTGGAAGTAAAATAATGGGAGAAAAAGTTAAAGAAACAAAATATAAACTTGGGACATTTTAATTTAGAACATTATGTTGAAGCGATTGTTTAGTCGTGAGTCATTTCTTAATATCTCAAAGTTTAATTCTGATGTCTGCCTGTTACTTTTCTCCACATCACGGCCCTGATTCCTTTTATCCAAGTCCAAGTTTTTAAACAATTTAAATATATATTCCAGTAGTTCCCAAACTTTTAGGGCTCGCGGCCCTCTACCGGGAGGCTTTTAGCACTCATGGCCTCCCTGTTTATCATTCTAGTGGTATTTATAGTGATATTTTGATTCCAAATCTCATTATGTTGAAACATTTCATGCTCAATAAGGAGAAAACAATCTGTGAAATAACCTAGTCAAACAATGAAACTAGGAAGAACAGGGAGTTTTCTTGTAAAGTGAAAAGTAAAAAAGTTTCGCGCCTAACATTGTGAGCCCTCTCCAACTGCTCTGTGGCCCCGAGGTTGGGGACTGCTAATCTATTCAATGACGATAAAATAATTGAACATACCTTGAGAACCTGCTGACAATCATTTTCATTAGAAGCAATATAGAATACTTTAGCAAATGCTCCTTCACCAATCATCTGACCAAGTTTAACATTCTTTCCATCTGAACAAAAATAGGAGTTTTATGTGAAAAATTAAAATTAAAAAAGAATTCATTGCTTGAAATAATATTGGATGACTGATCCCTCGGCCCACAAGAGAGCAAAAGCATTTTCTCTGGTGGCCATGAACTATGGCCTTCACTAGACAACTATAATCATTAAGATCAACTTGATTACGATTTGTTTAATTATTTGACTGAAATGTATATATGCTTATGCTTTCATATGTAAGCTTCACAATATACAACATTGCAAGCAAAATAACTAAAGGGAGCATGTTTATAAAAACTAGGTAGGTTTTTTCATCCGAATGCTGAGTGTCCTAAGATAGGGTTACAATCAAGGTTAAATATAAAATTAACGTCAGAAACACAAAACTTTATTTTAGAATCCATAATATCAAAAAATATCCTATCCACAGTCACATTTTTATATGTTTGCATAAGCCACACATGGGATATATATTTGCAGTAAAATCCTGATGTCGCACAGAAGCTATTTTAATAGGAAAAATGCTATGCTAATTTTGAATTAGTATATCCTCTCTTAAACACAATCTTACAAGGTGCCACACCCAACTAACCAAACCTACTTAACTTCTCATCAATACAAAAATGTGAAAGATGGAAATGATCAAAAGACTATGGTTTTCCATTGAATTAAAATTACCGTAAATAAAACTCGAGCTAACTTCAAGACCAAGAAAAGGGGAGTTGATTTAAAACATACGAAAACGAAATAAATAACAGAGTGAAATGCTTGAAAACGAAATTATCGAAATATGAATGAACATTCCAATTACAGCAGAATTGCAGCAAAAAATTAACGATATACTTAGATTCAGAGTTGATCCTTTGCGAATGCTAGGCATTGGCATGGTTGCCATATGATGTATCTCAGTGTCCTTGATATTTGACAAATTGTTATGATGTTCCATGATTGAATTCAATAAATCTTTGTTCCACGGATCATCAATGATGTTTGGTAAGGATGATTGCGCAATACTCTCCGCCTCTAAGTTTAAAAAAAGAATAAGGATTATTTACCTTCACTAGTAATTTAACAAAACATAATGTGTGTAACGATCTCAGCTATAAATCCTATGTAATATATTGAATAGGCGATGCTAAACTGGAATGATTCCAGTCCTTTCAAAAGTAGTAGTTGCTTACATATTGTTGGATATCAGTAGAGGCTTATTCAGATCCTTGTTCAGAGCAAAACGCTTGGGTAGGTGTGGATTGCAAAATGGCCAACAAATATACAAAAGTTAAGATATAGATATGTTCTATGCTAAATAAGAAAAGCTTTGAGGATGATTGAAGAATTAAAAAATTTATCTTTCTCTATTTCATATTATAATTCTGCTTTGTGATATACCAATTTATGACATCACAAATGAAATAAGTATGACGGTAAACTATTGTGACACTGACATCACACAAAAATGCACAATGTAATAATAAACTACATTTTCCTAAAAAATGAGATAAATTTGAATTTTTTTAAAACAAGAAATTTCAAAAAGTTTTCGGACAAAAAAATAAAATTCGCATTCACCGAAATCAGCTTTCTTGATTGAAGTTGAACTAAAATCGGTGCAAATTTTTTCAATTTCCGTATTTTCTTTCAGAATTTTTTGACTTATAAAAACATTGTCATCTGGTTTAATTCTGTGGAAAACAAAATTGAAAATCAAAATTTAATAAAGAATAAATAAAAATTTGAGAGTTGCTGTATCCGCTTTTTAGAAAAAAATTCAACAATAATGGGATCACACTTAAATTAAGCAACCAACTATGTAAAAATAAGTAGATTCACTTTAATGCAAAATTATAGAATATAAATCTATTGTGGTATGGACATTGATATCCAATGATATGAAATATTTTGGAAAAATTTCATTAATTTCTATTGAATAAATCTTTAGATTTTTTCATATTTCCAGTTAGTTTGAAAATTAATTTTTTTTTTATCAATTCATAATAGTGAATCTTCCCCCCCAAAACTATAATATTTTTGTTTAGCAAAACCGTAAACCAATAGCCTATTGCTACAATACTCTCAGTCATATGTATGTATACAGAAAATGCACAGAACTTTAAATTAAGATTGCTCAAATATGACTAATTTTGGGTACGGTTAGGCCATAATTTTATTCCGATTTTCCTTATTTTGGTTCTATTACGAGTTCGGTGACTGTTTGTGTTAGCTAAGTGAATATACCCCCTGCCCATAAGTTTCAGTTCCCTTGATGTAACACAGCTTGATGTAAAGTAGGCGAACAAAATTAGTTTCCCTCCATTGGCACACATCATTCTGGAGCGCCCTGTTTTTTTCATACCGGTAATTTAAAATCTACCGTTATATGAAATTACAAAAAGAATTACTCACGACAAAGCATCAGAAGGAGGTTTCACTGCTTGTGGTGATTCCCACAATCCACAATCGATAGTACCTCCAAAATCCATGAAATCTAAATTTCAACAATGCAATATTTAACTCAAGTATCAGTTGGGGTTACGCAAGACTTTTCCATGCTCTTTGTCAGGGGTCGGCAACCTTTTGTCTTTTGTGAAATATATAATTGTTAGGTTATAATATAATTTAGTCTAAAGAATATATTTGTCAAAACGGATGTTTTGTAACTATAATTTAGTGAAGCGTCGTGGGCCGGATTATAATGCTCCGCGGGCGTAGGTTGCCGACCCCTGCTCTATGCCTTCGTGGAAGTGAATCTGTATACGTGTAACCAAGGATGCTGTGGCAAGAATAAAGATGACTATACTATTTGATTTAAGAGTCTTACATTTGAACTATGAATAAAAAAGTTTATTTACAACAGCTAGGCAGATGTTTATATAATAAGCACAATGTAACCATCGGGGTGGGTCATTATTTTTGTTGATATTTTATCTCCATAAAAACTACAGTCGTAATTTCAGCAGACACAAGTGGGCCGGATGAAATACTTCGGCGTACCGGATTCGGCCCACGGGTCGTAATTTACCCACCCCTGGTATATCAGGTCTTGTATGAATTGAACCGATACTGAATAGTTGTACTTAACTACGACGCCATTGCAGGTTAAAATCTCAGGTTCGAATCCCATGCCCCCAATATAACCCAGGGTGTAATAAATTGGGTAGGCATGGCCGAACAAGAAAGATTCCTGTCCTTCTAACTATAGTAGCCTATCACCTAGTAGTGGCTGCTTGAGCAGAGACTTTTTCAGACCAAACAACAAATAAAGTGATGTATGAAAAAATTTAATTTGCTGTTCAAATGGCCAGATTCACCGTAATCCTAATTAATACTCATTAATTTGATATATCAGAAATAAAAACTCTAAAAACTGCAAGGAAATACCAATATCGACATACCCAGGATATCATTCGTTTTCGAAACTGTACCATTAGTCAATGGATCAAAATTATTAGTTTTTGATAAGTCGCTTCCGAAACTTTTCATTTTGAGGGGATCATTGTTAACGATTAACAATGGATCATGAGTTTTATCATACACTGATTCTCCACATGATGACTTAGCTTTTCCCATAACAGAAGATTTATCTGATTCGTTGCTGGCTTCCAAAATCGGACTGTAAATAAAGAAATAAGTGATATTAACGTTAATATAATATTTAAGGAGCATTTCTGTAATAACTAGGAATTTAAGGTTAGATACTTCGTTTTCAAATCCGAGACAAATATGTACTCAAGGTGTAAAAAATAATGTTATAGGCAGGGATGGAGCTGAGGCTGTGGAGTTTGTTAAAGCTGGAGCTAAGCTTAGCCCTGGACCAGGGGCGATGTAAGTGTGACGTTTAAAGTTACAATTTACAAACAAAATTTAAAGTCTTACAAAAGCAAAAGTGGAAAACAATAAACTAAATTGTCAGGCTGTAAGTTTGCCCATGTCAGGGTTAGAGTATACAAAAAATCCCTACATAAATATCGGACCAATTGTTTATAAGTACCTTAGTTGTTTCATTTCAGCAGGAATGTCAACTTCTTTACCATTTTCCGCTGAATAGAACATATCGTTAGTATTTTCATCATAATCATTATGAATAGAGATTGGATTGACAGGAGGAGCAGAAGATTTGCCGATTCTGTCCTCGGACTGTTCATTTACGTTTTCCCGATGAGGCAACATATCAGTAACCGTATTTTCCGTTTGAATACGACTCAGATGATTAATGTGAGTCATATCTTGAAGTTTTTCTAAAAATTAAACTAGTTAGTCATGTATGAAAATTGTGCAATATGTCTACAAGAGATACAGACAAAATCGAAAGATTAAGAAAATTCATCATTCTCAAAAAACTGTTTCTACTCGATTTGTTCATGTCAACAATTCCTACCGGGACAATTTCTAAGGCCTAACATTTAAAACGTCGAAAGTCTGGGTCGGATTAGCAGGTTATACATCCCATGACCAGTACCTCACCCAAGGTATAATAAATTGGTTAGCATGTCTGGATAATTCGCTGTGAACAAATTTGCAGCAGGAAATCTCGCCACAGGAAATTTCGCCTACTAGAAAAAATCGTCGCTTGAAAAATCGCCCAAAAGCATTTTGCTGTAAAACAAGTATTTGTGATAAGAACAGTTAAAAACAACTTTTTGTTTAATATAACACCCTGTCTTATTTTCGAGAAAACATGGTACAATCTTGTCTGCTCTGCACCTACCTTAAATTGTCCGCTGATCAGCAAAGGACAGCTTGGGGATCATGTTGTTCGCTTTGCACTAGCTAGTTGTTAGGGCATTGCAACATCATAGTTAGCAGGTTTTACAGCAAAATGCTCTTGCGGCGATTTTTCCTACTAGGCGGCAAATTTTCCTAGAACCATTGGTTAGGTAATGTCAAATACTAACTCATTAGTTATATTATTGCCGAAGCTGCTTGTACAGGCTGCCTTGCTTGATCAGGATAGCCTAAATGAGCGTCTCAAAAATATATTGAATCAAATTCACATTCATTGACTATGCGGCCAACTACATTTTTCCAAAAATACATGAACACAAAAAATGTGCTTTTACATACCAGACTTGCTGCAGAATGGAGTTGAAGCAAGATGAGCCCGACTTGAAAAATCGCTTCCGGAAACAGTAACATCATCAAAACAAATTCCTGTTTTATCGTCAGAATACTATCCAGAGATAAAAGCCAGTTTAATATCTGGTATGTGAAATTTTTGATTCCCCCAAAGTCAGGATTTCACAGTGATATTAACCTGATTCAGACGCCCAATCGAGCCCAATTTTGAATACATTTTTATTAATGTCATACGACCCCCAAAATTTACCCAATATACAATAATTATATACCATTGGAAAGGTATTTTAGAGTACTATACGCTAGATGTCACTGGAGGACCGTAAACTAAAACACCTCTTTCAAGAGGTCTCTCGTAACGTCAAAAAATAACAAAAATATTTACACTCTCTCATTCTATCAGCTGTTGGACGTCTACAGCTATTGTAAAGCTGAAATGTAACTATACAGTTGACTGCACATTGGTTTTCTCTTTCATATGGTACTAAACGCTTTTCAATAGCGCGCTTTGTTCAAGCGTTTTGGAAATTTTCCGTTTGAGAAGTCACCACATCGAATCAGGCCAGGCTAAGCTTGATAGATCGATCGGTTGTTTGTTTGTGCTTTATCGCGTTGAAAGCTTTTGTGAGTCATAATAAAACATTTATTATGAATCATAAAAGCTTATAATCGTCAGACAAGGAGAATTTGCGAGATAAAACGCCTAACTTTTTTTCGGTGAGGCAGCTGCGATCAAACGACTCGATATTTTTATAACTTCCTGACGTTGTGAGATGTCCACTCTCCTATGTTATGTAGCATATAAAATGACCATCAAAATAAGACCTTATCATACTAGCTTTTGTTATTGGTTAGCGCGCAACGCCAAGGTTTATGGAATCATTTTCTTGTTGTGCGACGTTTTTATATCGCAGCGGGAAGTACACGCGTGATATGTAAGCGAAATTTTATCACTTCTAAATGTCATATAAGGTTCATTCTCATATCGTTGTGTGGGGAATAAGATTTCCTTTCAAGCAAGACCATAACAAACATTCCAGACCTCATGGTATACACACAGCATTGCAAAACGTCTGAAACGTCGCGCATGCGTCAAACCGGGAGGATTAGGTTAAAATACAATATTTTTGACAGTGGATCAGACAAGTACTGATGGTTTACATAAGCAAAAATTTTAAATCTTAGAGTTAAGAGTCAAGGTTTCGTTCAGCCTGGACAGATAATTTTTGTCAACATGGTATTGGGAGCCGAAGTTGTTTTTGGGGCAGCTTGTAGCCAGTGGCGCAGCCAGGGGGGGGGGGGATTGGGGGTCGAAACCCCTCACGTGCAATTGCCTTCTGCTAAAATCGCCGTTCGTTTTCATCAACGCGGCGTGTTATTTATGCCGTGAACGCCCTTCACATTGGTGTTTATTCTCTTTAAATCACAAATTTGTGCCGCGGGAACAATGATAATTATTTTATTTTTGTACTCGCACGGAAATGTGAAAACTGAAAAAGCGTGCAATTGCCTTCTGCTAAAATCGCCCATGTTTTCATCAGCGTGTTATTTAGGCCCGCCCTTACGTCGGTTTTTATTCTTTCTAAATCATAAATTTGTGCCACGATAAACATGATTATTATTTTATTTTTGTACTTTGCACGGAATTGTGAATTCGCGAGTTATAGTACGTTCATTGGTGGCGAGGTTCTAAAGACAAAAGAAGGAGTAAAATGGTCAAGGTTATGGTAAAATGGAAGCGATCTAAATTTGATTGAAAAGCGACATTATAAAATACTGAAAATAAAACCGTAAACAATATAAGTTTTGTTGAGTCCCGCGACAGTCTGAAAACGTTTTTCTAGTCGCTAAATCGCAAAAATTCGTGTGCCTACGGCGCACATTATGTTTGGTCGCCGTTTAGGAACATACCGTCACTAAAATCGAAACACGGTTAATTGTGGGTTGGATTTGCCTTTTATCCATTACTTTAAAATTGTCGTAGAAAATTTTCGTGTTATCATTAAACAAGGTTGAAAACGCGATTTTTTTCCCGGTTTGTGATGATATATAAGATAATTAATCCGAAGTATATCCATCAATTTTTATTGTACTGAAATAAATTTTACTCCCTGAGAATTTACAGCAGATTCACGGATTCTTCAGATAGTTTTATCTTTAAAAATAAGCGGAGTGTCAGCATTGCGATTGAACGGAGTCAATGTTACAAGCACATCTCAAATTTGTGAAATTTGCAAAATAGAAAAAATACGGATCAAAACAATATATGATAGGCGACGGGCAGTTACCACAAATATTTATTTAATGTCGGCAAATGGCCGAGGTGTTTTAAAATTGTGAATTGTAAAAAATTGGTTTGTTTTGTCGACGCAAACGCTGGTTAAATTGAAGACAATTAAATTATTAGAGCAAGACATTTTAAATATGCCCTTATCGGTCACGAATTGATTACTTTGCACAACAGAAATATCATTTTTCGTTGTAAACGTCGGCTTTTTTAACAAGTGGCGTAACCGCGGCGATGAATATGTATTTTTGATTTAACGATATACTTCATATGCATTTTCATTGTACGAAGTAAAATTGTACTTTTCGGGATTTTATATCAGTTATTGAGATTTTTCTAACGGCGATAACGAGTTGGCAAGATTCCAAAAATACGTATTAAAATTAAATACTCCGTTTATCTCATATTTTTATGTCCTCCGATCGCCGTGGCATTTCAGAGAACTAATGTTTTAATTTTGACGTAACAAGAAGCAACCGCGAGTTACGTTGGACACAATTAAATTAATATTTAAAGACATTTTAGAATTTTGTAGTTGTCAGGGATTGAATATTTCAAGCGACAAGAATAATCATTATACGCTGAAAAGACGTCCCTTTAACGAGCGCGTAATGCGAAGACTGTTACAGACCGCAAATGGGAATTTATGGGAAATGGGAACCCCCCCCTATATAAATATAAAAAACTATAAATATATATAACAAACTAAACGATGCAAATTGATTAACATTCTGTTGTGTGGGCTGGTCTGCAATATTAAGGAAGGCTACCTAAGCTCCTTGCCTGAATGTCTACTTATTTATAACTATTCAGGTTAGTTATATGAATACGGTGTAGATAAAATGAGTTAATAAAGGAATGCACAATCAAACCTTGTTGTTTTCAGTATTATGAACATCAGAATATACTTGTAGAGGTTGAGTACGATGGTTAATACCTTGTAGCAAATTTCTCCTTTCCTCTATTGTTTCTGCACCCTTCAATCTGAATTTTCAATATAATTTGAAACAACAAACAACCATATCGAACAAATCTAAAGCTTATGATCTGCTTGATTTTGAAAAGAGTGTTACAATAAATGCTTCAGAACAAACTTACTGAACATAATCCTATACATTTCACGGTACTCATGTAGTGTGATTTTCCTTATTTTAGTTCTATTACGAGTTCAGGGACTGTCTGTGTTAGCCAAGTGAATATATCCCCTGCCCATACGTTTCAGTCCCTTTACACAATGTAATGTACACAATGATGTAAAGTAGGTGAACAAAATTAGTTACCTCCATATTGGTACACACACTTCTGAAGAGCCCATTTCATGGGCTTGGTCAAAAAAATAAATTATTTCATGGAAATATGCAAATTGAGGATGAAATCAGTAGCATGTAGTGTAAGAATGTTATAGATCCCATGTTTGAACCCTATCCTATCTTCTCATATATCGTGAATCAAATCGATTAGATTACTCATGGCCAGCCGTTAATAAGATCAGATCCTTGCATCGAATTAGACAAAGTTTGTTTTTATAATTCCACATATATTGTAATTTAAGCACACAAGTTGGTAAGAAGAGTAGTTAAAATAAACCTACTTTGTGTTGACATTTTCATCTGTATATATTGAAAATGGTGCTCTGTTAATTTCAGAAGGAGGAAGGAAGCCTTGAGAAAGTTGTTGTGTTTCGTTCAAAATAGGTCTAAATCCATAGGTTTGGTTTTCATCTGATGCAACATCTCTATACGGTCTAAGGCCTTCTGGAACAACTACAGAATCACTGACACAATCATCATTTTCAAGAGGTTTCTGAAACCAAGTATCGAGCTGGCCTGAAAAAGTATGAAACTTTTAAAAACGCAATACAATGTATGAATTAAATGAATACTCTCACATGCACAAATATAAATTAAGAATTGGTTCACTTGATTTTTCGCATTCAGTAATATCAAATAACACTTGAGTGCTTGTTAACAATTTTTACTGAATTTATACCACACACGGCATAGTTTGGTGATGTAATGTAAATTTAGGCCATTATTTTTTAAACTAGGAGAAACTTTTTGAGAACTAGGAGAAACTCACTGATTTGCGAAATCACCAAATTCACACAAAATACAAAGGTTTTTGTCATAATAACATCCGTTTTATCGCAACCATGGCACATGGCATCCAACAGAATTTTTAGATACATAAAGTTATCTACCTATTTACGATAAATCGGACACATACCAGCGCACGCCGACTTCTATGTTGTAAGTATCACATGCAACTTTTTCTCTTTGCGTCTGATATGCGATGGTATAATATTGATCTAAGAATATTTGTGACTTGGAACTATTATTGAATAAGAAAAAAGAATAATCAACTCAACTTACTCATTGCTTCTTTCGTATACAACGTAGGAGACGGCTGAGAACGTTTTGATTGGTTCAATGAACTGTTGGCAGATACAGTCGTTTTTGACATCACAGGATATTGTTGCACAACTAATGTTTCAGACATGAACAAAAGGATTCAGTTTTATTCAATCTCACTTGCAGTTTGAGAAAGTAGATTACAACTTTCTCTTACAAACTTAAAAAATTTGAAAGCATGAAGTGTGATTTAAAATACAACATGAAATTTACTTCAAATGTTTCTCCAATATAAGATAAGAGGAAAGCTTTTCATACTGCCAAGGGTTAGCACATCATGCTAAGCGTTAGAAATATACTTGAAATCACCTTTAGATTACACTGCATAAAATTACGAGTTCAAATTTTGTGAGTATTTATATTTGAGGTTATTGCTGGACATATAACTAGTGATGTGATAGTTTTAAGAATGGGTTCTCTTTGTAGCAAACTCATTAACAACAGATTCCCAAATTTCAGAAAAGTATACCGAAGATCTATAACAATGCAAGAACTTAACATAAGATTACATGATAAGAATAACTCAAACATATTTTCTAATGTATGTCACTGTACAAACTACTTTAACTTTCGAAACGCGAAGCATAATGATAGTTTTCAGCTGCGTTATCCATTTTTAATGTCTAAAACAAAAAAGAGAAAAGGTTCGCACAAACTCTGTGAATCCCATCACTGTGCGTGGTCAATTATAAATTCTTCCCGCATCCTAGTCGATCAACTAACACAGTACTAGACTGGACTGACAACTAGATGAAACGCGGTTTTACACAATATCGTTGAGCAATTTTGACGAATATGAAAATCCTAAATCTTATTTATTACCACAAGATTGTGTATTACCATCTAGGGTGGAGAAACGATATCCGAAAAACATTCGTATTCTCTATAAACAGGGCATCTACATAATGCTGGTTTGGGTACTGCAAAGCTAAATATACCTTGATCCGGTTGATTTTCTTCTTGTAATGATTCATCGTAAATCACAAAACCCGACTGGGGAGCAGTATTTGTAGCTGGAATATAAATAAATGTTGAGCAGATTGAAAAATAAAAAGTAAATAACAGAATTTATTCCAACTTATAGAAGCTCCTCACACATTAGTGGCCGTTTGTTCAGATCCTCGTCTAGAGTGAAAATGGTATAATACGCTAAAAAAAATTGATATCATTAGAAAAACTAAAAATGATTGTCTCACCACGAAAATCAGCTTCATCATTTCTATGTTCCTCTTGCGCCTTAAAATAAGAAATTGCTGATTTAATAAGTAATAGAAATGATGTTTTATCTAGTTTAATTTTAGATGTAATTACATTACCATGTTTGCCCTCTTGATATCTCGTTTGACAGTATTAAGTTGTACTGTTATATCTTCTTCTTCTCGTAATAAAGCTTCCTCATCTTCAACAGCAGTTGTAGATTTCTGAAAAAATAACATTTGTCAAACAATAGTGAAAATAGAAATACGTCAAGTGCAGTGGCCTAGTAGTTAAAGCATTCAAAGTAACTTGGAGGGCTTAGGTTCCAATGCCATGCCCACTACGTCGCCCGGAGTGTGATAAAATTGGTTAGAAATGTTTAATTAGAAAGATTCCGGTTCTTCCAATTTATCGTTTCTTATTACATGCACTGACTGCTTATATGAAGCCTTGTTCCGAGTATAAATTGTTTGAAAATGTCATAAGAAATATTAAAAACCATCATAGTTCTATGAAAAGTAAGAACGATAGTGTTTTATAATAGGTGAATCAGTTGTTTTCATTTGGATAATCATGACATTACATCAAATTCATATAACTTGAATAAATACAGATCTTAATATCAGTGATGTCTTTTAACATGAATACAACTAATGGTCCTCGAATAGGTCATACTTCAGCTATACTTTTTAACAGGTAGGTAGGTGGGGATTTTGCCAGACAATGGATTGATTTGAAATGTTTGAAATAAACAAACTGGTTTTTAAATGAAAATAATTATGATTATAGACTTTTTTATTTTAGAAAATTCCATAATGTTATCATTTACTATGTCAATGAGAAAACAGTGATGAACAAAAAAAAATTCATCTCGCCTTTGTCTTGAAAAGTTGAGAGTTATAAATTGATCAAAAGATAAAAATGGGTATGCAACTTAGCTACCATAATATCATGATCTTTAGTATAATCTTGTATTATTCGCTTTGCTAGCTTGAAAAAAGATGCTCACAAATTAGAGGTCTGTATAAATTACTTACAGCAAGCATTCTTAGTCTTTTACTTTCGATGAGTTTTCTTTCTAATCTAATTTTTTCTCTTTCCAATTTAATGATTTTCATTCTCTCTTCATCGAGCAATCTTTTTTCTTCGTCGAGTAATCTCCTTTCTTCCTCAAATCTTCGTTCCTGCTCTAACATCATTCTTTCTCCTGAAGAAAATTTTGAAGAAAAACACAAGTTTTAGTGCAATGATAGCAATACGAAGCAGATCGTCAAATCAGAACAAATTAGAATACGTCGAGAGCCAAAGTTAAAATTTTCTGCAAACAGGAAGTCACTTTTCGAATGGAAAGACCTGAGTGAACTAAAATGTAATCATCCTTAGTTTAGAATCCTAAAATATAACACAGATGCAAGGAATATAAATAATTGTAAATGTTGTCACTTGTTAGTCCACCGATTATCTTACTATTAATAAAAAGTTCAAAAGAAAAAATCACTTTCTAATCTTTGTTCTTCGAGCATCCTCTGGCCTTTTTCCAACTCCTTTTGTGCCTGTATTCTCTTCCTTCTTCTCCAATGTGCAGCACGTACTTCTTCAAATTGCATTTCCCCCATTGCAGTATACACCTTATCAACATCATAACCAGATACCTGATTTAATCGAATAATGTTATAAAATATTCATCAAGTGCCAAATAAATGGTTTGGGTACATACTTTTTTTTGAAGTAATGATACCAATTTGACGAAGTACTTTCATTTTGGAATATTTAGAATCGAGAAGGACAAGATTTGAAAAAAGGCTTATTTATTAACTTATGGTAACTGAAAAAAATAAAAAATAGAGATAGCATCTGTGTCAACTTTTTAATGGCCTAGTGGTAATAGACCAAGGGTGGGCAAGGTTTTTTGGCCCCTTTGCCGACCTAGAATGGCGGGCCATGTAAGTGTGACATAAAAAGTAACATTTCTTGAACAGCATTTTATTTTATTTACAATATTTACAGTGTTTCAAAAGAAAAAACAGGAAAACAATAGGCCTCGTGCTAAAACAAAATTTAATCGCAATCTAGACAAATTCCTTCAAAGTTTGGTTGTGGCAACATCACACTGGCCAGATTGAAATACCCAATGGGCCGGATTTGGCCGCGGGCCAAAGTTTGCCAGTGTCAGTGATAGATCGTCTATCTTGGAGTAGCAGGCTAAAGATCTCATATCCCATGTCAACTATCACATCCGAGGCGTAAAACAATGGATAGGCATCACCAAAAACCGGAATGATTCCAGTCTTTTTAAAAGTAGTAACACAGTATGCATCAGAGCAATATTTGATGTAAAGATAATATAAATATAAATCTATTCAATCCATACAAACATAAGTTAATTAATGATGTTGAGCATGATCCAATTTGAAATTTATTCTGTATTGCATATTTATTTCGGAATAGAAAAAGGTGAGTTTTGGTCATCCCTGCATGTAACTTTTAAGACCTTTATTAGGCAAAACATTTGACTAGCAGTCAATTCATATTGCATCAGTGTGCAGCAAGACCCTTAATTAATAAAAAATGGTCATCTTTATTTTTGCTACCGCATCTTGCATTATAAACATAAAGATCATTTAACACAGGGGTCTCAAACTCAATTTACCTAGGGACCATCGGAGGACTGGGTGAGTCTGGGCCGCATCAGGTTTTTCACAATAAAAGCTTAGTTGGAAAAATTCAAATCTACTCGATTTTCTTTATTTTATTTAAAGACAAAACAAGTTGAAAACATAAATGAATAAATTGAGACAAAAAAAAAATAACTGAAGATATGAATAATTAGTGATTATCATATCAAAATCCGAGAACTTATAACTTATATTAAATTTATTAATCATGCGAACTGAGCTAAATGACACACTAACATCAAACTTTCATACTTTGGCGGGGGCCACAAACTATCTTGCGGGCCGCAAGTTTGAGACCCCTGATAGCACAAAGGCATAGGCATACCATAGGTAGTTAGTCATGAGTATACCTAATTGATAGTACACTAAAAACATGTAATCTTGGATACTTCTAAATTATATAGTAATGGACAATCCTAGAATATCCATTTATTATTATTTTATGTCATTAACACATTGGGTTGCCCGAAAAAAAAAAACAGAACCCAGGTCATTTGGAACATATTTTAGAAAGAACAAAACTTTTGTGCAAAGAGTCCTAGATTACTGACATTTTCGTATAAGTCTTTAAGAAATGTATGGGTTCCATCATTTTTGTGTCACCCTGTATATAAATACTTACAATATTGGCCTCGTGTATGGGTTTGGCATTAAAAATACTTTCAAATTCTGATACTGAAATTTTAGATTCTTTCTTAGTTGATAAAATAGATTCAATGTTGGATGCAACTTTGTGAGGAGCATGATGAGCTGAAATGAGAAGGATATTGCATGGGAAATACTTTGAACAATTTAAATTGAATGTACGGGTATATGTAAGTTATTTATGATGGTTATTTTCTGCAGTAAAAAACTATTATGGATGATATTTTATTCTCTAACAATAGTGGAAAATACAAAAAATATTGTCAATCAAGAACTAGTACAATTAACCAATTACCCGAGAAATTAAGCGTTGGATTATTTCTAAATTTATACCAATGATGAGTCAAATTAGTTTACATTGTGTACAGAATTCATTATTAGAATCATTTAATAAGTCTGCAAACCGTTTTGATAAACAATTATTTACAAATGAAATAAATCCTATCAATAGCTGCTTTCGAATTTTAATGAAAGCTCAGTCTTGCTCTGAGCAAACTTGAAACTATGTTATACATTCACTATCTCCATAATATAAAAGATCAGTTGAGCTGAAATTTAAAATGGAATTTAAAATTCTTACCATCTCAGAAGCAGAACCTTTACGTAATAATAAAACTTATTCTCACCAGAAACGGAATCTTCTTCGGTAAAAATAGTGAAATTGTTTGATACTGGTGGCCGGTGAACTTGTGGAACTGCTGAAGAATGAGTATGAGGTTGTTTGATCTAGGAAAATAGGCAAAAGTCGCTTTACTTTCTGTTAAACTTAAATCACAGATGCGCATACATAGGGTAAGTTGTGAGATTCGCAATCTCTAAAGCTTTTGTTCATTTTGAAAATAAAACTAGTATTGAAATCGTCTGCGTCATATGTCGCTGGCAATTTGAGAAATTTTTTATAACTTTTACATAACGATTTCATTCCTTTCACTCCTGACAAGACCCTATATAATAAGCGGTACAGATGTGCAAAGGAAACTCAGGCAGAGATGAGAAAGAAGAGTTGACCTTTTCCCTTTATTCTTGAGGCCTACATGTCTACAAACTTAAAAAAGCATAAAGTACACAATAACAAACATAAAACTGAGTTCTATTTAAAGGCGGCAAATGGCGTTTTTTTTTGTGTAAGTGAGCCGTAAGTTTTTTACTGATAATATGGCGCCACACGAACAAAAGGTTTGGTAACCGCTGGCCTAGCTAATTTATTACACATCGAGTGAGGTGTTGATCTTCAACTTTTAACCGAAGATTTTTGACCTGTGATACAAATTATTTAAGTCCAGTACTATACTCACCAGGTCAGGGTTTCCCAAACTTGTTTAGCCGTGGACCACTATTTATGAATCTTAGTTTTGACGGACCCCCATTCTATGCCATATCAATTTCTGTGACTAACCAACGTGGATAGATAATGTTTCATTTACAACACAAACGTCATTAACCTGTTCTGAGCGACAGGGTGCATTAGCGCAATTTCAGACGCTGTGTGTAAACCATGAGGTCTGGAATGTTTGTTATGGTCTTGTTTGGAAGAATAGCTCATTTCCTACCCAGCAATATAAGAATGAACGTTATATGACATTTGGAAGTAATAAAATATCGCTTACATTTCACGAGTGTACTTCCCGCTGCGATAGAAAAACGTCGCACAGCAAGAAAATAATTCAATAAACCTTGGCGTTGCGCGCTAACCAATAACAAAAGCTAGTATGATAAGGTCTTATTTTGAAGGTCCTTTTATATGCTACATAACATAGGAGAGTGGACATCTCACAACGTCAGGAAGGTATAAAAATATCGAGTCGTTTGATCGCAGCTGCCTCACCGAAAAAAAGTTAGTTCACATAGGCGTTTTATCTCGCAAATTCTCCTTGTCTCACGATTATAAGCTTTTATGATTCATAATAAATGTTTTATTATGACTCACAAAAGCTTTCAACGCGATAAAGCACAAACAAACAACCGATCGATCTATCAAGCCTAGCCTGGCCTGATTCGATGTGGTGACTTCTCAAACGGAAAATTTTCAAAACGCTTCAACGACACGAGCTAACGAAAAGCGTTTAGTATCATATGAAAGAGAAAACCAATGTGCAGTCAACTGTATAGTCACATTTGCGCTTTTCAATAGCTATACACGTCCAACAGATGATAGAATGAGAGAGTGTAAATATTTTTGTTATTTTTTGACGTTACGAGAGACCTCTTGAAAGAGGTGTTTTAGTTTACGGTCCTCCAGTGACATCTAGCGTATAGTACTCTAAAAGACCTTTCCAATGGTATATAATTATTGTATATTGGGTAAATTTTGGGGGTCGTATGACATTAATAAAAATGTATTCAAAATTGGGCTCGATTGGGCGTCTGAATCAGGTTAATAATGTGATGAATGAGGTTGCTTTTTGCTGTACAATTTATTATTTCTCGGAGAAATTAGTGACAAGAAACTCATAGATCCGACTCTACGGCAAGTCTCAACTTGTATTTTGTCATCATATTGGTAAAAGCTGAAGATGCTTCCTCACACATGTGGGTCGATGCAAAAGGTAAAAAAATTTTAATTGACTTTTCTGACAGTAATAGATATTTGTCCGCAACGATCAAGCAAAAAATGGAAATCATTCCTTACAGATCGATTAGACTCTTTTCATATCGTTGCGAACCCCCTCTGCAGTAATCACGAACCCAGTTTGGAAAATTCTGCACTAGGCCATAGCGCCCACAGTACAAGAATTGAGTTTCATACGACCATTAAAAATGATTCAATAGATTTCTCTCACCTTGACACCTTTCCACTGTCCAGGGTTGACAGTATTTTCTTTTGTGGCAGTAGAGCTGGGTGCTGATGTCCATTTTCCAGTTTCTCCCATCACAGATATTCCGTCAGATGGAACATCTTCAAATATTTCAAACTTTCCTCCAGACTGAGGGACGAAATTCTGTGATGAAGTGCCCCATTTCAAGCTTTTATTTTGAATAGCTGGAAAAATGATAAAACGAAGAAAATTATATAAAACATTCAAAATCAGTTAGAAGTTAAAAACATCTGGAAACAATACAATCTTCCCCTTTTTTCCGAATTTTGAATTAATGAAGAAATTTTGGATAACAGAATGCCGGCATAATACTGAGTATATTCTAATGATTTCACTGCAGCAAACTTTAAGTTTTTTCATATAAGACAAAGATTAATTTTTACAGAAAGATGGGCACTCCAGAAGTGTGTGTACCGATAGGGAGGTAACTAATTTTGTTCGCCTACTTTATATCAAGTTGTGTGAAGGGATTGAAACCTATGGCCAGGGGTATAATCACTTTTCTGACACACACAGTCCCCGAACTCGTAATAGAACTAAAATAAGGAAAATCGGAATAAAATTATGGCCTAACCCTAACCTGTTATACACACTACGGAAGTAACGAAAGATGAATAAATGTTCATTTTCAACAACAATGGTCAGATATCCAATAACCAATCTGTTTTGACATTCAAAAAAATTTCATGATTCATTCACATTTTGACTATTGTAAATTTGTAATATATTGAAAAACTAAACTAATATGAGCATTTGAGTAAAATAGGAATGTTAATAAAGAACGATAATATATGAAGAAAATAAGAGAATATTCAGGACTTTTAACCGTTTCCGTGCGGTGGGCACGTATACGTACCCACGACAAAAGTCGCTAGATTGCGACGGGTACGTTGATGTACTCCACTGTTTTATTTAGCAATCGGTCGCAAACTGTTGGTCTAGTTTTTCCGGGTTTTAGTTTATTGATAAGAAGTCTTCTTCGAGATTAACATAAGCGACGGTAAATCTCGCTTTTGTTTACGAGGGAATTTTATTTGCGGCGAAACGAGGGACTGTTTTTGAAATTTAGGCAAATTTCGGTGTTTTTTGGATGGTAATAGAAGACATATTATCCCTTCCATCTACCAAAGTATTTTGAGTTGGATCACGAAATTGCTACAGCAATATTATGCTATTGTTTGCCAACCACGAAGCGGTAACAGTAAAGGATTTAGCGAATATTTCTATTTTTTATCACGGTTTGAAGTTTCAACTCCCAAGAAAAAAAATGCCTTTTTTCTATCCGGTTTGTGACTCAGACCACCACTTTTAAAAAAACTTTTTTTTTTTAATCGCCAATTCCAAGCTTTTTAAATAAGCTTTCCAACGAGCCGTCGGTGGGCAGCAGAGGATCATTAGTTTTTCGTTAGTCGATCGATTAGTTGTGGGGGTACAAATGCATAAAATCGGCGTAGCAAATACGATTATTTAATAAAAAATAAAAATCGCATGGAAAGGGTTAAGAACAGCTACATATAGTCTAAAAAGTTCATAAATAAACGATCGTCTCCAAAATCCAATCATTTGCATATAATAAAAAGTAATATGATATAAACATACCATGCAGAGCTCTACCCGTTCTTTGTGTGCCAACAGTTTGATGCTTTCCCCTGCCTTTCAAATGCCCAAGAGTGGTCCGTTGTTGAGTTCTGTATCAAATTATAATATTGAATTAAACTTTTGCAAAATACTCCTGTAGTATGTGAACCTAGGTGGTGGAAATCGGAACGTAGTATGTGTACAAGCCAAGGTTTACAATTTCAAATTTCATTTTCAGGATTTTTTTAAACATCTTAATAAACCTCATGCTACTGACTCTAAGTCATTATCGTTATCATCATCCTCGTCATATTCATTATTCTGTCCATTCAACATTCCTCTTGCAACTCGTAACTGAAATTCCCTGAAGCAATAAAAAAAAGATATGAATAATAGAATGGAAAAAGACAATAAATATTGAGTTTATATCATGTAACGATTTCACTTTATACAACAGTCAACAATACTACAAAAATAACTATAAGAATCATATAAATCAGGGGTGTGCAAGATTTATGTCAGTGCCATATAGCCAACTTCAGACATCTTGCTGGGGTCACACAAAGAATTTAGTTCCTCCATGTATACAACGAATCAATAAATTTTCACAGTGCAAAATTTTATTCATTTAACGTGGGAAACTTGAAATTTCGAGTTTAGTTTGTTAACATCAGCTTTGACAGAAGTTGTAGCAATTAGCAACCCTTGTTGTCTGACAGATCAAATGTTCATTAGCCAGTTGACTTCTACATCTGCTTTTTGTGAGCTTCATTTTGTAGAAAAATTGGAAGAGCAAAAAACATTATGTACTTTTACCCATGTGAGCGCCAGTTTAAACATAAACTGTCAGATTAGAATTTTATGCTTGAGGGGGAAAAATCAAGTGTTGTCAAGGGCCACACTAATGACTCAGCAGGCCAGATAATGGCCCGTTGCACACCCCCGATAGGAGGGGTCAAGAGACGAATATCACAGAAAAAGTTAATTTAAATATTTCAAATATCCATTTTTTCAAACATTTATTACAGCTTACAACAAAATGTTTGTGATATATTGTAATTTTTTTTTAAATAAGACATGGATATATTGGACATATATTGAATCAAATCTGAAAAAAATTTGGTAAAGCAAAGAATTTACAACACTAGGAGATTCATCAAGTGGAAAAATACTACAGAACTACCATAGGTACACAAGAAAAAGTAAAAATAAAAATATAGAAGGTAAGGTGCAAATCAAACATTTTCTTTGCAAATCATACAAGCTTATTTTAATACCGAATCAAAATGATCTTAACTAAATGATAGGTTTGAGCCCTAAAATAAAACGTTTGAGCCCCAAAATGATAAGTTTGGGCCCCAAATAATAAGTTCGCGTCCCAAAATGATAAGTTTGAGCCCCAAAATGATAACAATGAGTCCCAAAATAAACTGCAGTGTGAAGATATGACGGTACTCTTGTAGTATGCAAATCAAGATGGCGGACACCAGAACGTAGTATGTGTACCAGGTTGGGTTAGGCCATGACTTTATTCCAATTTTTCTTATTTTTTTGCTCTATTACGAGTAGTTCACTGGTAGTTGACTCCTGTAGTATTTTGTACCTGAAATTATGGCCTAACCCTAACCTGGTATACATACTACAATCTGGTGTCTGCCATCGCGGTTCGCATACTATGTGAGTACCGATGAAATATAACTATAATAACTATAAACATTACATATGTTTCCTTTGCATAAGATCTCTAGGTTGTGCACATTTTTCATCTCCATCATTGTAAATTCTATCAGCCCTTCTGATATCACCATGTTTTTCATATTCCTCAGCCCAAGCAATGTAAAAGTCAGCACATTCTGATCCAATACCTTCTGTATTCATGTAACTATATGTCTCTATAGGATCCTTCATAATTTCAGCAATCTTTATCCAGGCATTGACATATCGAATATCATTCCTGCATAGAAATATTTAAAAATATTTTATGAATTCATGTGTCGAAGGAACTTTATAACAAAGATAAAAAACGAGCATATCGGTTGGAAACCGAATCTTATCGATCGATAGTTAGGGGATCCCCCAAAACAGAAACTGCAGTTTCGATTCATCCGCTCTTGTAATTGTAACTTGCGCACTGCGCATCGCACACCCACACTCGGCGGGTCTCAAAATTCTCCCGCTTTACAAGAATCTAGATCACTATATCAATAATTGATTGATAACTCGCTAATTATATGACATAATTCGCCCAAAATCAATAGGCTTCTGGTCCGAGATAAGATGAATGCACATGCAAAATCTGGAGCAGATTCAATCTCGCTTTCGTGAGATATCGCGTGCATCTAACAGACAAACATACAGACAAATACCTATCAACATACTTACCGATTTAAATCGATAAGTAACAATTCAAGCAGAAAGCCAGGTATACAATTTTTTTGATGAGATGTTTACTATCCCATTTTTCACATCTTCTGTGAGAAGATGGTCAATAGAGAAGACTGTGGGTCATTACCTATTTTATTTGAGAAAATCAGTTTTGAAAAAATAAATAAATAATCCTTTTGTGGTGATGTCATTGTCATTGTTGGATTAAATTTATTACCGTGTAAAATATGTAGTACCATCCATATATATATTTGATTTTGCAGAAAAACTAATCTTTTACATTAAAAAAAAAGATATAATACTTGTTCTAATTCCTATAGCCTCAACTAGCATAAAAACCGATTGTATTTGATATGGCAAGAAAACAAATAAAAAGCCATACTTATATTTTTCAGATTTAAACTGTGCAATCATTTTCTTCAGCAGATTGAGAAGAGTGTGATCATTACCTCCAGACGGGAAATATTGTATAGTCCATTTCAAATATCTAGAATTAAAATATTAAAATAACAATTATCCTAGCAGATATTTTTTTAACCAGTGAGGATGGAAAATGAGATATTACCAATATATTAGTGAACAATATAAGATATAAATACAATTATCATACTGATCTAAGAAGAAATGAAAGCCTACAAGACTCTCATCAGCCTACTAGTCTGTTTAAAGCAAGGAAATATGGACCATTTGCAAAATCATAGGTGGTCAATCATCTTTTTCATTTTGGAAAACTAAGAGATGCTGTAACTTGTTAGATGCCCACAGTAACTTTGGTCAGCAGTTATATGAACCTCCCATGTTTACTAATGAGCTAGTAATTTCTTAAAAATCATTTTCAACCAAAAATATTTATCTAATATCAACTCTCGCAGTCAACGGCCCGTTGCTGGGCATGCCAATTAGGATTACACTTTATGCTTAGTCATATAAATCATCATTATTTTGCTGTGATGTGTACTTATTGAATCATATCATAATCACAGATGTGCTAGTCATTGTCACATTTCCATAGATCATTTCTGTTTTTGATTGTGTTTAATTATTAATTAAGTAAATATATAATATTGAGTTGTTCTGTCGCTATATTTTTTGCTTTAATTCAGCTACAAGGTGTCGCTGACTAGATGACTCATTGAGTCTTTCGCAATCCCTTGCCAGGTGCAATATTTATTTCTTGTTTCATATCGCATTTAGTTTTTCATGACAAAAATAAATATCTGAATGTGATATTATATGGAGCGGCAATATATTCACAGGTAATCCTTTTATCGCGATTAAGAACCTGAATCATTGAATTACCTATCCCAAGGTTCAATTGGATCATCTTCTTTGGTCCCAGCAATAATTTCTTCCTCAAACAGTTGTTTTTCCTTCAGAATACGTTCCATGTCTTGTTTTGAAGGCTGGTGAAATTAAATATTACATAGGCCAGTTAGGTAGTTTGTCACAATAAAGACTACTAAACTGGAAATTTTTTCAATAAAGTGTAACGATAAAAAGTAAAAAAAGCATGAGCATTGAGTACATATCAGTAAGGCACAGTTCTGCGATTTCAAGTTGACCCGACTATTGGTTCAATTAAACAAACACTCCATTCGCCTCAGAATCGAGGGCGTCTGGCAAGACAGCAGATTACCCTATACTTGTCTAGATAATAATTTAAGTCATTCACGGCATGAGGCGGCTGTCAAATAACCAAAATTGTGAATGCCAGAGTTCTTTTTTTTCCTTCAGTAAATTGGACGATTTTTCCCCTAAGAACTCATTGGTGACTTTCTCAGATTGTGCTTCCATTTAGTTTGCCTTTTGCGCAGCGCTGGGATACCAATTTATGTCGATATGGAAGCCCTAACTATCTCGTGATCGAGGGGCTTGCACTCACTGTTATATTTGATATCTTTTGATGTGGGACATTTCTTGGAATCTGAGAACTGTTAGGTTAAAATACGTTAAGTCTGTAAGTTCAATACATTCGCGTATTTTTATGTGTTTATTTCCAAGCCTCATTTAAATAGGTTTGTGTTTGTTGTGATTTTTTTGTTAGTCTATGCTCATACAGTCATAAGCGAGCACATCATATTTCTCACGTTTTAAACTTTTTAAAGGTTTTCATCGCTCTCCAGAATTCTCCGTTTTTAATTTATATATATCACAAATTCACAGTACAGCAGTATCATGGAGATTTTAAAATAAACTAGATTCAGATTCCAAGTCTGCAGGTAATAAAACTAACACTGTACAGTATAGCTGTAACATACGGTACCGCAGTACCGTAACAGCAATACCAGTAATACATAGTCTATTTCAGTACTGCAGTATTTGTAGAAAATATCCTACTACTGTAGGCTACCTACCGGTACTAACATCCAGACATGTATAAAATAGATATAGAATCACTACCGTACCTGCAAAACAGCAGAGATACAGCCAACATTTCTTCCAGATTTTACGGGTTTCACATTTTCTTTGCTGAGCTCCCAAGTTGTACCTGGTTTATCTTCTGAAGAAGCCGCCATAACCAGTAATACTAAAACAGTACCGGTACGTACTCTTAAAAACTGTGTATTCAAATAGATAAAGTTATACCGTAACTTCTGTAGTCATACCGGTCTGCCGGTACAAACCAAAGTGACTATAGTTTATAGTCACTTTGGTACAAACTAAGATGATTACAAAAAGCAGACAGCTGAGCGAAAACAATCGATGTCTGATTTGAAATTCCCGCGCGGTCAAAACGCTAACAAAAACCTATCTCGGTGATTCTTTCACTCAGCATTAGGGTTAGTTCGGATACCTATAATTTTCACTATCCGGATAACGGATATATCCGGGTATTCCGTATTTTAAATATACGGTTAACCGGATAGTTACTGCTGATTTTAGAGAACCGATTTCGCAGGATTTTCGCGGTGAATTGAACGAATAACACCACACAGTTCTGTTGTAAATACTCACATATGTATTATTTTTCTTGAATATGAATTATTGTGCATTTTAATATTGCATGTGTCAATAAATAATAATTTAAGCTCAGTAGTCGTACCGATGTACAGCGGAATAATAAAATGAAACATTTTTTGAAAATATTGTGTCCTAATTTTTTTTCCCCCAACTGCTAAGTTATTTTCCCTATTCAAATAATATGTAAAGATTTATATTATTTCTACTTTATTGTAAAGTTTTTTAAAAGTTTATTTTTGTGTCTAGAGCCTCTTTTCTTTAAATTTCGACTCGTACTAAATTTTAGTGTCGCAGACTCACAATGATCATTTCTGATCATCCGCACCTTCCTATCAATTGCAATGAAATTTAATATTGTCATGTATAGTCTTTTGTTTTCTATAATATTTGGTGATTTCTTGCACGACGAAATAAACTTTGTTAATATATACCACAAGAGCATACATATAAATGAAATCATGAACACAAAAAATCGTGCATTTCGAACATTTTATTTCGGTGAGAGAAGTATCCAAAAAATAGAATATAGGGGGAACAAATTCCGTGAAGTGTATAGGTAAATATAAGTCATTTGAACAAAAATTTTAATAACAAAGCAAATTGATGATTATGAAAAAACCGAAGTGGTCAGAAATTTCTTCTAATTTGAAAACTTCACTTATTTAACATGTCACTGTAAATATTCTCACGTTTGTACTAATTAGGCCACAACTTTAAATCTATTTCCATTCGAATACCTTTTAAACTAAATTAACAGAGCCAAAACAATGCTGCGCCAGTTTTCGAACAACTTTACTTACCACCCTAAATGAGTAAACGAAAAACATGACACGATACAGAGTCTGTCACATTAAACTTTTCTGAAATATTATAGACCATTTTGCAAACAAATTTGTTTGTGAAAGTTCCATGAAAACCATAAATGTAATAACAGCCTTTCCTCCTCATTTTGAAATTTTCGAAAACGTCACTAATAAAGGCGGTCGAATTTTACAGGCTAATTGTATTATCATCGCCGATCGTTTTCTTCCGCATCGCGTTATTATTTGGGGAATTAACATCGGCATTATGCCAGTTTTGATTTGAAAAGAAGTTACATCCCGTGAAAAGTTACCCTTGTTGTAAATTCAGTAAATACGATTATTACGATTCAACAGCGCCTAAAATAGAGTCTTGTTTTATCTATCACTGGCTCATAAATCAAGAGTCGTGGTATTTTCGTTAGCATTCAATTCCTTATTGTCAGTCAAAAATGTGTGTTTCAGATCTACTCTCTTAACGATAGATAGATACGACGATAGATAACATACTGCGGCCATTTCAGTTCCGGGCGAAATAAAACAATTATCGGCGTTATATACCGACGAAACTGAACCCGACTTTTCTCCCGAAAATGTTGATATATAACTATAAGCTAATTAATATCTGCATTTATTGTACTAAATAAATTATACTCATTGGAATTGCAATAATAGCTCAAATTTGATGAATTTTCAAGATAGCAAAAATAGGAAATTGGATTTGTTCGTGCAGCTTACCATTTATTTTCATATCTAGAGTAGAAATGCTTTTATTTTAAGGTAAGTCGGGCTCTTCTATACTGCAAATACGCAATAATCACATTTTTCTGCGTGTTTTGTGATGTAATACTATAGTCAAGTTCACTCCAGCATTACACGGATGACTAAAATATGCAGAGTGGTGTGGATATAAGTGAATATTATATGCTCTGAGAGATGTCATTGGCCACTCAACAAAAAATATAAAAAAATCACTAATGCGCATATGCATTATTTATACTGCTCTATTATCCGGTTAACCGTTACAATAATATCCGGTTATCAGATAGCAAAATACCTCTTGGTTAATCGGTTATCCGGTTAACCGCTATCCGGATAATCCAACCCTACTCAGCATAGGTATTTGTCTTTTCGGCGACTCTTTCCATTTTAATGTGTTCTCAGCATAGTTGTACTTAAAATAATATAGTATTTAAAAAAATATTCAACAACCATGTTCTCAGAAATACCGTAACCTAGGGAAATGAATAATATATCTTGGATAAAATAAATAGAAACACCGTTGAAGTTACATATCACTGATAACATAAAACGAACAAAAACATTCAATTTATTTATTTAAAATCTTGTCCTCTCCCTAGGTTACCGCAGTGATACTATATGTTCAAGAGCGAAGCCAGCCCAAATTAAGCCAGCCCAGACACTTATAATGGCAGAGGCTAATACGAGTGACGCTCACTGGTGCCTTTTGCTTCGAACAAGGAGAAGTAAGTTTTCAGTAAATCTTTCATGAATAGAGCAAAATGTTGTTGGAAAAGGCGTAAAAAATATAATCGATATTTCACCAATCACTGTTATACTATAGAGCAGGGGTTCTCAAACTAGGGTTCGCGAACCCCCAGGGGTTCACGAGAAGATTTCAAGGGGTACTTGGATGGCAGTCGGTTTTTTTTCCAATATCCTACAACAAAAGAAAACTTAGAAACTACCACATGAAAATGAATGTCAATGGACCTTTCCCCGACCTTTGACCTTAATTGTTTTGATTTTGGTCGCTCAGACCAATGACATTAAACAACATGATGCGCAACTCCGGCATTTTGGGCCGAAGATCGTATCCGATAGCACGCTCCAATGCACATACTTGGCGAGACGAAAACGAGCGGATGTGTGCTGCTTTCAAGGCATAGCACGAATAGTGTTCGCGCCTGCTTTGACAGTTGTTGTCGATTTTAATGATATTTTGGAAAGTTGAGGTAAAAAGAAATCGGAAAAAGGTAAGATAAATACTATTGTTGTATATCACACCCGGGCATCGCACTGTTAAGTACATGTGGAAAGCCAGCCTTTGTCAAATACTACGAAGTTATTACAGTACGGTACGTAGTTGCCCATGTGCCGAAATTGCATATTTACTTACCCCTTATGGTTTCAAATAGTTCATGCACCTCCGTTTAGATTTTTTTAATCAGTGAGGATATATACTCATTGCTGATTGCTGTCCATTGTAACATACTATTGCACATTCACTTTTATTTGCGTATTGAATCAAAGTGTTGACAAGTTCACCTAACATTTCACTCATACCGGTCTATATTGTATAGTCTGATCTCTCAAGTATTTGGAGCCACCAATGCTTGTAATTTTCTGACTAAACCCCTTTATTAGCTGGTTTATATACCAAATTCAGTAAAACATTTTTTACATAAAACATGAGATATTGGATTTATTAGCTTTTCCATTCTAAATCATATAGACTGCTTTATTTATTCTTAACGAAAATTAATAAATCTCCTCTCTTTCTTTAGATGTGAAAGTTGTGGACCAACCCGTCTAAGCATTGTGAGACTCCTGCAGCACAAGAGGCAATAGCAAAAATAGTAAGTATATCAATCAAGAAATTAAGCCGACATAAAGCAAAACTTTCAACTATTCGCCTAATCTCAATTTCCCATTATTTATTCACAGGACAACTATACCAGAAGGGGAGATATCAGAAATCTGGCGACATATCAGTGACAGTGTGATTCCAAGAAATATAATTAGAGTACTCCATGAATGTTTGCAATAGAAAAACAACCTATGGAAGCATGCAAAGACATTCGAGATTCGACCATCCGGTAGATTTGTGTATGGCCCCCACATCCTGCAGGGCTTGAGGAAAATAACTAAAAATTCCAAAGCGTAGGATTGCATAGGCGGTCTTCTTTGTAAAAAGGCACAAAACACGCCAGACATACTTAAAACAGCTTTGGAAAATGAGGATTACTGGTAACTCACTGCACCAGTGTTATATTTGGTTCATCAACTTTTGGTAGTATTATAGAAGAAATTCCGGAAGGGGTATAATCATCATTCATGATAAAATACTGTTTATATATATATTTTGGACAACTTCAATCTAGACCAGGGATGTCAAACTCGTGGCCCCAGAGAACTTCCAGTGCGGCCCTAGAACGCTTAACAATAATTGTAATAGTATTTTGGAAGTTTTTTTTTATCTAAATGTAATATATTTTTCAAACCTTTAAAAGTGAAATTGATTATTCACACAGAAAACAATTTACTGAAAGTAGTTTTGGAATATTAATTTTTTTTGTCCCCATTTTGACCCAATTAAGAATACACAACAAGCTAGCCAAAGAATACTTGAATAAAACACTTGAGTGATTAAATTAAACGCAAAGTACATGAAGAAGGTGGCATTTTCGAAGAAAATGGGAGTTGCAATATTTCTGCATTTCACAAAATTCTGAAGCACATTGTTTAATTTGTCATATTTCCATCAATACAATGAAAAAACACAATAAGCTCAGCAGTCAATATGACAAATTCGAAGACCAACTTCGAACAGAAAATTTCCATGTGTTTGTATATTAATATAATTATACAACGACGTAGTTACTAAAAATCAATATCAATAATAATTCAAGCAATCCTATGCCACGCAATGTGGTGCGAAATGTCTTGTCGAAAAAATCTGTCATTTTTTTTTTTACTGATCTATACATGAAATGAGTAACTTTTTTGCATTACTGGAATTAATTAAACATTCGCAAAGATCCAGATTAACCCATGATCATGTGACCTCGTTAGTTAGAGTTGGTACTATAATCATTTCAGCCTGGCCTTAGTATGCTGGTGACACAAAAAAGATGCCAAACGTCAGAACAAATGTAATTAAAAAAACATTGAGTATATACTGTAGTATTTTTGTTAATTTTAGGTTCATATATTTAGATTAAGTCATTTTTAGTGTATGTATTATTTTTTCCTTATCCAAAGCTTGTTCAAAAATGATTTTGATGGTTGTACATGGAATTTTATGATTTTTTATAATAAATACTGTAACTTGCAAATGTTGCAATAATAGTGGAATGCAAATATTAATATGTAATTGCATTTGAAATTGGAGAAAATAATAAAACTTAATCCAACTGTTTAGCTGCATCACAACATAGGTCACAAACTAAAACTATCTTAAAAATATCTTTCAAGTATACATTATCAAAAACTGTTTGCGGCCCTTTTTACAATTTCCAAAATGCAATGCGGCTCTCGAAAACCCATGAGTTTGACACCACTGATCTATTCTAGAGGATTCAAGCATAGCTTTGGGAAAGAATATCACTTCAATTAAATTAAAAAAAAACTCGCTATATTAAATACAAAATCGTTGCTATCATAAAGGTAAACCAATTCAGCCACTCGAAATATATTGGCCTTCACAAAGTAATGGAGGCAAAATTGAGAGTTCATTAGCTATGAACATTTGTTCTTTTCGTTGTCTTGAACTTTTCATACTCCACAGCCCCTGTTCATTTTTCTAATTTTAATTACCATGTGATGGTCATACTTATCTTTAACTTGTATTTTCTGTCATGATGTATTATCTCAATGTGTCAAACTATTAATTAGTGTGCATATTTTGCTTCCAGATGACATAAATGTATTGTCTTGTTTATTACCTCAGCTTGGAGTATTGGCAAGAAAAAGGTGCCAGTAAATTAGGTAAAAAAGTTTTCAACTCTTTCCAACAATCAATGAGAATTATATGCGAAATCCCACAGAATAAAGTTGTCTAATATCGGAGGAAGGCAAAACATATAGGTAGTTTCCATTCACACAAGCATTTCAAGAAGACTTGCTCGAGCCAAACTAAATGAGCATCGTCAAGTGATCGGTAAGGCTGCAAGTTGAATTCAGCCCTGGAACCTCCTGCATTGAAGATAATATTAATTAGTGGGCTATGAGCTAAATTCCTGAATTTAGACACAAACCTATCTACGATGCATTATGTACCAGCAATGTTACCTACGATAAACTGAATATGTAATATGTCTAATGAATTCACCTAGTTCGATAGGTGCAAACTTTGTGTTATAGAATTGTATCACAGCATCGTTAAGAGAAGTAAAAACAGTTGTGTACGACACCCTCTTTAAATGAAAATGCAATGTTTAAGCGCAAACATCAAAATTACTAACTTTGAACTTTGTCATTATCTGCAAAATGTTCCACACAAATCTTCTTAGATAACTTCTTCTTCACAAACTTCTTAGATATAGAGATTATTTTCTTTTGTTACAGGCGCAAAAAGGCAGGTACTACACGTAAGAAAGACGCCGAGTAGCAAGAGCGAGCGGAAAACGGTCGCGAAAGGCGACGAGAAATATGTGAATTGGAGCGTATCATGAAATACAATCTTTCGCCTGCAGTCTTATGGAGTGACGTCAGAGTTGCCTATCATGTTGTTTAATGTCATTGCTCAGACAAACATTGCAAATATTCAGGCTTGTGTAGGGCGATAAAGTGTACCTTGCTCGTTTTAAAGGCCTTCGAATGGCATTTCACTGGTGATGGCGGTATTTTCGTGCTTCTAACGTTATAACCTATTGTCAAGTGATCTATTATTAACGTTATTCCGCCTTCACATTGCCGTTGACGTAGATAGTTAACTTAGTTACCTGGTGGCAATCATGCACTATTCAGTACCAAACTTAGTTCTAAAAGCTTATTTAACATACAAATATGGAATCACTCAGAGATGACTTTTCTATGACTTGGTTCTCCAAGAAATTTTCTTTCCCCCAGCAGGAGAAGGATACAATACTTTTCATTGAAAGGTAATATTTAAACTTATATGGTTGAAGAATGTCAGAGAGTGGTGATAGGACTGGGAGACCTGCATGACAACCGGCACCATATCCCATAGTTCATAGACTGATAGATAGCGTCCAAGTTAGGGCTGAATTGGTGGAATTAGTATAGAAACAAATGAAATGCAGGGTCAGTTTAAAAAGTTTTTTAAATACATTCTTGGAAACATTGCACAACTACAGAAATCTGTAATTTTGAATAGGTGAATATTTTTTTTCAGATTCATTCATGATGGTTCAGTCGTCCATCTTGGTTCAACGCTAGATTTCAAAGCCAAGTGCTATAGATAAGTTCAGGAGTCTCTGCCACCACATCATCTTCAAATAGTGGTGTCGCTGGATAGTCACCAAGTCTCTGATGCAATTTGTACATGCTAGGCACGGTGAGGGCACTTAAGTTTATGTTGTATCACAGAAACACAGATTTATTAGCTCAGTAAGATGGGTGCAAATATACTATTGAAAGATTAGATTCAACAGGTTTATAGAGGTATTAAGATCGATTACATACCACATAAAATTACAAGACCAATAATGTTATAGTGATAAACATGGTTTAAATGGACTAACCAAGACTATCCAACAGATGAAATTGAGGGGGAATAAAAGATTTCCCGCTGAGCCAAACATGTACAAGCCTTCCCCAGCATTGGTAACAACCTATTGGAGGGGAACAAAATAGATCCAACAGTTTTGTCGTCTGTAGTTGGTGCTAATCCCACGAAGTTAGATCGAGCCAGAGTTCCAATCATGCCGGTTAAACCAAAAACAGTCGGGTATCTGATAGGTTTTACAATATAGTTCATTCATTCAGTGTAGAAATAGAATATAACAGATTATAAAAAATATATGATGAAGGAACAAGCAAGTAAATCCAAGAAAATTACTACAAATTATACAGTTTTTCAGATATTGTGTTGTATAGGAATAAAAATACACACCAGATATATGCTTTTGGGCACAACAAACAAAAACCATGAAGTAATGGAGCGTCCGAGCTATTTTATTAAAGCTGCCTGGTATCTCCCGATAATAGGGAAAAATTGCTCTCACTGGGCACTACCTCATTGTTATATAGTCAGCCCATAGTCAGATGGGCAAACACCCACCACTTGGTTCGGTTCTAAAGTTATCAGGTGATTATGAACAAGTTGTGATTTATATGACAGTGATAAATGCAAAACAACCTAACAAAATAAGGATATTCATCACACACCACAGTTACTACCAAGTGCAGGGCCAACTTCTGGTATCAGGAGCAGCTTGGTGTGACTTTGCAGTTGCAGTTCCGATTCTGAATCTTGTTAATTTTTTCGTGCCCTTTTATTATTATTATTTCTTTTTCTGGTAGGTAGTCGCATACATTTTGAAATCTATTTCAAGTTATGCTCGACATCCACTTTTCTCTGCATTTTGTTTGTATGTTGACTTTTTGTGTTGTTTTATGCCAGAGAACCAAAATAAAATGATGATGCTTGCTTTCATTTTTCTGCTGTCTTACGAAGCGCTGTCTTTTTCATCAGCGGCACTTGAGGTAGTTTCAACTAAAGAGTCTGGGGGCAGATCTGGTTGGATCCCTGACAATCCTTTCTCACTTTCGTCAGATTCGCATGTCTCTGTATCAAATGAAGTATCTGGTGACAGATCCTGTTAAATTATGATCCAAAGTTAAATTATGGTATAAGTAATCCTTACCTCACAATTTGATGGTTCTTTTCTGTTGGGCGACAAGAATCTGATATAGGGTCAGGGTATTCATCAGTTGGTCCATCGCATCCATGAAAATGCATGATGGAACGCGTTGCTTGTATGAAAATTTATTTCATAGAGGAATTAACATATTGAATATATCATATGTATCGAAAACAATATTTTTGTTGGCCTACCTTGGTACACACGAAGGTATTTCCGGTGATTTTTCCTAGATTGAATATACTGTGAGTGTGAGGCCTGTTGCATTACTTTATCCACCTCGTCGCTTTTTGACATTCAATATGTGGCTTCGGAAAAGACACAAATCTTACTCCATTTGAACGGCAGGGGTACGGAACCGTACAGGTTTTCAGACCGGCAAATACCATATGCGCAGCGTTTACACATAGTTAGTCTACCAAAATATTTCACTAATAGATTCTGTTTAATAAAAATGCAACATCGTATCGAAGACAAATTCTTCTGTACTGACATACGGTAGGCCTCGGTACCCTTGATTGCATCAGCATGACTGTCTACTATTTTTTGGTTCGAAATAGCAGTTGTGAACTGAACAGTACCGTACCTGTAAGGTGCCTGCAACGGGTACCGGTACAGCATTTTAGTATAGGATATATATATAGATTTCGTGAACGTGATTTGCAAAAAGTAACATACAGTATTACAGCTTTCTAATTCTCGCAGCCCTGTGAAGAAGAAAAAAAGGGACAAAGATCTGCCTAAACCGTCGGCAACCTGCGCGGAACGCGTCCAAAGTTGTCTGAGCGACTTGTCAGCGGAGAATGTTTGTTTACATCAAAGTGACTATAAACCAAGTGAGGACAACCATTGGTAACGGTATAAGCGCTCGTGTGACGTCACACCAGCCATTTTGTGTCCAAAGTTCTATAGCTGTTTGATCCTAACTAGAGAGAGAGAGAGAGATTTATTTCCACAAACAATGAAAAAACAATATTAAATAATATCGATAATTTTTAGAGAGTTAGACTATAATGAAAACAATGAAAAACAGTATAAAACAATATCGATGATTTTTATAGAAGTAGTCCAATTTACACATTGTTTTGTGCTGGCCAGTATGCAAGACCGTTGAAGGTCATCAAGGCTCCTGACCAATTTAACACTGTTATTGATTAAGAAGTCGGAATTAATTGTCACAATATAAATATAAAAAAGACGGAGAATGAGTCGGCAGATATTTTAGTTCCACGATTCAACACTAAAAGCACATTGTGATAGAGTTTAGAGGACATGTGTAAAATATATATAATACCAGTGCTACATTGTGATCTAGTACATTACAGATCGCCATAACCGAGTCGGGCTCAGTAGGAAATATAAATGAACAGAATAGCACAGACACATTTGCACCATGTTATATAAATATTAAGGTAAGACAATTATTGGACACGTAGTGGACATAACGAACAATATTATGTTGTTGTTGTTTTTCGTTAACATCATAATTAAAAAAATCGCTTTACTCTTTGAATACTACCCCAAATGGCATTGAAATTTTCACTGGTTGAATATGGAATTTTTTCCAGGAGGCTATCACTTTTTTTTTTTCTTCTCTATGACGTCATTAAAATTATGTGGCTCTACGTGTCCATATATTTGAGCATAGCTCTCTTGTTAAACAGTATAAAAATCCTGAGGAAATATACACTGATATACAATCGGAAGTTGAAGATATAATGCAAACTGAAAGAATAATAGATATTTCAATATTCAATCATATTAATGACGGATTAAAAAAAAATGTTAACTAATCTGAATACATTGTTAGCAAAAGCTTTTTCATTTTCTTAGTAAAAAGAGATAGAGACACATTTTTTATTTCAGATGGGACACCACCCCAAACCTGCACGCCATTATATTTTAAAGATCGCTTCCCAACATCAGTGGAAACCTGTGGTGTAAAATAGGATCTATTTTTTTTGGATCTAGTACCATACTTATGTACATCTTTAAGATGAGTAAAATAGTCCTTGAAAGCAGGGGGGAGAAGCCCATTTTCATGCCGATGCATAAATTTTGCAATTTCTAAAGTATGCATCTCTGATAGCTGTAAAATTTCATTTTGACAGAAAAGTCGGATGTTTGTTATACGACTCCTCTCTGAAAATGATATACACCTAATTATTTTATTTTGTAAGACTTGGATTGGCTGTAATGAAGACTTGGCGGCTGATCCCCAACTAAGGATTCCATATTGCAGTCGTGAATGAAATAAACTATAATAAACTACTTTCAGCGTTTTTAAATTCGAAATGTGTCTTAGTCTATAAAAAATACCGACGGTTTGTGATAACTTCTTGGCTAGTTGACTAATATGCGATTTCCAGCTTAAATTATCATCTATCGTGACCCCCAAATATTTTATACTATTAGTTCGCTCAATTATTTTACTGCCTAAAGAGAGTTTGAAGTTAGTAGTATCTATTCCCTTATTACAAAAAAGCATAAATTTTGTTTTAGAATAATTTAAAGATAATTTATTTGCCTTAAGCCAAATATGAACATTTTGTATTTCAGTGTTCACCACAGTCTCAAGTTCGGACAGAGATGTAGCGGACTTCAAAAGAGAAGTATCATCTGCAAAAAGCGTGGAATAGAAAGAAGATGCAGCCGGTAGATCATTTATATAGCATAAAAAAAGCAGTGGGCCAATTGTAGAGCCCTGTGGGACTCCACATTTGATTATGCCCCTATTTTGAACATATTGCTGGCGTCCGCTTAAATATGACGCAATAAGATTAAGTGATTTCCCTCTTATACCATAATGGCGTAATTTATGCAGTAAGAACGAGTGGTTAACCGTATCGAACGCTTTAGCGAGGTCCAAAAAATCGCGCATGTTATCTTTTTGTTTGTACTATTATGCATTATCATTTCCTTAAGCCTAGCTATTGCTAATTCAGTAGAATAATTATTTCTAAAACCAAACTGAGAGAGACTTAAAGCACCTGTTTTTTCAAAAAAATATTTGATTCGATTATATAAAATATTTTCATACATTTTGGCTACTTGCGATAAGAGAGAAATAGGCCTATAATTGTTTGGGTCATATTTAATCCCTTCTTATGGAGTGGCACAACCTTTGCTATTTTCAAAATATCTGGATATACACTTTCATGGAAACTTTTGTTAAAAATTTCAGACAAAATAGGTGACAAGACAAACTTGGCAATTTTGAAAATCTTTATGGGTATGTCATCACTACCTATACAGCCTTGTGCACATCCAGTTTGTCAATTTGCTGTTCTATTTCCAGGGGAGTTGTATCACGAAGGAAAAAAGACTCTTTCGTGCTTGTCCCAAGAGTGTGCATATGGTGTGCTGCAACTGGACTTATTTGTGAAGCAAGTTTAGCACCAACTTCTAAAAAATGTTGGTTAAGAGCAGTACAAATTGCATTGCCATCATTAATTTTATTTCCATTAAATATAAGATAGGAAGGTAATTTGTTTTTCTTTGATGAAGTGCCAATAATTTCACGAATCTGAATCCATGTTTTTGCAATATCTTTTTGGTAGCGAGAAAGAACTGCTTTATAATAATCTTGTTTAGCCTTAGTAAGAGTGTGATGTAACTAAGTGATTTAAACCTGCGATCGTTAAACAGCTGATTAAAAAAAACGATGCTCAATAATTCGGACCAAACTTTCACAGCGGCAAAACATATGAGCATTCTTCTGAAAAGTTAATTATCCGCAGATGTTTCTCAGATAACTCGGCTCGGCGGTATGGTAAGCATATACGAAGTTAAGGTTAAAGTCATCCAACTTCACTCGATAAATCAACAACCCGATAACACCAGAATATTAAACAAAAAGATACACATTTTATTATTGGATTATTATAAAATTCCTGGTGTAATTATCGCTACTTGCACAGAACCTATTTTAACAAACTGACGGAACTACAATACAAATTATACTACAGAAACTTGCACTATTTTTGCGGTACATGTCATGATATTAAAATATGCGTATCGCAAATTTTCAACAAGGTATACATTGCCAAAATAATATCCAAAAAATATACTACATGCATAGAATAAAGGATAACGGCGTATATCAAGTTTACAAGAACATATAATTTTTTGCATGAATATTTAATCTTAAATTGAGAAAACGTTTCAAAATTTTAAAAGCGATATTGTGGCAAGATGGGAAATTATATTTCAAGCAACTTTATTTGTCAGAAAAGTAACAAGCGAACATATATTATGAAAGGCATTAATATTTGCGCGAAATATAGTTTATACTTCGCGCAAAAATACTATTGCTTTTTTGGATGGGTGGCATAAATATTGGGTAAAACTATCAATTTTCAAATATTTATCAGGTGTGTAAGACTTGAAAAGAGTTAGTAACGACTGTGGGCATTCATCGGGATTGACACTTTCCATAGAAACAAACAAACAATTTAAACCCCGAGTCTTTATAGGGTTCCCCCGGAAACATCAAGGCTAATTTTTCACTGTTGGATATCGATGAAATTACAATTAAGTTTTATTAACGAGAACGTAGAAGACATGATGGCGTCGCTAGATCACCTAGTAAATATTTTACATTTTTCGACGCAAAAGAATCGAAATATCCTGCCAATAATAAGTTGATAAGAGATGCAACACCAGTCGCGGCGGCTGGTTTTTAAATTTTGTACCTTATAAAGTAGGCTACATGCTTCGATGAAATTCAGTAGGCCGCACAATGTGCTAGCCATGATATCGTTTACATTCTATAATTTATGAAGCAACTGTTGCAACAGCTCGTTAAATTAAGAAACATTTTCCCGAGAAAATTCATTTCATCAGCTTCTGGAATGATTAATGTAAAACGCAGGCTTTAAACTTTCGGCATGGTGTGAACAGGTATCATAATACCAGTTCAAATAGTACCTGATTTAAACGTATGCATTAGGTTAATGACGTTTCACACTTGCGAAGGAAAGCGATATGTGTTTTTATACGGAACTTTGCGACGTAATTGCGTAACTAAGTAATTAGGGAACGTTGTTGTTTAACTTAAGTTGGCGATGTGGACATTTCGAGAATTGGAGAACATTGAATGAAATAACTTATACAATTTTACTGGTGCACGACAAATTATATCTAATATCGAAAGCTATTCTTAACCTATGCAAATGTCTCGATGTCATAATAGGTTAAAACAAGCAAATCGAAGTTTTTGTTATTTAACTCAAAAGCGTTTAAAAAAAATTCCACGCTTTTCAATTTTGCCGATTTTTGTATGATAATCGCGACATTTTATTTCCATCTCATAATTGTAATTTTTCTCTTAGACTGTCTTTCAAACAATATAAAACTTTTCTGCATATAATATAAGGTTCGTGAGATATGAGGTTTCAAAGTTGTAAAACTCACACGGGATGATAAGATAACTATCGCAACTTTCACGAAACCGCACGATACCAGTATGATTCCACGAGGCAAATAGCAAATAAAAAATAATGATATTACCCGAATAAAATGCAAAACAGTAAAAAATCTTAAAACAAATTGACGAACGAGACCTACTTACAAAGCTAAAACAAACCGACGCTGCCGCTTTCCCCCGATTCGCTAGACACAAAATGACGTCCGATATGCATCATTACACTCAGTGTCTCCACTTGGTTTATAGTCACTTTGGTTTACATCTGCTCGCTTGTGATTGGTTGAAAATACGGATGTTTTGATGTCGGGGAAAGGTCCAGTGGAACTCAGCCTAAATTTTCACTGATATAGTGTTGTTGTGATTGTGACGCAACAATGTGAAATGTACGGCTTAAAGCCAAACTGTGAAATCTCAAAACCAGTCCAGCGAACCGGTTCGGTCAAAGTGGTCTCGGAGATAGGGTTGCCAACTTTTTGTTAAACCATTCCGGGACACCTTAATATCTAGAATTTGAAAATTGATGCCACAGAAACTTGTGAAACACGAATCACGTCAAAAACAACAGTGCGCGCTTCGCGTTGTGCAGCGTTATTCTCACAAACTGTAAATAATTTTATCATAATCAAAGAAACTTGTGAAATGTTGACTCTTTACGCATAAATGCAAAACAAAAGTGTAAACAACGGAAATGTACAAATTGTGCTAAGTAGATTTAATTATTTAACAAAAAACGCAAGAAATCAGTCTTTCTGGTATTTCAATTTGTATTTTTATTGTGATTTTGCCGCTTTAGGAAGATCTTTGTTGGTTTTCATAAAGTTTATGTTAAAATTTGTAATCATTACGGAAATATAATAATTAATGAACTCTCGCGAAGAGAAGAGCTTTCAGCAAGGCGGCCTAAAACAGACGGCTATGCGAGCTTGAAAACTGACTGAATAATGAAATCTTACTCACTTATGAAAGAGCCTCATAGTAACAGTGCATTATTAACTAAGAACAAGAAACACAAAATATTGTTACCCGTCGCAACTTTATTGACTACATTTTTCAACAAATCTCACTGGATCAAGTTTTTGATACTCTCAAATTAGGGTGACTACTGTATACAATGTTGTCATCCATTTTGCAATTGTTCAGCTTATTTTAGCGTTAGGTCATCAGGAGGTCGAAACATGTCTTGTTCACAAATTTCAAGTCACTCCTATTTGAATGAACCATACAGATGTAATCGTTTTTATTAAAAAATATACAATGGCCTTCTATTTTAGAACGCCTTGGTTGTCGTTAAATTCCGGGACAACTGTAACCAAGCCCGGGACACGGGACGCCAGACGTCAATTCCGGGACTGTCCCGGACATTCCGGGACGGATGGTAACCCTACTCGGAGACTACTTAGTGGCCTCGATTACATGTCCAAACCAACAAGCTGAAAACAGTTTTGGAGTTGCCGGATTAAATCAAATAAGTCATGATTTGCAAACACTGCATATATTTTATTTTCAATAAATTCATAAATTCAATACAAATGTTAATTAAAGCATCAAAATTGAATGCACGTCCTTGAAATTCTTTGAAGTTATTTGCAGAATATGATGAGGGAGGGATCGCTTTCCCGTTGAAATTTGCCCACGATCTAAGAACAAAACGACAAATTTATTGGGGGCATAAAAGATAGACGATTTAGATAATTTTGGCCGACCATCCAGCGTTCAACGCTGCAGACTACTGGCACCTTACGCCACACGGACAATTCAAAAATCACAGTAGGCCTACAGTTACCAGTAGTCTACTGATAGACTGGCAACCAAATTAAAACAATTACATTTTATCAAACAAACACTTGCGTGAAGTGGGCTCATCATATGTAAACAGAAGCACTTTCATTATTTAATATCGCCATACTACTGCAACTTTACCGACACTGAAGCTTTGTATTTATGCTGGTACCGGTATGTACAGTAAGGGTGCCGGTACCAGCTAGGATGCGGTATGGCTGTATAGTGCAATTCCAAAAGAATTCTCAATGCAAACTGAAGTCGTACTGCGCTCAGTTTATACCAATAAATCTTTGGACATCAAGATTCAATTCTCTGTTTCAAAACAACAACCTATCATGCCAATATGCCGGGATCCCACCAGTACCGGTATTTCAAATTTGTGTTCAGCGGCGACACAATAGATGCGGAAAATGTTTAAATTAAACTTGCCCTATCTAGCTGAATTTTTATTAGTTTAAAAAAGCAACTCACTTACCAGAGATGAAAAAGAAAACAACTTCCGTACCTCCTTCAATCACGGTGATTCACGATTTCTCGAGTAGCACGGCGAAGCAACTGAGCAAGACCGGTTAGCTCACTCCCAGACCTCCTAAATAGGAGGTCTGATGTTCTGGACCGATAGCACGGATTTGAGGCCTGATTACATGTCCGCTGGAACCGGTCTAGCAGACCACATATTAACGCTTCAGTGGTTCGCCTGCGATTCAAATCCGTGCTATCGGTCCAGAACATCAGACCTCCTATTTAGGTCTGGGAGTGAGCTAACCGGTCTTGCTCAGTTGCTTCGCCGCGCTACTCGAGAAATCGTGAATCACCGTGATTGAAGGAGGTACGGAAGTTGTTTTCTTTTTCATCTCTGGTAAGTGAGTTGCTTTTTTAAACTAATAAAAATTCAGCTAGATAGAGCAAGTTTAATTTAAACATCTTCCGCATCTATTGTGTCGCTGCTGCACACAAATTTAAAATACCGGTACTGGTGGGATCCCGGCATATTGGCATGATAGGTTGTTGTTTTGAAACAGAGAATTGAATCTTGATGTCCAAAGATTTATTGTTATAAACTGAGCGCAGTACGACTTCAGTTTGCATTGAGAATTCTTTTGGAATTGCGCCATACCGCATCCTAGCTGGTATCGGCACCCTTACTGTACATACCGGTACCAGCATAAA